CACTCAAGCAGGGTATCAGGGCGCGGCTGCACGCGAACAGTCCCGGAGCATCTTATTCGATGCCTCCTCCCACGCCTGACAAACTGGGTACCGATGCAGATGATGAACCAGGGCCCAATGAGCAAAAGAGTGTGATGGGTTGGGAGCGGGCGCTCCTGGCCGTGCGTGGAGCAGGGCCCGGATGCTCTAGGGCGTGTAGTGGCTGCTTTACCCGTGCGGGTCATGCATCGCTCCCGAGCGTCACTGACGAGTCCCGAGAAAAAAACAGTGGTATTCACGATTTTGCATGAGGCCAATGCCAGTAATGATGAGACCGTTGGGCGAGAATGAGGAATTCATCAGCCGTCCGTCTTGTTTCGCACGGCTTGCCCTGGCGAGAAGAAAATAGGCGAAGGTATCAAATAGAAAAAGGTTGATGCCATATGGGAGCCGTGTTTTGGGGGAAGCGGGGGGGTTTTTTCTCAAGCGGGAGAAGTATGATGGGTATCGGGGGGAGGCAAGGCGTCACATCGTATCGTTGGCCCCCTGTAGCAAGTATCGCAAGTAGATGTGTTTGTAGTGGTCATCCTTCTCTCACTGGCATCGACCGATCGATCATCCATTCCCTCTTCAACCTCATCATCGAATGGTTGATGAAAGGACGGAGGACCCATTGTTTCTTCCACCGATGTGCGGCCCTCCTCACTAAAGATCCGAGAGACTTGGTCAGACGTTGTTTGACAGCGGCCCGAAACAGGAGAAGTGAGCGGGTCGCTAAGAAAAGAGAGAGACATGAGACGAGCTAGACTTTGGTATGTGTACGCAGAGTAACAGGTACTGTACCAATGTACGAAGGTACAGTATGACAATTTCAATCAAGGTGGCCAAGGTGTGGGATTCTTGCGGGAACAACCGTGCGGGAGGTGAGAAAACATGGTGATGGTGGGAGGGAAAGACTCTCAGATGCCGAAGCACAGAGTACGGAGTAGGCACAAGTGAGGAGGGTATAGCAGCACAATAATTATGAGCGACAGATAGAATAGCACCTTCCTTGGCTGCAAGAATATTCTCCGTACCTTCCCATAATAGGTATCAAAAGGGACTAAAAGCAAGAGAAAAAGAGAAGAAAGCACAAGCGAGCGAATAGTAACTTGTTAGGAGAAGAAAAACAGCAGTCAAGGCGTCACGCCCACATCGGTTTTCCGTAGCGATCTTGGATAGGCGCTTGGTCCGTGTGCTTGTGTAGGTAGGTATGTGTGTGTGCACACATTCCCAAGCAGTCATAAGCAGGGTGATGCATCTGTGCTCTTTTCATATGTTGAGCACATAAACTCTCCTTGGAAGCAATAGCAGCAGGGTCAAATGCCCAAAGCAGAAGACACCGGTGAAGAAGAAGACGATGAAGGATTGTTTGGCCTTTGGAACCTGGGGTCTTCTTTCTTGTCATAGCACTGAGAATTCAATCTATCGCTTCAAAGATACAGAACAGTGTCAATAGACCATTCGGTTAATGTTGCCCGGTCAGTTCCGCGGTATATTCACGCGCCCTGCTGGATTGGGCTGTCGCTGTCTGTCTCTCGTGGTTTCGGATCATGCTGCTCGGAGATCAACCAGGGTTTTTGGTTGGACCCCACAGGTTGCCATGGTATAGTCTGTACAAGTGAAGGGTTGAGGTTGTGCCAAGGTATCTGATACTAATGCTCTGACGGGTAAAGTACGATGACGATACTTCTCGTCTCCAAACGATGACCCGTTTGGAGCCATGGGTGGACAGGACGCTCCGTTGGGCGATCTCAAAAGACGAGAGGGAAGGGGGATTTTCTCCTGGTCTCGTTCCACTTGGTGGCACCGCACCGTCCGACTAGCCAGACTGACACTGACACTACGGTGGAGTTTGACGATTATACTGCCAGTAGGGGTAACAAGGACAGTTGCTCCGTTCTTCCCTCTCCAATCTGTAAAGGCCTTCCCTCGCTCCCCTGCGCGGACCGCCCCGCTTGGCCTCTTCTCACGTTAACTACGGAGTAGAGGTCATCACTAAATCTGGTGCAATACGGGTAGCGCCCAAAGGAAACTGCACTGCGACGGCCACCCCGAGTCGTCATTCCTCACCGAGGAGAAATCCGAATTATAGTTAACCGCGCTTCGCAAGAATCTCCGTAGTGTACAGCACAAATGCAGTGGCTGGTCGCTGGTAGACATGAGCTTCGGTGCTTTCTCAATAGCCGTACTCCGTATATCCTTGAAAACACGGCAATGAGAAAGAAGTTGCCGTAGAATGGACATTCGGTCGAATTCGGGTTAATGTCAACATAGTCTACGCCAAAAGGCTCAATACCACATATCGTGACGAATCCTGAATCCATCACCATCACCACCACCTATTCATTCATTCATCCACCCACTTACTATGAGCAAACCTTCGATTTGGCTCCTGGCCACTGAGGAAGCTCGGGGCCTCTCAGGAGGGCTCGATCCACAGATTCGGAGAAGTCACCGAAAGTCCTCGTGATTCACATGCATCCTTCGAGGGCTCGCCTCCCCTTGCCTTTGCATGGCCTCTCATCGTCTTTGTTCGGCTTCGGCAAAGATCTTCCCCCCCCCCCTCCCCCATTTCCCTCGTCTGCCACTCTTCCCTCGTCTCCTAAATCGTCGATGGAAAAGGCTGAGAGCGCCGCCGTACAAGCTCCAGCCCACCATCTTACAAATAATATTTTACTCTTTGCTCCACGGCGCATAGTGATGCCGGAGCTGTCAAGCTCTTACTGACCCATTTTTCATAGCAGGAAGATCGTGTCTCTTTTCGTCAGTATATTATAATACAGTTCAAGTAATGCACAAAATGTGCATGCCGCACATTTTGTGTTGCACCGGTCTCTTGTGGTTCTCGTACGCAAACTGCAGCCTCTGAACCTCTTTTGAAACATGCGTAACCAAAGCAATCAACAATGAATAATGTAAAAATAGTGAAGATCTGGGAAGTTGTTTCCAATGTGCTCTCTGTGCTCCGTACTTCATACTTTCACAACAGAGTCCCTGGTGGTACCAAAGCAATGAGGGCGACCTGCTTGTGGCACCCTATTCCTTCACCGCCTCTGGGTCCAAAGAGCCACCAGCCTCAGCATCAGAGAGAATGAGAAGTGGGAAGAGACAAGATCGGATGGAGAAACTTGGTTGTCAGTTATGAGTAATAATAGAGATAATTGCCATCTCGATCTAGGAACTTGTTCTGATGGAGCATCTGACGTGCGCCCGTATCTTGGTTCAGGCTATGGTAAGAGCAAAGGTGTTGGACCGATCAAGCTGCCCAAGCATGACCGAAGCTCACTACCATCCCACCATTCCTACTGACGAAAACAGTGTGAGCTCGAGCTCCCGTACTTCCGGGAGTTGTCCGTATTTCCTTTGAGATGCTCACAGTATGACTGCTACTGAAGCAGAGAAGCAATCGACATACATTTTAGTCGGACGTGTCTCTGGAGAAAATTCGTAAGCCATATCGCTACTGCAAGATCTAGGCATTGTATTATTCGCCGTGTTTAGCATTTAGCCCCATTTGTCGTAGAAATGGTACGTAAAATTTTGCGGATCTTGCAAACAAACAACGGAGCAAATCAGAAACAAATGACAAAAGTCTTCTCATATCAAAAGGAAAGACTACATGGTCTCCTCCGGAGACACTTCACCTATTCAGGCAAGAGAAGGTCCGGGATGAGGGTTATGTGACTTTCCATTTCCCCGATTCGTATTGCATAAGAGCTCCATTAGCAAGTAAATATGAAGATCGTAGCCAGTCGAAACACCACATGGAGCCGTGAATTGATTTGCCGGCGGTTAGTGCGCGGTCCACTAAATCGACCGTGTGAACTATGCCGGCACGACTGCGGGTCTGTCTTGGACTTCTTATCGATAGCGAGTCAGCCGCCGCCATTTGACGGCTCCGACTTGCCAGAAAGGCACCTAAGTTGGAAGCCTCGTTGTCATTATTATTCATCTCGGTTGTACTATGAATCAACTTATCCAGAGTATTCGGCATCGGCGCTCCAATCGAATATAGCATGGGACCGACGACATTTAGCCCTCAGATGCTGCGGTAACTGCCGGTTGCCAACTTGTTGGCAAGTATGATGCCAAAGGTAAGAATGTATCGAAGGCGCTGTTCGAACCAGAAATGAAGACCAAAAAAAAAGACTTGCAAGACAACATTGCCCGATATCGATAGCCTATCGTGTTGCTTAAGCCACAAACGAAGAGAAGCCGCCGTGCCAGACGCCAACGTTTGAGCGCGATTGAAGCATATACCGCTCATTTGTTTTTCCTCTGCCGATCTGGGAAGCAGCTGCCGAAGCTAGACGGCCACTGTGCAATCTTGCTATACACTGCCAGCTAATTTAGTATTTTCGGGGAAAGCGCTGCATTCTCATTGGTATATTTGTTTCTATCATGAAACAAATGGCCGTTCTCTCCCCGTGTCCCGTGGGCGCACCATAGTGCCCATGACGAAAGACCAAGGCAACGGCGACTGGACTGCTCATTTGTTGCGAGTGAAGGTTAAAACTACGATATCGCGTGCTAAATCGTACTAGCCGGTATAAACACTTCTGCCCAACCGTATTATGGAAGGTTTACCTAAAGTAGAATCTTTTGTAGAGAGATGCCTAAACAAGCATGTTGCCCTGGTCGCTGCTGCCACTATGCCCGGAACGATTCCCGGTTCGTCCATAAACTTAGCTGAGGGAGGTGTTGGGTGCGATGAAGCAGAAGCCGGAGTGAAAAGACCGTGAGTAACGAGATTCATAGATCTGAACATATATGGAACGCATCTTCTTCCCGCTGAGCTCGTGGCTAGCTGGAAGCCTGGTTGGCGGTTGGGACGAGCGTGGGGAAAGGAGTGACAGGGCGGCATCCCGTTCTGGTCATCGTGCGTGGTGTTCCTGCTTTTTCATGTTCACGAAGTTGCTGTACTGGTACTTAGATTGTCATTTTCTCCCAGAAGCAAAATTGCTTCAGCTGCGTAGGTAAAGTACCGTTGGAGAAATTGGATGAACCTAAACATTGCTGAAAGTACTGACGCTTCATGTGGTACGAGAACAACACACAGACCTCTTTTGAGCCGCTGAATGGAGGAATCACGCTCCCCAACCCTCCACCGTTCACACAACCACCAACGCTCCAGCATCAAAGGAGCATGAACAGTTGACAGGTGCTGATTCATGACAAGCATTAAAAGAGGCGGCAGCCACACGAATTCTCACCGATGCGAATAACAGTAATAATAACTGCCCAATGCAAGCATGCGATGAAGCCATCCCATGTGCTTCATACATCAGCCTCACTTTCTGGAAGCAATATCCGTGTGCTTCATGCCCAAGTTGCAAAATGAACTGGACTTGGCTAGTCTTCTCTTTCGATCCTCAGCCCATCCTCTGGTAATTTCGCATGTGGCTGTTTGACTGCTCTTCATGACCAGAGGGACGTCAATCTCCTTGTACTTTTCCCCTCTTTTTATGCCGTCATGCTCTCTTCTCTTCCCAACCGAGGCTGTAAGTCGTAAATTGAAGTAAACCACGCAATGTTGGACTTGCCTCTTTCGGCATAATCTTTTCTCTGGCACCGAGTTCAAGTGCTGTCATCCCTTCAAGCGTTGAGAAGACCAGGTGCAATCGCATTTCAAATGGCGGCAGTAAAGCCAGTCAGAGAATAAAAAACCCCGATCAAATGGACTAATTTTACTTTTGTATGTCTGTGTATATACGCTAGCATATCAGATTTATATCACTTTTATTTGAGAAACAGATGTCAAGAACTGTGCAAAGGCTGTTTATACTGAGAAAAAGCATTATGAACGTTTCTATAGTAGTACCATCACCTTCATACAGAACTTACCTTATGTTGCAGACATATTTATATGCTCACAGGAAAGGATATTGGTTTCAAATAGAATAGGTCAATAAAAATAGTACATTTATTCAATATCTACGGTCGATCTGCAACAACCACAGAAATCCATCGTTATTTCTTTTCTTTTTTTTTTTCCAATTGCTCTCTTTCCATCTCTTTTCATTTCTTCCACTTGATTCAAGTCAAGACCAAATGTCCATGCTGCCTCTTCTTCCTATGCTTGCTTTATTGCTCTTGAAACCTCCACGCCGTGAGGCTTAGATGTTCGCTATTTGATTCCTCATTAGAGGAAATTGAAGGGTTTTCAGCTCAGTAAAGAGTCAAGTCTCTACCCCACGCAACCCTTGCAATGCTGAGTATTCAAAATACTAATCATGGTATCTTCGCGAAGAAACTGTATACTGAACCACAGCAAGAAACGTACACACGCTACCCTTTATGCGCTTATGATCATGCATAGCGTTCGGGCAAAGATGGTAAGTAGAAAGGGCGTCTGTCAAAGTGAGGCAGCCAAAATCCTGACTAATTAGCAACTCACAATTATGCATGCAGATATCAAATTAAAATGTCTGGGGTTTTCTGGGAGTGGGAGCGGCCACTCCTTAGAAATGGATAAAGTCTTTCTGCCGGGAGACGTCTGCGTTATCAGGTTGGCCAGTTGCATATTGGGTCAAGTCCTCCTCTTCAAATGTGTCGGAATCGACATCATCGCTGTCTATTTCGTCGTAGTCTTCTTCTTCGCTAGACAGATCGCTTTCTTCATCTGAAGACGAATGCTTGCCATCAGCAGCTTCCGCTGACTTGGCAGTGGCTTTTCGAATCTGTCCTGCTCGGTCGATATGAGGAAGACGGCACTTCTTGTTGCGGCAGCTACCAGTATTTGCATAATCTGGGCACTCATGCACGTGACGTTCAGGGCAATTAATGCCCTTATCGCAATATCCTAAAGTAGCAAATGCGCGACACACAGGCGCTCCAGGATTGACACGAACATGGGCATAGCGGCAATTGGGATTGGAGCACTTCCCTCGAAGAAAATGCAAGCAAGTGGGAACCCGCTTGGGGGTAGGTTCATGAGAAAGGTCACAAGCCTCCCCAGCGAGACAATTGCCTGTCTGGAGAAACTCTTTGCAAATAGCAACCTTATTTGGATCGTGAACGAATGGACATAGCGGTCCTTTCAAGCATGAGCCTAACCAATCAAGAAAGGTTTAAAAGTCAGTACTCCGGCCAGGTTTCAGAAAAGAAATTCAGGAAAACAAAACGCCATGATGGGTGTTTTATCGGAAGATAGATTGGAAGAGGATACCCGTTGTCGCAAAGCGCTTGCAGAGTTCGGAGCGCTTCTTTACTGTTCCATGTTTTCTAGAGCAAACGTCAGTATCAGGCACCAAGGTCGAGAGGGACCGCGCTCACCGCTTAGCTTTAACGATGCCTGAACGGTAAAGATTGCCATTTTTGCTTCGAAAAAACATAACGCCACCGATTTTGGTCGACTTGGGAGTCGCACGCGCTGAATTCGGATCGTCTTAAACTTGTCGGCATCTTTCAAATCGACACGTTACGGCTAATAGTTGGGTAAGATCACGCACCTGAAACTCGAGTGAGCTTGCTGCCTCCGTCCGCAACACGGAAATGAATATCGTTTATCGTAATCTCATGGACTGAAGCCGAGCTAGGAACGCTGACCGAAGGAGAGGACTGGACATTTTGAGTAGCAAGCTTCTGGAGATGCCTCGTGAGTTTGAATTTCTCTCTCTCATCCCGCTGCTTTGCTTTCAATTTTCGGGTCTCCTCGATCGCTTTCGCTCTCGCCTGCGTTTCTTTATCATAGATGGAAGTATTGATGAGCTGCATGTGGCGATCTCTCTTAGCAATCCAGCCACCCGGCGTCCCAGTCTCATTTGGACCAGGAGTCACCGGGCTTGAAGTGCCTGACTCATGCCCATTGTTATTCAACACAAGAGTCCGGTTCCTGTGAGTATGAGAATACCCTCCTCTCCCATGCGGCCGTCCGTACGAAGTCCCGCGATACGGTCGCGATGTGGTGCTCGTCCTGTAATCTTTTACGTTTATTAGTGGGTGGCGCAGGGTGTAATCTAGTGCACGTATTATACCAGTACTCGCAGGTCGACTATAGGGATGCGATCTGTGACTGAGATGAGAGGAAGAATCCTGCTGAGCCTTGTGACGATTTATATGGCCTGAGTAGGCGATTAGATAGCTTTGACAACGACGGGATATACGAGGAGACGGTACCGGCAAGCTGGCTGATTTTTGCCAGCAAATCTTTGTCTTCTGACATTTCTGCGGCTCAATCTTAAAAGCAGCCTCTGTTGAGTGATGATCAATATTCGAGTTACGGTCTGGGAAAAATAACGGATGGTGAGGAGGAATAGATGTGAAAAAGAAGGAGCTTGAGCGTGAAGTCGCGCATGTTCCATAAACGTAACGGAAGTTGCCGAGGAGGACAAGTGCCTCGCTGTGAGTGAGCTCTAGCAAAAGCCTCATGACATCTACCACTTGAGCACCACATTCCACCAAAAATCAGTAACAATATTATTGTGGATGTGGTGATTTACTGTGGGAACAAGGACTTTGAATTAAGCAAAAGAAGGGATTAATTTATTTTTTCTAGCAGAATATTGAGATATCTTCATTAAAATCCCAAAGTGCTTTGGTTTAGATTTGTACAGCAGCAGCCTCTGCCGCAAACTTCAATTAAAGCTGTGTCTATATTCATTGCAAAGAAAAATCATCCGGCCCACTTATGGATTTAGCCGTTTCCCCCATATCCATGGACTATTGTTTTCAATGTCCGAGCTTCGCCAAAACGCCATCCGAGAGCAATGAATAATTCAGAAACACCAAAACATGCAGCTCCCAGTCAAGGAAGAACGTCTTCCATTTTTATATTTTCATCATCATCCTCATCACCAACGTCTCCCTCGTCCATATCAGAGCCCCCTTCAAATCCTGCATCGGGAGCAATCTCGTTCTTGACATTAGTGTACGATTCGGCATTAGCATATGTGCTTTCTTTTGCCTCTGGCTTCAACGTCCATGTCATAGCAAAAGGGCCTTGTCTGACAAGCATGGCAACTTTTTCTAAAGTTTGCTTAAGATAGGCCTCTGGTTGATTGAGCTCAGCTCTAAGTGACCGAATAGACCAGTAGTTGTACCTCTGGAAGCAACGGTAAATGAGATCCAGAAGTTCGTTTTGAGGAATGCGAGCAGCTTTTTGCTCTTGCGCCCTTGCCTTCTGAGGGCCGGTAGTTTTCTACGCGCGTTAATGATTTCCTCAGTTTGCCTGAAATGACAGATATCAAAACTTACGATAAATCCACCGAAATTGCCTGCTGCGCCAAGGGTTCCGGGCTGCAGCAAATTGCCTCCATGAGCTCCAACATTTCCTGAAAGGAATTTAGTCTCTCTCTTCGGCTTGGTCTTTTCTAACGTCCAGCGCTCCATGATGTTTCTGGACTCTTCGTTCTCCACCGGAAGACAGTTGACTTCGTGTTGCACCTGACCAACCATGGCAGTTTGCTCTATACGATATATTAGTAAGTGGCTGGACGGAAAGAAGAGGCATAAGCAGTCTGTGAGACATACTCGGAATAGCTTTTCGATAATATGGCTCCCATCGCTTCCCACGATCCTTGCCGTATCTCCTGTCGTGCGTTTCAGGCCTTGATGATGGTGGCAACCTGTCCCCAACCGGTCTGCCACTTCGCACCTTTGATGCATATCCAGGTAGATCCTTTTCGGTAAAAACGTATGTATTTGCAGGGCTTTCATTGGTGATCCGAAGATTGTACTCCTTTGGCACGTCGCGGTTCTGTTCGAGCTCAGATGATAACAGCAAGCTCAGCTGCAGCAAGCAATCCGGTCAGTCCGGCGCATCAAAATGATATGATAAACCTCTTTGATTTGCCTACCCTGTTGACATGTTGTTGCGTTCCTTCCAATCTCACAGTGCCTATCTGAATCTCTTCGTCATCGCCAATGTTAGACCAATTCTCCCACAGAATCTTCGGTATCCGCATCAGCCACACAGGATTTCCGGCATGTGAAAAGTCCAAATCGCCTGCATCCTCATAGATGTCCTCGTCTTCAAACGCAACTGGTGATTGTTCAGCGGAGTCTGGGTCGGGCTTGATTCGAGGCTCGACTCCCGGTTCGGTCTTCACGGTAACTCCATTGGTAGCCATGTTCCCAGGCTTCGTCAAATATGGCTCTCAATAATGTAGCCCACGATTGTCGAGACTTTCGCTGCTTCTGCTTCCAAAGCAGATTCGATGGCGATCTGCGCTCACTATCCGATGGGCCCCTGTCGCAACGCTGATGAAACTGTTTTGTCTCAGCCGTTGAAGAGCCGCTGACGTTTAGTTAGGTTCTCCCGTATGCACTACTCACGGATCGTTACCCGGATAGTCTGACTATCGATAATACCTACCCTATACTTAGAGCTTCAGCTTCCCAAGAGATAAATATCAAGAAGCTCTCAATTTCAGGGAGGCCGATGACCGACGAAGCGGCTTCAGTGGAACTGTATTGCAAGCAGAATGGCTTCAACAGACATTCTAACAGCTTTGGCAGAGCTTGAATCAAGCCCTCAACCGCAACACAACAAAGCATCTGGCTATAACGAACTACTTCAGAAGATCGTAAACGGCCCGTCAGCGCAGCTTTCCGCAAACCTCATTGCATTTCTCGACTCAATACTTGGAGAAACCGTCGGTGTAGTTGTTTCTAGACAATTATTAATTTCATTGGTTCTCGTTCTTAAGGATCTACCAAGCGCCGAAGTCAAAATAGAAGTCTGCCAGCATGCTCTCCAAGCTCTACAACCCCGGGTCGTTTCATTCGAGGAGCAAGACGCAGCTATAAGGGAGATTGTGGCGGATGCATACGAGCAACAAGAGGACTACACTTCAGCAGCAAAGGCGCTGCAAGGCATCCAGCTTGATTCCTCTCAACGAATGATATCAGACACAGCCAAAGTCAAGCTCTGGATCAGAATCGTGCGTCTCTTTCTCGAAGAAGATGACACAACCAGTGCCGAGACATACCTTAATCGAGCAAAGACTCTACTCTACAAGGTCGAGGATCAGGAGATTAGATTGATGTTTCAGCTTTCGCAGGCTAGAATTCTTGACGCTGGCCGTAAATTTCTCGACGCATGCCGAATTTACCATGAGTTCAGCTTCTCTCTAATTATCGCCGAGGAAGAGAAGATGCGCGCCCTCTCTGCTGCAATTATCTGTGCTGTCCTTGGTCCCGCTGGCCCTCAAAGATCTCGGATACTGTCCCAGTTGTATCGAGACGAGCGAGCGTCGCAGGTTGAGGAATTCGGCATCCTGGAGAAGATGTTCCTGGACCGCTTACTATCACCTGCTGAGGTTAAGCAATTTGCAGATAAACTCGCACCACATCAGCTAGCACAGACGGCGGACGGATCAACAGTTCTTACCAAGGCGGTCATTGAGCATAACCTGCTGGGGGCTTCAAGATTGTATAGTAACATTGGAATGGAAGATCTTGGCGGGCTGCTTGGATTGGAGGGAGAAAAGGCCGGAGAGTACGCCGCCGCGATGATTGAGCAAGGGCGCCTAGCAGGAAGGATTGATCAGATTGATCGCTTGATCTACTTTGATGGTGGTGAGGGAAGTGGAGAAAGAACAAGCGCAGGGCAGGCGGATAGAATTGTGGGTAATGAGTTACGAAAATGGGACGCCAACGTGCGGGGTCTCACTGAAGAGGTGGAAAAGGTCACCACGTTGATTCAAAATCATTACCCGGTAAGTCAAGTTCATATTCTATGAAGTTTGTGTCAAATCACTAAATGTTGAACAGGACTTCGTTGCAGCAAATCTTGTCCATTGACGTTAATCTACGCCTATAATAATAGTGTTGTGCAAAACAACCTCATGAAGTCTAGAACGCATCTTCAAACGACCTAAGGAGTTATTTGGTATTTGTTTATTCGAAGTCTCACGCCTCGAGCGCATTATAACAGGAAGCCATGTCTCAGTTAGCGAACGTTTTCTTTCTAAAACAGTCACGGTCAGCCTCTAGTGACCATCATACAATCTGTTTAATGAAAAGCCATCATGTTATTTGTCTTTACTTGAACCATGAGAAAGAAGAATCAAAGCACATATTTTGATTGTCAAAGCATTTCGAATCTACTATGCTTCCCTAATATCTAAACGTAATGCCTCCTACAGGCCCTTTGAAAACACCAAGAACGCCTCGGTAGTGACAAGATAATCTCATGAGTGCCAGGAAATTAAACAAGGAGAACCCTATAACAGAATTATCAGTTAAAAGTTCATAGACTTTGGTAGCACAACACTTACGCATTCACACAGCCATCATTTTCAGGGTTGTTGGTAACCTGAGCCCATCTACCCCAGACGACCTTTCCTCCGGCAGTGACCAGACCCAACTCGCTGACGTTCACCTCAAGGATGGTACCCTTGGTCAACACACCAAGTTGTGTGTACATGGGATTTTGAGGGTTCTTTTTAACAGAGATGATGGGGAGCTGGACAGTGACACCGAGCTCAGGGTGTGTGACATTGGCCTTCTTGTAACGGAGACCCATGGGACGGATGAAGCGCTCATACTTAACGGGTCGTCGGGTGAAGTCAGGGCCAACTGCGCAACGCATTTCAGTCAGTTATTGTTTCGCTCTCTTTTCCCGGGATGACTCCAACTCTACTCATCCACTGAAAGGGAATCAGGAAAACATACCGAAAGTCGGCTTCGTGATCATTCTCTTCCAGCCCTTCTTGGCAGTCTTCTTGCCCGTCTTAACAACCTTAAACATCTCCTCCTCAGAAATACCCCGGACTTTCGGCAGAGGAACGCTGAATTTGGCCGCCTTTTCCGCACGCTTGTTCTTGATTGCGCTCGACAGAGCCTTGGCTTGCGTCGGCTGAGATCGGTCAAGCAAGTACTGCGGCAAAGGAGTCGATGAGGGTTCCGAGGGCTGAGATGACTTGACATTGCGCTCTTCGTGGGCCTTGATCTGCTTCTTCATCTGGATCTTCTCGGCATGACGCTTCTTCTGGTACAGCTTGGCTCTCAAGCCGTGCAGTTTCTGGGCATCCTGCGACTGCTTGTGACCCTCACGGGCGAGCCGCTTGCGCTTCCGCTCCTCATAATCGAAGCTGAATGGTAAAAATCGTCAGCCCTTGCTAAAGATCCACATCTTCCTCGGATCAAAGAGTATCATACCGTCTACCGTGCTGCTTCGTCCACCGCTCAATATACCTAACAGGATTTGTCAGTTTTCATGGTTCTACTCGAATGGCTGGGGAGAGGCGACGAACTCGTTCTGAGGCTGTTTTTCACAATTGATCATCAGTCATCTGCAGCATCTAACCAGAGGAAAAGGACAGAGAGAAAGCATACCATGTTGATCAGCTAATGATCAAATATCCTCTGGAATCTGAAAATATCGTGGTCAAACAGTGGCACACTGATTGACTACTGTCACAATCTCCAGAAACACCGTACTGGAGGCGAACAATTATTGTCGAGAGCGAAATCTTGGCGTTTCCTACGAACTTTTGCCATCCTTTCTGGGCTTAGCGCCATCAAACTTTCCCCGTCGGCGTAGCGCACTTTGAACTACCCGGTGAGCTATTCCAAAGTAGGCAATTCTAACTTTCAAGAGCCTCATCTTGAAGTTCCCCGAGAAGAAGCGCATCAACACCACGCACCGAGTCGATTCAATCATCCTCTCCTCACTCCTCACAACATCAGAGAGCAGGTGAGGCTAGAGCCAGCCTACCGAGAATGCTCTCTCGCACAATTAAACGGTCTGCCTTGGAAGGCCGATGGCTTTCGGCGCCGTCATCTGTTCTTCCTCCAGTCTTTCTCTTCCCTCAGCGCGCACGGCTGTTCAACTCTACCAGCTCAATTGTCGACGAGAATACTGTCCCGGAACCACTAAAGCGCAGCGGAATTTCGACCTCGGACGCAAAGAATACTGTGCCTCACACCCAAAAAGACGGAGCAACCTCTGCTTCTTCTTCGCCTCCTCTGCCGACTCCTACTTCTCATAATCCTTCGGTTCCGACAACACCAATTGCAGATTCTGTTCGGGAACTTCTTCCTCTACTCTCAGCACAAACTTCGCATTATGCCACCGTGCATATCCACGCTCGCCCTTACCTTATCACGGCCGGAGACACCCTCCGATTGCCGTTCCTCATGAAGGGCGTTCAGCCCGGCGACGTGTTGCGCCTGAACAGGGCGACAAATATTGGCAGCAGAGATTATACTCTCCAGGGTGCGCCATACATTGATGAGAGATTGTTCGAATGCCGCGCGCGAGTTGTCGGTACCGAATCTGAACCCTTGCGCATCAAAGAGAAGACAAAACGCAGACAGAGAAGGGTCAAGACTGTTAAGAGCAAGCATCGATTTACCATTTTGAAGATCAGCGATCTTAATGTGAAAACAGTGGAGGAGATTGAGGGCTAAACCAGTATGTATTTTTCTGCGGAGGGTTAGATGTCTATCAGTGGACCGCACAAGAGAAGCCGTGCAGCTCCCTTCATTTTGAAGGCTTCAATCCGAAAGAGAAAAGCACGAAATTCTGCCTTTGTATAAGATCCAGATTTGGTGGATACGGTTGTCTTAAGAAGCTACATCATGCGAGTCTGGAGGAGGATAAGGCACTTTATCCCAAAAACTTAGTGCTGCGGGGATACCATGATCATACCGATGTATCATTACTTGCATTCTATGTATTCTAATATTTCAAGTTTGAAAAATTTGCAGAGAGATTCATATTTTAGAACACTTTCTAACATGGAGCGTTATCGATGAAGTAAAACTTCAATGACAAGAAAATTCAGCTTTCTACAATGAAATACAGTGCCAACGCCTCTCAGAGATACCATACCAATGCCGCTGCCGCTATGCTAACTAAACAAACAAGAACAGATGAATGAACAGTGTGAGATGCGCTCAGAATCGCAAAAAAAGGATATATTATCTTGCATGGTTTGTAACGCCATCATTAAAAAGTGATGTAATAAGAATTCAAGTTGTGCCAAAGAATAGTGGTATTATTCTTCTTTTAGAGCTCGCTGGATTCTGGAAAAGAAACCAGCAGGCCAAGTCGCCAGCTCTGCTTCGTCTGGAACGCCAAACTTTTCGCAGTGATGCACAACGTTGGAAAGGATCCGTCCAAGAAGCTCCTGGCTCACAGGAATGGTGGCGTCTAGTTCAAGGTCAGGATGCAAAAATGGATCCCGTTCGCTGAGTAGTTGTGGTATGGTTGGTCGCTGGGTCTGATCTCGGTTCAAGCATCGTTTCAAGGTCTTAATCAAGCCGGAAGGGACACTTTCTCCCCCGACACCAGATGATGGAAATTCGATTTCAACATTGGGGTTAGGAATTGCCATAATCTGCTGTATTTGGTTTCGGATGTGCGCGAAAGGCGGGCGTCCGTACACCATCTTGTAGAGGATGCATCCAAGACTCCAGACATCGCTGGGCTTTCCCAATTTCATCATCCTCCCCATAGATGCCGGTAATCCATTCTTCGCATTTGAGTCGACAATGGCCTCTGGTGCCATGTAGTTAGGGGTGCCCACTTGTTGTTCTCGGTGGACGTTGACGGTGTTGTCTTGGATTGCATTGGCTATGCCGAAATCGATGATTTTTAGTCGGCCTTGTACCATCAAAAAATTGGCTGGTTTAAGATCAGAGTGGACGATATCGTAATCGTGAACCGCTTGGACACACTCTAGCATCTCCTTCCAGTAATGTCTGGTGAAGCTGATATCAAATTTCGCGTCGTCACAGTTCAAACGGCGGTTTAGTATTCTATCCAAATCGGATTCTCCCATCTCCATAAGCTGAATGGCTATTAGTGACTTGTAATTGATTGTCCCAAGATGGAAATAGAACATACCACACTCAGTGTCTGTTTCTCTTCATTTATCTCATAGTCGTACAGGCGAACCACTCTCTCGACGTTCTGGAGTTTTCTGAGCAGATCAATTTCGCCTTTGTATCCTAACACGGCAGTTTCATCCGCGTCCTCGAGAGATACCCTTTTCAGTGCAAAAATCTTATAGTTTTCAGCCATAACACGGTAAACCCTTGAGCTTCCACCACGCCCGATGCAGTCCAACCTCGTGAAAACCTTGCCATTTACAGAAACATGATTCTTTCTTTTCCTAGAAGTGGTTGTAGTGGCAGCACCTGCCGTGGCAGTTGCAGTTTCCAAGACGGACATTTTTGGGGGAGGCGGTGGCGCCGGCCGATGAGGGGTATTCTGATTTCGAGGCGCAAGCGCTTTGCGCTCGACCGAAATCGGTGCAGCTCGCTCAGCCAAATCATCCTGCTTTGGCTGTACTTTCTCAATACCATCAAGTAATTGGAAAGTCTGAGGTCTGTTACGTTTGAAGGTTGGTGGTGGTTCATTTTCTTGGTCCTGTCTCGACGGGATTGAAGGTGCAACTATCGGCATTTTCGGAACTTCCTCTGCGCGACTCGAAGACAAGGCAGAAGGCACAGATGGTTGCCTTAATTCAGGCTGTCCTTGGCTCTCCAAGATGAGCGGTCGTTCATCAACTGCTTCACTGTAAGGACTGCCGGTCGTGAATTTGACTTGGCTAAATTTTCCGTGGCGTATACCATTTCTTTCCATTTCAGGAGTCCCGGAACGGTTGAGAGGTTCTCCCTGTACGGTTTCGAAAGGGACTTCTGGAGCATTTTCACCGCTATCAAGATTTGATTCCCCAGCATGGGCTTCCTCCAGAGCGTCATGTTCCTCCTGGCTTCGAATCTGCTCTTCTTCACTCTGTCTTCTCCGGCCACCTCTTCGGGCGGGCCCACTCAGATATGATCCAGCCACCTTGCCGACCCTTTTAACTCTTATTGAACTTTGAATTCCAGGCTCTTCTCCTTGTCGCTGCCTTCCGAAAGAACTCGAGGCATGACGCAAGACGCTCGTCTGGGAGCCAGCACTATGCGGTTTGGAAGTAGTTGATGGGATATTCGAGGCATCCTCTGCATCTTCAGGAGGAGGATTGTCTGCTGATTCAACTTCTGTTGCAGGCTGTTTTGGGGAGCTTCCAGAGCGCCCCACGTTTGGTGATATTCTCACGGTTCGAAGTCGAGCCGCAGGGGTTACCATTTCCTGTGATGTTCCACCAAATGAAGAGGCCGATGCTAAGGGACTGGGCGATGTAGACGTCCTATGGCGAACGGTGGCAGATCCTGCTGAGCCGGCGCTGAGCCTGACTACTCTCGGGGGCGGGCTTCCCCGATGCTGACTCCAGGACGCGTATTTCGGGGACGGACTGCGAGGTCTCGATTGTAGCTGATGGTAGGGCGAAGGTTTTGCATCAGAGCCCTCCATGGCTGATGGTGACGATATGTCCACTTCAGATCCTCCCTCATTGAGAAGGGCCTTTGTCAATGCACTGAACTTCATCGGCTGTGGAATCTCGTCGTCTGAGCTTTCGTCCATAGAGAACCGATGCGACATCCTGGCATGTCCAGATGGCTTGGTCTCCGTTGAAGCAAAAACCGCAGGAGATTCAGTCCTCAAGTTTGAAGCTGAAATCCTGCGGTAAGGAAGAGCTTCTCGAAACGAAGGTCCTCCAGAGAGGGTCCCTTGGGAGGGAGAAATAATTGCTGGAGAAGCTGTAGCCATGACTTATCACTCTTTGAAGTCGGTCTCGATAACGGGAAATAAATATTCCTTTCAGCTGTAAATCCTTCCCATCTCTCGTAATCCTCATAAGACGGGTCGCGTCGACATCGAAGCAAACATTATCGTGAAAGTGTCGGTCACGTCAAGACGCGATGTTCGAAATGCGTACAACAGTATGACGGAAATTCAGCTGTGGTTGTAGCAGGTGTAGGTGACCAGGGGGGAGGATTGGCTAATGAAGCGAGTTGCCGAAACCTCCGTAAACACGCGGCGTCGTCCGTTGCTGGGCAACCGCTTCCTCAAAACAATACCTCTACCTTGAGTTAACTTCCATGTCATAACGCTTGAATTCCGAGTAGGCAAAGGGAATAAATTTGATCCAACTATTAATTTTATTGTTTGTTTCATGTTGATTTCTATATATAATGGGTGGCTAACAGAAGAAGTGTCATTTTTAGCCGTGAGAAAAATGTTTTCAAATAACGTAATAATAATGGTCCTTTTATAGATATTATATTTAAAAAAAAAAAAAAAAAAAAAAAAAGGAAATATATATTTGCATAGCATCGTGCCAAATAAAGATACATATGAATACAATATGTTAAAAAAAATATCTCTAAAAAAAAAGGAATATACATTGTCGAGATGTTTCCATGGATCCTATTCCAATCAAGGTTATTAAAACCTATTTACCTTCTTCGACTGCAATAGCCACAATGACACAAATATCGTCAATCTTTCCCCCATGATACTCTTCATGCGGAAAATGAATCTTCACTTCTCTTGCGAATGGTCCATCGACCTTAGTATTAAGGCTCGCCACTTTGGCATAATGGGTGACAACAGTGGCTATCAAAGCTTGGAGGTTATTCTCCTGCTGCTTTCCGATTCCTCCGGGCAGCGTGAGACGAGAAAAATCTGCTCCAACCTCTGTTCCATTGTCACCAGTTTTCCATGCCTCTAGAGCTGCCATATAGCGTGTAACTGTTCTGAGAATGTCCTGTGGAGTCACGTTATCCCACACACCGTCAGATGCGAAGATGAGCACGTCGCCATGCCTTATTTTATGCTGGGTCACGTCTGAATCTTTGGGTAGATCATGAAACCGTGAGCCGCCAAATAATTTCAGCTGAGCTAAAAGCTTTGGGGGAATCATGGACAATTGATATGGTGTATTGAACGCGTGGGTCTGCGGTGGAGAAGCATAATGGACAGCATTGAGTCTCAATTGGATAAACCCCGAGTCTCCAAGACTATTTTCCATGTCAGCCAGAGCGCCCATAACTGCCGAGTGCCATTACTCACTTTGCCACGTCTAAATTCCCATCTGGGCTTGCCACTGCTACACAAGCCGTGCTTCCACCGCCAAAGATAGATTTGTCATGTATTGTTTTTTGATACCCTTCATCCATCAGATCTAGGGCCTTTAGCTTTTTCAATCCTTGTGCTCCTTTGTGATTATACGCCGTACTGGCCATGTAGTCACAGAAAGCATGAGAAAATTCTGCTGGATCAATACCAGCATTAGTCCAACCTCCGACTCCATCCGCCACACCGAAGGCTACTCCTTCTGTATCTCCAACCCGACTAATAAAAAATGCATCTTGACCACTATCTGGTCGATTTTTCTTCTTTCTTTTGCCGCCGGTCCCATCAAAGGATGTCGACTGAATTCGATTGAAAGGGTTGTAGTTAAACAAGTTTTTGTCTGGATGATAAGGGCGGTCTTTTCCAGAATAAGCTGCCGCCACTCTAAAACTAAATTTGGAGTTGGATTGGACTCTAGGCGATGTCTTCAAGCCACGGCGGCAGGTTCGACACCATGAAAGGTCTGAAAGTGCGTACTGCGCAGAGTGGCGTTGACGAGAAGGACGAGCTTGGCTGTATGGCGAACGCGCCGATGTTGGAATTGAGTGATAAGTCGCTGTGAATAGACCTCCGTATATACTGCGCTTCGAGCTATTCAAGCTTGAAAGACGTGGAGACGACTTCGTTCGCAAGAACGCCGCACTGGGATTCATTCTCAAGGGGGGTGAGATATGGGATCGCGGAGCGGCAAGTAATGCTTCTTGGTAGGATCACCGTTGAATCTCCAATCAAAATATTTCAAATTAAGATCGCATGCTTTGATGAAAGAAATATGCAAAATTTCCAAGTAATCTCTGAATTGATTGGACAGTGGGGCTTTGTCGTATATCTCTGACGTTTAAATAGATTGTTTTTGTTGCCCAAGATTATCGCTGATACTTTCGCTATCGGCACGGACCGTAGGCAGAATCAATATCTACACCGGGTAACCAAGATGATCATTTTTACACGGCGACGCGACGGTAGTAATGGCTTCAACGAACTACGCTGCATCCCCGATAGCACAATTGCCTTTGCACGTCTCCAGGCCCGGCTACTTATTGAACGCTATTTAGTGGAGCATCGTGACGAGTACAATTCAATATGATGCATCCAGCGCGTCAAGCATATGTGGAGGAGTCGCATGAGGTAAGTACTATATGCTTCCCAAGGCGCATAAACCTCCGGCACCGTTCACAATGACTTGTAGCGGCATATCATTCCAGCGCTGAAGCTTGCCCTTTGGCAATTATATAAAAAGGCCATCAGCTGATAAAGCTGACCACGGACTTAGGATGCAGACAATGGGGTGGATTTGGCCAACATTCGTAAGTGTCGGATTTTCAACTCTTCGCCGCACTTCAAAGAGCACCGCTAATCATTTGCTCCTCAGCCGTCGACCGGGATTATATTATGCCATCAACCTCTGCTGGTGTAGCACCCGAAAAGGCCTCTGCTATTCTCTCTCAATTCGATCGACGAAGGCGAGCTGCTCAGATCGCTGTACCAACGGACGACGGACGTGTGCGCGCTCGTCTCCGGGAAATCGGAGAACCCGTCACTCTCTTCGGCGAGGGTCCGGCTGAGCGAAGAGATCGTCTACGTGAGCTTTTAATGCAACAAGCTGAACAACGGGGCGAAATTGATGCAGAAGGGGATACGCGCATGGAAGAAGAGGAAGAGGAGGAAGAAGCCGGGATAGAGAATGAGGAGTTCTACACCGAAGGCATTCCTGAGCTCCTTGCTGCTCGCAGAGATATTGCCAGGTATTCGCTACCGCGGACGAAAAGCCGGATAGAAACCCAAAAGATAGAGTCGACGATATCACTAAGAACGCACATTAAGCATCGTCGAGCGATCAAGGACAAGCTTCAGGGATTTGATTTGTTTGGTTCCCAAATAGCAGGCGACAGGCCAGTAAGCATTGCACGATTTTCTCCAAATGGAGAAACCATTGCGGCGGGGAATTGGGGAGGCGGAATCAAGATCCTCGATGTTCCAAACCTAGATGAGAAACGGGTTTTGCGAGGGCATAAGGACCGTGTCGGTGGAATAAGTTGGTATCCGGGGGCGACTCTTCCAGGCACAACAGTTTCCGAAAATTCTGTCAACTTGGCCTCCAGCGGAGGCGAGGGCGATATCCACTTGTGGTCCCTTAGCCAGGATACCCCAGTTGGGACATTGTCTGGACATACTGGTAGAGTTTGTCGGGTGGATTTCCACCCTTCTGGGCGCTATCTTGCATCCGCATCTTACGATACGACATGGCGATTATGGGACGTCAATACAACAACCGAACTCCTGTTACAAGAAGGTCATTCTCGCGAGGTTTACACAGTAAGCTTTAATACCGATGGCTCGCTCTTGGCCAGTGCAGGTCTTGATAGTATTGGGCGCATCTGGGACTTGCGCACTGGCAGGACTATCATGATATTGGATGGTCACAGTCGCGAAATATATGGCCTTGACTGGTCGCCGGATGGTTATCGTGTTCTTTCGGGCTCAGGCGATGGCTGGGCAAAGTGCTGGGACGTGCGTATGGTTAGGCCCACCGGAGGTGTGGGCGCGCATACTGGAGTGGTGTCCGATTTGCGGTGGTTCAAAGGAACAGACAGCCCTGGTTCGGGACAACCTTTGGAAAGGGATGAGCGTGGGGATGTGAAGCCAAAAAAGTCAGGGACCTTTTTTGTTTCGAGTGGTTTCGACAAGAATGTTAATATCTATTCCGCTGATGATTGGGCGCACGTCAAAACGCTCAGCGGCCATTCTGGAAATGTCTTGAGCGTCGATATTACGTCGAATGGAAAATGGATAGCAAGCAGCGGTCATGACCGGACTGTCAAACTTTGGGGTCGGGATGACGGAGAGGGAATTTAATCGGTTCAGAAGGAGCCGTTACCAGCATTCTTGGAGTCTGGGGGCTACTGTTTTTCTTGTAATATATGGCGCAGCATAGGGGGCGGTCTTTCTCAATATTTCAAGTTCCTAGATGCATTCCATGAGCTCTCAAAACAATTCAATCGAGATTGCCGTTCGATATTTGGAGCGCGGGCTTGGTCATGCAACGCAAACAAATCTAGAGGTTTTTCATATTCATGCAATCAGTTCACGTAGAAAAAGACTGCAGAATCAATAATATATGCAAATTGGATAGATGCATACTACCCCGTATATATTTCCAAGTTTAACCTCTTTTAAGCCATCTGGATCTTATCAACAAGATGAGATCATTGGTCACGTGCAGGGATTATCTCCGAGTCCGAAACCTGGTTCCCGGCGCGAACCATCCTTTGCCGAAGGCCGGAATTTAGTTTCTTTGATTGTTTGACGACATTTCGAGCATCAACTCTTCGCAGCTAGAATATCTGGACAACAATGCATGGAGCTCGAGCTCTCTTGGGCAGAGCGCGGCTCACCGACTTGATTTCACGGCCTTCAAATTCTCTAGCTTCCACCAGAGAGTCGTGTCTACAATGTCAAACACGGTTTTGGACTGGAGTAAACCCCGTCAGTATTGATCGGCGGCAAATATCTTCTTCACCATCTTTATTCAAGGAGTCATTGAAGCCTCAGACACATTACGAATTCTTTCCTCAAACGACCTCATCGGGGCCGCCGCCCAACGGTCCATTTTCGATTGACCTACCCAGTCTGAAAAAGGAATTTCTGCAGCTCCAGGCTAGAGCCCATCCAGATCGTCATCCTCAAGAAGCGAAGTCGCGCGCCGAAGCAACATCCGCTCGGATAAATGAGGCTTACAAAGTTTTACAAAACCCTTTACTGCGTGCGCAATATCTGCTGAGCCTGCGAGGAATTGATGTGGCTGAGGATGAAACCGCCAAAGTGGAGGATCCCGAGCTGCTGATGGAAGTTTTGGACATGCGCGAGGCGATTGAAGCTGTCGACGAGGAGGAGGAGCTCGAGCCGCTCAAGGACAATATTTCATGGAGGATTGACGAAAGTGTAAGAATTCTAGCGGACGCGTTTCAGGCGGACGACCTTGATGCTGCAAAGATTGAGGCGGTTAAGCTCAGATATTGGGTAAATATCAAAGAGAGTCTAGATGCGTGGGAAAAGGGTAAGCCCGTTGTACTCGTTCACTGAAAGGATTCTCGAGGGAATGCAGCTTCAGGCATACCTGCCTGCTGTTGCCCTGTTGCTCAGGGTAAAAGGGTTCAACCGCAAGCGATGTTGAGCTGCCCTTTCTTCAGCTTCTAGGTTGCTTCCTCTCCCCTCAGCTTCTATCTCGTCTCAAATGGGTTTCCTTCAAATAAGTCTGCATGGTAGCGCAGTAGCAACATTTGCGGTGGAGCATCGTTTTCAGCCTTCGAGCGGATACCCCTTTTTCTCGTCTATTTTGGGAACCTCTCAACTCCAGCATTGATGGCATTAACAGTAACGACTTGGCGGCATCGCTGGTATTACAATATTTTTTCGAATTTGTACCATTAACTATCTTTCTTATATGAACGTTTGAGATGGATGTTAACCCGAAAGGACTGGATGGCATCTGAACAGCATTCATCTATCATATTCCGTCCCTAGGCTCATCTTAAAAAGAAACAATTATCAAAAGTCTGGCCCATTTTGACGTTCGATGCGAAGATACTGCGGATCATTTCTTTCAAAGGCAAAACTCCACAAAGTCTGTATCGGGATCGTGTCGTCTTCTGCCTTTTGCTCATCAGCAGTTTCCTTGGAACTCTTGATCCCTACATGTTGCATGACGCTTGGGGTCAATGCCCATCTGATCTCATTCTGGCGATCTGCAAATTCCTCTGTGATCGTGTCCACGAGACCGAGTTTCTTTGATTCATACCAAGCTAGCAGTTCCGGAACTCTTGTTTGTGGGTACACCAATGCCTGTGAACAGCAGCCATACGCAGGCATTTCATTCACACCAGCTGGCAATGGCAGCATTGTCACTCTTCCAGCTGCAAAGAACAAAACAATGCACAATGGCGTGCTTATTCCGCAAAGCAGAACTATAGTCTCATTACCAAGCAACTGTCTGGTGAAGGAGAGGTACTGGCGGGCACTGACTAGTACAGCTCCAAGAACTGTGACCAAGACAATGGAACAAAAGAGATATATCGGCCATTCTTCGCTGTTCCACCCGTGGAACTTTTCGGTATAAAATAATCGAAGATACAGCCCTGTCAAATATTTTCATGTCAGCGTTATCTCCAATTGACGGTAAGGGTTCAAGTTACACTTTTCTGCACCCTTGGCCCAAGTCTTTTCCTCCGCAACCTTCAGCGCTTCTTTCGTGCGATGGAACCAGCCGTCTAATGCAAGCGTATCATCTTCTAGCATAGCAACGTACGGTGCGCCAACAGAGTGGCAGGCATTCATTAGATAACGATAATCAAAAAGGCCCTTTTCTCTCATTGAACCTTTTTCCTCCTCCAGCTTTTTCAGATGTGTCATCTGATCTGCATCAAGGTCGTACAAAAGCACTTGATCAACTAGCGTGCCGAGCCAGGATTCCGAATATGCTGGATGCGCGTGAGGATTTGTCTGAGCAATCAAGACCACAAGATAAATTTGTGCTCGCTCCTCTTCAGTCAGGTCGCCCAGCAAGGATCCAAGCAGAGGACGAAGATACTCGACACCCTTGCGCGGGACGGAGCTGATGCCTACGCAGAGGCTTAGAGTCTGCGCTGTGTCATTGGTTGCTTTTGAAGAGGGCTTCCCGGAGCCTGCTGGTTTCAGCGGCAGCCTATCGATGAAGGCATTCGCCTGTTCTGTCCTCAAGGACGAATAATCTGGGCGATAACCCTCAGCAGGATCGAAGAACCATGACGTAGGGTCTCCCTTGCAATGAATGCGCGCAAATTGCACGGCGAGAAGATATAAAAACAGGAAAACGAGGAACACATATGTGGGGTTGGACCGCGTTGCCATAGTCGGGTATGTACTTCTCCGAAATAGCCGCGAGCATTTCATGATTGCCATGATTATATCTCTCTCGGCTTGAAAAGATGGCAAGGCTTGGGTCATCTCTCTGAGTGCCATGCACGTTTAACAACATGGAGGGATTGTCAGCCATAGACATGCTTAATCGTTACAAGGGACGCTTTCTGCTTGTCAACGAACTTGGTGGAGCCTGTGGAGAATCGAGATAGACGCATATTAGGTCCGGGGCTGGTAGAACGGGCTCGTTGATCGTGCGTAGCAATCCATGGTTTTTTTTTAGAGTGGCTGAGACTGTGGACCCTTGGTCTCTGTGCTTCAATGCATGGACGTATTGATGCCATTTCTACGCGTCAAACTGTACGATTTTTGTTTCAAAGAATTGCAAGAGATTATGGAGTATTGAAGGCATGTTCGTCATATCAAATAGATTATTTTTATTTATTCATTTAATTTCCATTTTTTATAATTAAGTCGGAGAAATGGAAAGAAGCATAACTTGGATATTTTCACTTAGGAATTGGACGTAAAAAAATACGAGTACAGCCTAGAGCCCGGTTTGCAAAACTAATGCTGCCAAGCACAACCGGAGGTAATTTATGCTACGTAGTATACGAGCATACAACCAAATGACATAATGCCCTGACTATTAGTGGTCTAAGCTTTAACCAGCTTTTAGTTCACCTTATCGCTAGAGCTAGCTAAGAATACGAGTGACAGCGGGGCGCAATCCCCCAGCCCCAATGCAAAAGCTAGCGGCTGCAAGCGAAAACCAACGGATGACTTTTAGCTAGGCCGCGCCTCTGCCGTACCGTGGACATTGTTCCTGAGTACTCGTAAAAGAAAAGTTCGAGGATGCAAGGTTATTTCCAGTAACATAACGTCTGACTGTGGGACGGTGGTGGGGAGCGCCAAGCCCTACGTTTCCTCGTCTAGCTTTGGCCTGCCGCGGCAGGGTTGATCTCACCAGAATCAGCAGATATTAGTGGGGGTGTCGGCTCTCTTTAATTGCCGCCGTCATGGAATTTAGCGCCGAGGGTTTAATCTATTCTTCAGCAAACAGAAGAAATACGAGAGAAGGTCCAAGGAACGACCATTGCTCCCGGCGCATTCTCCGGGGTACTCGAGCAGATTAGAGTAAAATCTTGAGGAGAGAGGGAGAAAAATCTACTACGTACGACCCGCGGCACACGGGCCCCTCCATGCCCCCTAAAGTGGCTTGCCAAAAAGGTGGTTTTTTTTAAAAAAAAGAAAAAAGAAATAAAAAGAGGGAGAGGCAATCGTTTGTAGCCCCTGCATCACAGTGGAAACAAATTTTTAATCGAGGACTGGCAGCTTCACTGCTATCACGGCGTGAGGCCCTTTGCCGCTGCGTTATATTAGAGCCTGTAATCATGGTTCGTTACTAATTTTACTGCCAGAAATGCCAGGGCAGGAACCACAAGGCAAACCACCGGACGCTTCTACGTCTGAAGTTGATATTATTTATCTATCATTGTTATCCTAGGAATCTACGGCCCTTCAGGAATATTATTTGTGTTGGTCATGTTTAAACAGATTTTGGTTCTGTCAACGTGGTTATTTTTCCTCTGTAAAGTGTGGTTGAAGGGAAATATAATCGAGGATTGGCTAATCCATGGATACCTTGTCCGCTTGATGTCCGGTCCCTTATGTTGTCATTTTGGAGGGTTTCAGAAGAATATCTTTGAACCTCCCGGGTACTCTAGCAATATATATATCAACTGCAAGAACTACTACAGGCCCAAGTCGGTACTTTTCAGGGAACAATGACGGTTGGGTTGTATGAGGGGAAATGAAGGGTGGAAATGGGGAACATGGGGTTGTGAACATAGAGTACCAGAGTAGTACACCACGTTCTTTCCATTTACTTCGTATGCCCTTGTAAGAGTATTCCGAGTCCAATTGGATACCCTACGCCTTTTTGCCATCTTTCAATTACTTACTCCACCGCCCTTGGTTGCCAAGCTGCTTGGCATGTTGTCTCTTGTATATTAGAAAGTACACGGTATACCCTGCAGAGGTCAGATCACTAGAGCTCGAAACTGTGAAAGATCGGGTCCTCGGGAGTCAGAACTTATCGGGCTCAGACCTGTGGAGCTTGGTTCTTTTTTGCAAGTTCGTACTACGATGTCACAGCCTGAATGAGTAGAAGCCACTATTTGTGCATGAACCCAGCCCATATTCTCTATTTCGCGAAAAAAAAAAAAAAACCTCTTTCTGTGTTGAAAATGTTAAATTTCCACATCAGTCATGCTCTGTTTATCATGTCGTGTATATTAAAACTATCTTATATATTCAAACAACCATTGACAGTAGGGCCTCCGAAATATTCAAACCATTCCCGCTCCTCCATTGTAGTGATCTGACACTAACATAATCAATGACGGTCCGAATGCCGCCAGTCCGTAGCGGTCCGAGTAAAGATTGGTTTCTATTGAAAGGGAGTCTGGTATCGATATCTTTTGTATAAATGTCTGGCATTCTCAGCATACTTTTGATGACCGGTTGTTGATGTACTTCCTACAAGGATAATGTCAGTGGTGACCACAGACTGGTGGAGGAATGTTCAAACGACCGACCTAGGGTGGCATGATCATACTTTCAAAATTCCACACTTGGTCCAGGTATACTCCATAAAAGACCAAGGTCTACCAGTGTTCACCCGCCCTAATAGACCAGCTACTAGAATTCCTAAATTTCGAATTCAATGTAACTAAAGCTCTGAAAATAACATTTCATGCCTAGTAAACCCGTGACTACGATTGCCAGGCAATAGTGAAATCAGTAACCATACTCTTGGAAATCCGCGATCCGATTAAGTTCATTCAATCCTTGTACTGTAATTATTGTGATACTCTACATCTACCAGGATACCACAATTACTTTTGTTAATCTTTTTACATCCTGGTAGAAATTGTATACTTGTCATGATCATCGCATGATATTACCCTTTATTATCTGTCTCCTAAGTGGAGACCTTGGGAATTCATTTTCATCTCGCCTGTGCGGAGCGTACTGAGCTGGGATATCCCGCGTGTGCTATTGACTGGATGAACAAAATATCCCGCTGGATTTGGCAAGGTAGTCCCGACATTTTCAATATCGGGCTCAATGAGTTGGACAGTATGATGGCCAGTTTGGATCTATCGTGATGTAAGAAGCGTATGACAAGCTTGAAGCACCTCTGCTAGTTTCCTGATATTCATGCGAGAATATTGAAGCATCCTACAATTGGAGTTCAGGTTATAATATAAATATCTCCCTTGATTCCTACTTTTACATGCATTCATTCTATATCAAGCGCACTATAGTCTCGATATTTCACAAGCTGTCCGGTTTTTCGTAAGACTCCACGTCTCCAAATATCTCTCTTCTCTTTCCCTAGAAACATGCTAATAAGTTTCAGAACCTACAATCATCCAAATTCAATCCAATATGAAGTTTGGACTTTTATTTCCCGTCGGCCTGGCTTTTGCGTCTCAACTTGTCTCGGCCTGGAATGACGGATTTGGTGGCATTGCACCTGGCTATTTCTCAATAGAAGTTCCCGAGGTTGGCCAAGCAATCTCCGAGCCAGCTCCGTATGTCCACGCCACGGTCAATACTGAGCAACACAATTATCCACACTAATTGTACTTGGATTGTGGTTGTGCACGAGATCATGAATATTGGTGCTACTTTACAACACCAGACTTGCCATATGGCATTAGCCTTCATCCAGGATCTCGCTGCTACTCAGACAGCAACAAGGGCGTTCAAATCAAGTACGGCGCACAGTATCTGGATGCTACCGTGGATACTCGCTGCGGCAATGTCAGATTGCAGGGTACAATTGCCAATACAGCTCGTCGTTGCATCATTCCTGTCTCTGGATAAATTGTTAATCCAACGATACAGTGGAACGAGCTGCCTTTGTGTATGAAACTATAGATGCGGAGGGATCATTCTGCTTCTAGTCCATAATCCCAGGATAGTCGGCGGGGCCTTAGAATTAGAAAACTTTGTCAAATTGTATCTAGATATAGCACACGCAAGTCAAGCATTACAAGCTAGCTTAGATATAGTAGCTTTGGAATAAACCCCGGCTTATTGATTTAGCCTGTCAAAACGATTTTTTGATTAACATAATGAAACAAAAATTTAAAATTTGATGAGTTAGAACTACAAGCGTTCGAGTCACATAAGCTTTCTCTAGCTATGTAAGCAAGCAGGTACTTTACTAATTGCACGTATTAGCACCAAAAAGCAAATTTATTTCGCAATTTAGCCTCATAATTCATCCAAGCAGAACATCAAACAATAGACAGCTTCCCATAGAGGACACAAGAGGACTAACCTACACGTAGGTCTAGTTGCCTACTCGGTACAATACTGATTAATTATATCCGAAAGACGCCTCAAAAACCTAAAGCTTCAATAGACAAGTTTCCGGATAATAGGCCGAAGAATCGAGACAAGTAGTGGTGTCTGCCCCCATATGCTAACGTGGATAAGTAGAAGCAAATTATAGCGAAGAATGCTAGGTAAGCCTATTGAATTATGGTGGACGATCTTATTGTCAGGCTAAGTACCAGTATCGACCATGAAGTTGTCTATCGCTTAGAATAAGAGATCCATTTAATCATTTAAGTATTTGTCATAGAATACAGTGAGGTACTGTGGAGAGAGGGACGACCAACTAAGGCCAATAGGCAATGGCTTAGTCCGTAGATAATGGGCAACGGATAAGCGACTATAGCTATGGAATGGCTGAGGATAGTGGATAATGGCTATGATTTGCTTTGTGAATAAATAAGAGACAGACACCCTCCAACCCCCACCGCCCCCAAAATAAAACCAAGGGGAGGTCTTTGCTGAGATTGATCGCTCTATTCTCATTTAATAGTTATACTGAATGTTACCCCTAGCCGTGACCCATACTACGCTGAACCCCTCAACGAACCTCTCCCGGTCGTCTGCCTGGCAGTGCTACTTCCGTAGGGTACTCCGTACTCCGCTTCGGAACTGCGAACCGCGTTGACTGGCCCTTCGGCTGGATATCCGAAAACACACCTACAACCTCGTATCTAACTTCCGACGGCGGATAGGGTATCCAACGGATTGCCCGACGGTCAACAGGCCTGATCGCACCGAATAATAAGATTCAAATACAGAACACCATCATGAATGCTAGATCTATAAGAGATATCCCCTGCCGTAAGCGCGTAGTGATCGACTATGAGTCTATGACTTTGTGACCCATAGATATATACAACAACCAAGAATCATTATCAGAAGATGGCGACCCAAACACAGACAACGACCGCTGCTCCCGCGCAATCACTGTTCCAGACAGCTCCCTACATCCCACCAGATGCCATCTTTGCCCTGACTGCCGACTATCTGGCAGATCCATCCCCGAAGAAGGTCAATCTCGGCCAAGGAACATACCGCGATAGTAACGGCCAGCCGTGGGTATTGCCGTCCGTGCGGAAGAGCCGCCAAATTCTGCAAGACCAGCAATTGAATCATGAATATTTGCCCATCCTCGGCCACGCTGGATTCAGAAAGGCTGCTGCAAAGCTGGTCCTTGGAAATTCGCTCTATCAACCTCTAGAGAAAAAGGTAAATTGAAAAGTGGAAAACGTCAATTCCATAACCGAATCACCACCCCGCTAACCATTTATTTTCTCCTATTCAAGATTGCCAGTTGCCAGAGTCTCTCAGGAACGGGTGCGCTTCATCTGGCGGGCTTGTTACTGCGGTACTGTCGAGGCACATCCGAAACTCCCACAGTGTACATTCCCACACCGACATGGTCAAATCATTTCCAGGTCTACTCTTCGCTTGGGTTCAAATGTCAGCCCTTTAAATACTACGACTCGGACCGAAAGGGTCTCGACTTTGAATCGTACATTTCCGCATTAAAATCAGCTGAGCCGAACTCAATCGTGATCCTGCATGCATGTGCTCATAACCCTACCGGTTGCGATCCCAGCCAGGAGCAATGGCGGGAAATCGGCGCAACCATGAAAGAGAGACAATTGTTCCCTCTCTTTGATGCCGCATATCTTGGATTCAACTCTGGAAATGTCGACAATGATGCGTTTGCCATTCGGTACTTTGTGCAAGAATTGAAAATGGAGATTGGACTATGTCTTTCTTTTGCAAAGAATATGGGACTATACGGTATGTCTTCCCGGTGTGGGGGGTGGGGGGAGAGGAAAGGGAAAAAACAGCTCTTACCAGCACTAGAATACTGACTCGTTACAGGTGAGCGTGTTGGGTGCTGTTTCGTCGTCACGGAAACAGAATCCGCAGCCAAGAATACCCAGTCTGTTCTCGAGATGCTGCAGCGGTCAGAAATCTCGAATCCTCCGGCCTATGGTGCCAAGATTGTGACTACAATCCTCGAGGACGAAGAATTGACGCAATTATGGTTCCAAGACCTCATCACGATGAGCTCACGCATCCGGTCAATGCGAGAGGCACTCTACAATCACTTGAATACCCATAAAGCGGCTGGCACATGGGAGCATCTCATTCAGCAGTCAGGCATGTTTGGATTCTTGGGCCTGTCGCCAGAAGTTGTTCGCACGCTCAAAGGTAGGGAATTGATTCTCATTTACTACTTTACGTAATTCAAAGAGTTTTCTAATGTCTTTGGCAGAGCAATATCACATCTACATGGCTGATAATTCCCGCATTTCTATTGCCGGTTTGAATCCCAGCAATGTCGAATACGTCGCTCAGTCGATTGCAGAATGCCTGAAATGAATCGGGTGTTACGAATTTTGAGCTTAATGAATATTCAGAGGGTATAACCTTGGAGAAGGAATGAGTCGATGACATTTTGCAAGTATTAGAAGTGTCAGGCTCTTAGACCATGTGCACTACCAAGATATAATTGAATGATGACGATGATGATGTTTTAAGCACACTATGAGACTACCAGTTTTCCAATTCAGATTCGTTGGCATTATTTGCATACTATGTGAATCGTAACGAAGTGTTGGCCGCTGACTAGAACTAATTAGAACCCCAGAAAACCTGAAAACCAATCACTAAGTTCCTCTGTAGAAAAGTTTAAACTATAATAATAGAATTTCTAGATCAAGCCGAGTAAATAAGATTAGATAGTTGTAATTTTAAGCAATCTTTCTGAATTATAATCAACTGAAAAGGTGAGGCAAAATGGTTTGCCTGTTTGCACTTCGGCACTAAGAATTGAGACACTTCAATTCTCAAAGGACACTTGGTCTTTTCTCCACGAAACCCCAGGCTCTTCGATATCTGAGGTTTATGTAACATATTCTTTTCGGAAAATCTATGCCCAGTTTCTTCTATGACTATGACTTCTACAGTCGAGTCTATGCTACATGATTGAGATGCGCTTGTGGAAGAAGTGCTATTTACAATATAGAGAAAGACGAAGACGAAGACGAAGACGAAAGGGGAGACAAAGGGAAAAAAAAAAAAAAATTGAAAAGAAGATGATGATGATGATGGGAACGAAGAAGAAGATGAACAATGCAGTAATGTTACAAACATACAGCTGGATCAACGAGTCAGCCACACCCTTTTTGTCAACGCCTTTATACCATGATTTTATCTTATTAAACTACATATCGGACGGAAGTTTCAACTCTCCACACGCTCCTGCTGCTCATACAGTCCCAGCAGCTGTGCGAGATATTCCGCGCCCAGACCCGCGGTAATAGCACCGCCGGTGAGCCAGCAGCCGTAGCGGAACCACCACCAACAGTCTGCAGGACTCTTTAAACGGACTCGCCAGATCATGTACGCCAGCGAGGCCGCCGCGCCTCCGCACGTTCCGGCGAAGAAGACTGGACCTGCTCCAGCCGCGACACCAGCCGCGGCAAGCAGACCCACCTGGGTGACCGCGAGACCGGACAAGATGGCCTTGGTGTCCTTTTCGTGTTTGAGCGCAATGGACTTGATGCCTGCTTTGACATCGTCCCGGATATCCATGTGTGCATAGATGAAATCGTAGAGAATCACCCAGGCGACGTTGCTGGCGTACAGGCACGCAGCGGCCGTGAGGGCGGACGTGTTGGAAAGCAAGTCCACTCCGAGCGCAGGGAAGCCCATGATGGCGCCCCAGGAGAAAGTCAAGCCGAGGACGAATTGCGGGTAATGCGTGATGCGCTTGGCCAGGGGGTACACTGTCACAAAGGCGAGCGAGGGCACCGCATACCAGAAGCACTGCCATGGGAATTGGACAAGGACTGCTAGGCCGGCTAAGCCCTGGGCACCAGTGTAGACAAGGGCGTTGGTAGGTGAGACGGCGCCCCGCGCAATAGGTCGGAACCGCGTACGCGTCACATGGGGATCAAGCTTGCGGTCCCAAAAGTCGTTGATGGTGCATCCAGCGCCGCGCATGATTAATGCGCCTGCGAAGAAAAGTGCGCCGGTAGAAAGGACGGCTAGGGGGGCTGCAATGGGAGTTGCCAGTGGCGCAGCCATCAAAGTACTCCACGCACAGGGCCAGAAAAGATAGTATGTTCCAGTCGGCTTATCCAGTCGAATCAACTCAGCATATGGTACCCAGGAGGAGGGCAGTTTCGAGAGCAGGCCCGTTTTCGGAGGTTCGTAGCGCGCGGGCAGAGGGTCTTCGATGTTAGAGATTTGGGGTTGGATCGCAGACGTCATTTGTGATCTGGTCAGCGGTTTCGAGATAAGGCTGAGAGGTGTTCTTTGCGTAGAGATAGATAGTGGTGAATGGCTTGTTGTGATAGCGAGTGGATGCTCATTAGCGGTCCGGCCGTCGCGCCGCGAAGATGTCAAGGACGAGGTTGATCGCAAGGCACAACGCTGTATGCTGAGAGCGCGTCCAAGGCGCGGATTGCAAGAAGGATATAGAGAGACATTCTTAGCAGCGGCGCAATGAAGCGCTCGCGCTCGTGGTAAGCTCCTAGCTAACATTGTGACAAGCTTCTAAGGAGATCATTAATAACGGAACGGCCATTGCAACCGGAAAGGCGTACCACTTGTCTGGACTTTGCTGCAGTTTCCCGGAAAGAAGTGAATCCAATTGAGATTTGGCAGGTTTTCGAGACAAAATGCTTCCGCGGACTCAACTGACCAAAGCTTATTTCGACGTATTTCTACTCCTATCGGACCGAGGATGAGGCAGTTTCAGGCGAATGTCTGAGCGGAAGATCACGGACAATTGAAACACTCGGTTCTCAATGCGAGGCCGTCTTGCAATAATCACCAACACAAGGCCAAGGGAAAGTTCCCAAAAGGTCCTCCGCCGCTGTCCCAAAAGGCCGACTCTTATCGTAGACTTGTCGGTTGTCGTCGGAGATTGAAATGTTGAAGATCCCCGGCGATACCTGGACGCGCGGTACGGCGGACGACGTGAGCCTCTCAAGCAGAACCCTTCGGCCAGACCTTCCTTGCCAGTGTTACATCAAGCAGATATATAAATTGGCGTTGGATTTCAATGTAATTCGTCCTACTACTAAGCCAATAGTTGGTTGCTTCATGTTTTCAAGAAGTAACATATAGACTCCAAGATAAAGAGTATCTCAATTAGACATCGTATTATTGTAAGCTTGTCAGAAAACGGAGAGCCATATACCAGCTGATAGGATATCTCGTGCGGTTAATTCAAGTTCAGTATGTTATATACTCCACCTTGTCTCTTTGCTGCTGTATCGCCGAGGTATGAAACGCCTAACCATGCAAGGTGTGCTAAGAGAAGAAAGAAATGAAGCAAAGTAGTAAGACAGGAGAAAACTGCAAATAACGGTTCAGGATATAAGAGGATGAAAGCAGGTCATAATTCCTCCTTAAAAGTCCATCCCTTATCCTTCTCATTCTCATCATCATTCTTTTCTTCGCGCTTTGTACCCTCTTTTTCGCCTTGGGGATGTTTCTCGCCATCGTCCTCTCCATAATACTCCTCGTCATATCCTTCTTCTGTTTCTTCATCAATGTCGAGAACTCCACGAAGGCCACGTGTGCCGTCGCTCAGCTCGATGATCTCCAATCTCCACCCTTTTTCGCCTGCGAGCTCTTGAACCTCTTTACGTAGGTCTTCAATATTTTTCGGGTCGAGCTCTAGCTTTCGCAGATCTTCGTCTCCAAGGGACTGGACTCGTCCACCTTTGGCCACGGAATCACCCACCGCGACTACTTCCACAATCTCGTCCTTCCCTTCCAACGCTTGTAATTTGGCAGCCGTCGAGGACGTTTCAATGCGCCGGCCATCACCGCCGACCTCTTTTTTGGCACCCACTTCAATCCCGCCAATAATCGGTCGAGCCTTGACGCCTTCTCCCTCCCGAGTTTCATACGTCGTGCGCATTAACCTTTCCTGGATTTCCGTAGATTTCCGTGACTTCCACGCAGGCACGTCAGCTGCCGGGGTTATTTCACGGCATGTTATTGGATGGGCTCGATTCTCGCGCGGCGGTAGAAATGCTACGTCATTGCAAAGACGAGGTGTATAGACAACCATAAGGTATGAGCATGTCGAAACTTCTTTGATCCAGCCGATACGGTCAATAGATTGTGGGTGGCAATGAAACTTGATTGGTCGACCAAAGTTAGCTTTAATTCTCAACGAATAAACCGGCATCGCAAATCGTGATTCTTACTTGGACTTCAATTTTCCTTTCCCTGCCCGTCAAGTCGCACGTAGTGCCTCCACCTAGCTTCTGTACGAGATATCGTGTTTCACCACGGGCTTGAAGCTGGGCAACGCCCATCTGACCCTTGGCTGCATCCGGATCATCTTTTGTCGTGCCGCCTTTGGCAGATCCCCGCCCTTTGGATTCATATTGCCCAAGCACAAATGATGGTACCGAAGGGTCTTCGGCGGGTGGATAATTGGGGACACCCTTCCCCGGAGAAAGCTGGTGGAATTGCCTGACCTGATTATTGTGGCAGAACGAGTACGACCACCATCCTGAAATATAGTATAGACAGCCTTCCATATTGCTCAGCAGCTCCCAGCCACGGTCAGTAGCGCGAGCGAGCTCTTGCTCGTGCTCCTGCTGTTTCTCTGCTTGAAATGTCGCATTCTTCTCCGGAGCAGCAACTTTTGGGATAGTGCAGAGATATTCCTTGTCTTTTAGAAGTAACTTTTCGTAAAGCTCACCAGTCGGTTCATCATCTGCCCTGGTGCCCTTGGGAGGGCGATCGTCAGCAGGAGCATTGTGACGGGTCAGCTCCACAGCAGGCTGTTGCTCCTTCAGGTGAGCCTCAGATGGCGGCGAACGAAGGTGCCTTTCGGCTTCAATATCTGTAATGAAACCATCGGATATAATAACTTGATACTATTTATGTAATATGGGTTAATTGGCCGTTCACAGTGGGTTAACTGATTGGGTAAGGGCGAGCACAGCTTACCTGGGGAAAGGCGAGGAGGTCATCATGAACGCTGAACACAGCCTTGCTAGCAAAAGCAGCTGAGACAATAGTCAACAGCACCACGATGACTTTCATATTGCCATTCCTTGAGAATACGGCGACTAGCCTTAGCAATATGTTGCACGGCGTGAGGGCCAAGTGTCCCCAATATGCTCGGAGGTTCGGGATAACCCAACGCCGCGATGTTGTCATAGCACAAGGCATTACCCGGAGCCTGTCACTAACCACAACCCCGGACCGACGCGGACGAAATAAGCTAAATAATGCTCGAATGGTGTTGATCCACCAAATGTTATTATCTCTGAAATGTAGCATGAAAACGGAAAGAGAGGTGCACCAAGCTCACAAAACGAGTAGATTTAAATTGGCTAGAAGTTCTTGCTTAATTTTTTCACACAAAGGCAGCTCCGTTTTGGCTACGCTCTCACTAAAGGCAGGTTGAAAGTTCTGTAGAAGATTCTTCCGGCTTGGCATGGTCTTCAACCTTGGAAGCCTCTATGAGAGGTCATTATGAGATAAAAAAAATTTGAATACATGGAAACAGCTGAATAAAGAAATAGATATCTTTAAATTGCAGCGAATGTTTATTTTCCGCCTTGTCGACTCTTTTCATTCCAGAAGCTCAATCCAGCTTCTTGCCGCAAAACGCCATACATAGAGCTGGTATCCAAACATTCTCCGCCGTATTCTCTCGCCGCTCTCATGTTCTGGTCAGCGAGTGTTAAGCCTGGTAGTTTGACATTGCGCTCTTTGGCCATCGATAGTGCATGTTTGGCATCCTTAATAGCCAACGACACTCCAAACCCAGGTCGGGTGTCGAGCTGAGGGGCATATGCTCCAGAAGTCAAGCTTGTACAGGGTTAGTCTTGACCTACATCAAGATGTCAGGTGTGCATGGACGCGACATACCGCTTGGAATATCCTCCTGCAACCGCTCCAAATGACTCTCCGATCAAATTCTCCATGGCTTCGGTGCCGAGACCGGTTTGCTCTGCAAACACCTGGGCTTCTCCAACAGCCTCCATCAGACAGATGGTGATGATGTTGCTAATTAGTTAGTTATTTGAACGTATGGAAGACAAAATTAGTAGAATGATATGCGGTAATGTGCTTACCCGCCAATCTTCAACAGAGACGAATTTGCCGGGTCCTCTCCGCACTGGATAACCTTTCTTCCCATGACATTATTGATGTATCGTTCCACCGACTCACAGGCAGACTTGGGGCCACCGATGGCAAACACGAGAGTTCCCGGAACCGCAAGGGCCGGGCCACCAAACACTGGGGCTGAAACAAGCACAGCCTCATGGCTGGCCAGATCGGATGCCAATTTGCTAATAGTTTCTGGATGCACCGTGGAGCAATCGACAAAAATCTTGCCCGACAATGTTTGGCATTCAGAAATAGCAGACTCGATGAGTCCTGAAAGAACCTCGTCATTTGGGACCTAGTATGGTTTAGCCTTCGTACATGAATATCTCGACTTATAAAATTACCATTGTGAAGACAATATTACACTGCTTCACCAAGTCAACAAATCCGGTAGCTGGCACAGCGCCTAGTGCCTTCAATGTCTCGCCCGAACTCATAGACCGGTTGAAGTATTTCAACGGCTGTTCAGCGTTCTTTGCGATGTATTTCTGCAAATTCTCGGCCATGGGACGGCCCATGGAGCCCAGTCCATACTTTGGCATGTTAGCAATAGGAAATCTTTAGCACGTGGCATTATTTCTCATACCCAGCCAATTTGTGGTTTATCCAGCGTCATCTTGCGGGGTAAGTTCAAAAATTAGTCGCCTAGAATTTCGATGAAGGAATGCATCAAAGAGCCTGTCGCTCTTCTTTTGTATTGGAATAGCAAGCCCCGTCCCCTTCGGACCCTGAGGGGAACTAGGCATTTTCTTGCGTCCAATAGTCCAATGGAGTGGAAAGAGACCCATCGTTATCATCGTGGTTTGGCTGGGGATCCGCAACCTCGGGAACTGATCCGAAAGCAACCCATACGGTGGGACGGAGACAATGCCGATGCCCACCACTCTACTACTCTTGATCTATACCTGCAAATGCTTCGAGAAAACCTCGATGATTAGATTCTGGTACTCCACCCCGAGATCAAATATTACGGAGTAAGCCATTCGATAGCTGACGCGGATCGATCCGGGGAAGACCCATCCTGAATTGATGTACCAAAATTAACTTGTTCACAATTTAGATTGCAGATTTCAATTTGAGTCAATTCGACCTTGGTTCATCAAAATTCCAGTTGATAAATTGATCGTATCTCTATCTATTATACCGAGACATATCCAGCCATTCCAAAAGCCATGCGAAACAACTTTACTGATGATGGACTCAGTTCTTCAGAATGGACCAGTACCCCGCCGCGTCTTATCAATCGAACCTGGAACGACTATCCGCTTCCGATTTTAAACCGTCGTCAATTCCCGTCAGTTTTAGCCTGTCAAGGGTTGGGGCATCGCTGCGGAGGTGGATATTGCGCTCGGTTATTGCATAGCTTGCCCTTCTCCCCGATCTCATCCCAGGAACTTTCGAACAACCTCGACCCTGTTGCTTTTCGATTAAACATGTTCCCGGGAAAAAACTTGGCTTTGCTTTTTCACTTACGTAGCAAATGTACCAGCACTCACTGGCATGGCACGAAGTAGAGCAGGTCCGAGGCCGTGAAACAGTCCCTTTACGCCACCAGTTGCCCAAGTTTGACGGAAAGCGTGTCTCATGGTAGAGTATTTCTTGTCGGAGCCGAAGCCATCGCTCTGCATCTTGCTCTTGATCACATCTAGCGGATGGCTCAGCAGCCAGAGCGTCTCGCCTGCAAGACCTCCGCACAGCGCAATCTGCCAGCTGGGAAGCTCTTCTCGTCTCTTCTGCTGGTGATGCATTGCCATTCCTACGAGGCCCTCATACGCGGCAAACCAGACACCATAGCCGTGGAATTCTCTGAGAAGAGTGACCGCTTGGCCGCGATACACTCCAGAGATACCGGCACTTTGGATGATCTTCCGGGTACAATCCCAGGGCCCATTGTAGATTCTCGCTGCTCCATGAGGCTGGGTTTGCAAGCGAATACGAATATGTTCGACAGGACCCGAGACCACACTGTTTACCACTCCGGCTGCTCCACCGGCGAGGTAGAACTGGGTCAAAGATAGAGTAGGATCAACCCCTGGATATGCATCTTTGTTGTAGGATTCAATGGCTTGTCGAAATCCATGGAAGGCGCCAAATTGGATGCTAACCTGCAGCGCAATGAGTCGGAGACGATGTTGAATGGACGGGTGAATGGACTTACACATGCACCAATGCCGAGCAATGGCAGAAGGGAACCCTATAAGATCTGCATCAAAAACAAAAATAAAGCCAAAGGCAATACATACCTTGTAAAATGCTAGAGGTCCTTCTTTTACCCAGACGTTTCGAGCGGTCGAAAAGGCATTTCCTCCGCCTTGGGTTTGCAACCGGACTTTGACCAGATCTGAATGGTCCCATTAGAATAGCCACAAGCATGTTTCTACCATACATAACATACCAAATGGTTGGCCTAGAAGCTTTTAGTTACAATATTTACCATTCTCCCTGTGATCATTACTCACCTATTAAAACTTGAGCAATTCCGCCGGCCGCACCGGCTGTTAGATCCTTAGCAATCTCCCTCCAGCCGGCCACATTGGCCGCTCCTGTTTCAAAATCCAAAGCCATAATAATACACTCATTGTTATCAATTGCAAAGAGGGCCCAAATTTTAAATGTGCTCTGGGGAGAGCTGATCACTTGTCACAGGGCGTGGCATGGTGGCGGATTGGTCTGAAAAGCGTCGGAAGCTGGGTCCGAGCTACTCGTGCTTCGGCCTCCCTCCCGACAAGGGCGTAAAGTTGATTCCTCCTCCGCAAATAAATACAAAGCTAGACACTTCATGAAGTGCAGCTGACAATCTTTAAGTTTGCTCACACTTTTTTCATATCTATCCATATTTTTGCCATGTCGTTTGCTCTGAGAAAACGTTCCTTCCCACTGGCTCGCGCGCTCGAAGGTGGAGCACGCAGGCATCTTGGAGGCCTGGCAGCGTTCAAAACTCCTCCCGTCCGCAATGAACCCAATGTACGATAAACAAACTCCTTTTTACAACTCCCGTGGCTAATTCAAACTCCAGCCGTCGTATGCCAAAGGCTCAGCAGAGCGGGCAAGACTTCAAGATGCCATCGACAAGCTCAAGAGCCAGGTTCCCGTCAAGGTTCCTTTGACTCTCAATTCAAAACTGGTATGCACGGTCATGGTAAATGTCCAATTCTCTACACTTGTCTAATTCTGTTTGTAGATTCAATCTTCTTCAGTTTGCACCCAGACCAATCCGTCAGTACACAAGGAAGCGCTTGCATCTTACTCTGAGGTCACTGCAGACCAAGTCAAGGAGGCGATTGAAAAGGGATTGGAGGCCAAACCTGCCTGGGAAAATATGTCCTTCACCAGCCGGGCCTCCATCTTTTTGCGAGCAGCAGAATTGGTCTCGACCAAATATCGCTACGACATTATGGCGGCCACCATGTTGGGTCAAGGCAAGAACATCTGGCAGGCAGAGATTGACGCTGCTGCAGAGACGTGTGATTTCTACCGTTTCAGCGTGCACTATGCGTCGGAGCTTTACAAGCAGCAGAATACCGTGAACGAGTCAGGAATGTGGAAGTAAGTCACTCTCATTATTTTGTGTATCTCTTTGACTGGGGCTAAAATCAAATCTTGTTTACAGCCGGTTGGAATACCGTCCCCTTGAAGGCTTCGTCTATGCCGTCAGTCCGTTCAACTTTACTGCCATACCCGCCAATTTGATTTCTGCCCCAGCACTCATGGGCAACGTCGTCATCTGGAAGCCTTCCGACTACGCCATCTATTCCAACTATCTGCAGATGAAGATTTTAGAGGAAGCCGGTCTGCCTCCAAATGTCATCCAGTTCCTTCCCGGCAATCCCAAGACGGTGACTGATGCAGTCTTGGAACATCCCAAATTTGGTGCCTTGCATTACACCGGATCGACCGAGGTTTTCCGAGACGTCTATGGTCAAATCTCTGATGGTGTCCGAGCCGGACGCTACGACAGCTACCCTCGCATTGTGGGAGAAACTGGCGGCAAGAACTTTGGAGTGGTTCATAGCAGCGCGGACATTCGGAACGCCGTCGTGCATACGATCCGGGGTGCCTTTGAATACCAAGGCCAGAAGTGTTCCGCCACCTCTCGACTTTACGTGGCAGAGTCAGTGTGGCCGGCATTCAAGGAGCAGTTGGTCAAGGAAACCGAGAAGCTCAAAATGGGCAAACCAGATCAATTCGACAACTTCATCGGGCCGGTCATTCACCAACGGTCGTGGGAGAAGTTGAACAAAGTCATCGAAGAGGCCAAGAATGATTCAACCGTGACCCTCCTCGCAGGTGGAAAGACGGACCGTGACGAGGGCTGGTTCATCCAGCCAACCGTCTTCCAGACCCAGGATCCTCACCATTCCCTCATGTCAACCGAACTCTTTGGTCCCATCCTCTCCGTCTATGCCTACCCGGATAGCAAATTCGAGGAGACTCTCTCGCTCGTCGATTCAACGTCAAAGTTTGGCTTGACTGGTGCTGTCTTTGCCAAAGACCGTGCTGCCATTGACACCGCCGAGAAGCTTTTGCGCCAGTCTGCAGGCAATTTCTATATCAACAGCAAGAGCAGTGGTGCTGTTGTTGGCCACCAACCCTTTGGAGGCTCCAGAGCTAGTGGCACCAATGACAAGGCGACCAGCGCCAACTTACTGTCTCGTTTTGTCAGCGTCAGAGGCATCAAGGAGGATTTCCAGTTGGCGGATGAGATTACATATCCTTCAAACGAGGTATGAGCGTAGAAGATATGATGGTATAGCCTTTTCCGGATTCATTGTATAGTACTATTAGCGGGCAAATGTTTCTTTTTGCATTATTTCATGCGTATATATATGTTGGTTATTCTGTATCTAAAAAATAGGGAATAGTGATGAAAAAAAAAAAGAAGTTTACTCCATTTATCGCTCCATCGATCCATCAAGTCTCCAATACAAAAGCTAACAAGAAAGGTTTAAAAGAAAGTAAATCCAGAAAATTCAATCCCCATTCTGCCTGTCAAATATTTTCTCAATCTCTTGCCAATCCGAGTGATCGACGCCGGTAAGAGGCATCGATGGGTCGAAGAAGCTGGAATAAATCTCCTCAGCCTCGACCGAAAGATCCAGGTTCCAGTCTCCCTGCATGTCAAAAGTCGTATTATTGGCATCCGGGTGCATCCACGGCTCAAGTAATCTACTTTCGTCTGTGTCATTAGTCCAGCCTTCCGCCGCTACGGTGGAACGTTGAGGAGGTGGTGGTGATTGAGGCAAGCGTATATCACTTGCACCTGCAGATCTAGATCCCTGTGCTGTTTCGGCATGCTGTCGGTTTCTTTCCAGGGCAAAGTTTGACCAGACATGCAAGCAAGAGTGTGTAATGTCTTGTAAACGGCGTTCCGCAGCCAAGTTACCGGCTCGGGACAAGAACCGAAGAATCTCAAACGCCTGATCCAGGGCAGCGGGCGGTCGGTCCTGAGCCTTATCGACAAAGCCCATCATTACCAGGACGAATGCAGCTGAAAATGTGGCATCTAGGTCAAAAAAGCCATATCGGGCTGCAGACTATGTTAGTATGAGACATAAGTATTTAGAACATAGGAAGGCATGGCATACGAATGATTTGTTGACGCTTTAGGGCGTAAAGAATGGCCAGGCTTTTAGCGGCTGCCTCGCTACATGTTTCACACAGACGTGCTAATACAACAGGGACGGATTGCGGAGGCTGCTGGTTGTTTTGCCTCTCGACCTCCTGACGAACGCGTTGTAAGAGAATAGGACGAACACACAGGATAATGGCCTGTCAATTTTCAAATTAGCTCAAAACAGTACTATGGTCATTTAGGACAGACGAACCTGGAACAACATGAGATAGAGCGATGCTCCTGTCCGTGTTACTGCCTGAGGAGGGCGACTAAAGTCCAGGACAAGAGCAGGGGGGAAAGAACGGCCAATGTCATAGAGACTGTGAAGGATTGCCTGAATCTTGTGGACAAGTTCCATTTGGGTAGTGCATGCATTCCCATACAAGCCTTGACTTTGTATTAGATGCTGATGATTGTAACTTCAGTTCGAATATATGGGTTGGTACATACACGACATGATATCATCCGTGGCCCGTGCAATGCGGACGTTGATAGAAAGAGGAATGGGAGATTGAAATCCAATGGCGTTATGAGGAAGCTCTGCATGTAGCTGTCGTTCGTCTGCACCGGCCGCTAGTCCAAGACTAGATGAAAGACGTCTACACCATCATACTGTTTAGTCAAGGGTTGTGTATGCGGGCCAAGGGAAAACAAAAAAAAGAAAAAGAAAAGAGAATGCCTACCGGTCTAGCATATAGACAGTCCACCACAATCTCACCCGATGGGCAGATTTTGAAGGCAAACAGCATTGCTCTTTGGGTGGTTTATCACAACCCAGAGCAATGGCCAGCCGTAATGCAAGGCCAATCTGTATCCAATTAGTCATGATAGACAATTCAGATATGAAACATCAAGACGCACATATAAATATGCATCATGCTTCCGGTCACACCATTGAAGATATGTAGTGATAAGCGTTAGGATCTCAACAGCAATGACGCCCTCCTCGCCCAATTGGTATAATCGCGGCAATCGTCTCATCGCCTCTGCAAATAAATCTGCTCCTGGTGGTTGAAACGAAGGGTCTTCCACATCGATCAGCTTTGCCATTGCCATGACAAGCAGATACTCTGTAAACCATGTTGTGCGCATTTGATTTTCCCGTGTTTCCTCATTTTGAAAGAGCAGCGTCATGCAGTCGGAAAAGGTGCGAGGGTCAAAGAACTGCTGGCTAACACCCAGGTAGAAAAGAAATCGATCAAGTAGTTGTTGCGATTCCTCTGGAGATGGGATTGTCGGCGCACCATGGTCATTTAGTAACGGCCTGGCCGATGTCCATTGCGTAGATATTTCGTTTGAGGCTGTGTTCTTGGGAATATGAGCATTATAGCTTCTGGTTGCATGGTTCCTATCAAGAAGTGACTTGACTCGTGATTCAAATGCTGGGCCCGATGTCAAATCGGTCACTGATTTCGTCAATTGAAGCCGGAATATGTAAAGATGGCAGCTTACTTGGACTAACGCCCTGCTCGCTATCATGAAAAGATCCGGTCTCCACTGTTGGCTCATCAAGGGCAGTCACGTTGGGTGTGGAAGGGTCAGGGTGTGCAGGAGGAAGAGGAACTGGTGGCTGTGCTGAATCTGCTGGTCGTCAAAAGTTCGTGGTATGGTCGTATTGTAAGATATGCTTATTGACATACCTTGAGAGCGGGCATTGAGTTGCTCTTCGTATGATTGTACCTTATCTAATAAACCCTTCACATAGCTTCTCGACGGTCAATGAAGGGGTATTGCTCGCACAAGGAAGTGCAGACATACGCTTCGGAATACCGCTTACGCCCGACATGGCCAAACGTACATTCCCAATTATGTCTGGAGCAGCTGCGACATGGCTGTTCCCCAGAGCACTTAACTTTACGTCGCCGGCAGGACTGACATCTACAGATATATCAACATAAACAATTTAGACTCACTGAACCGCTCGTCGGAGGGAGCATCCGAAGGAGAGGATGATCCGACTTACGCATTGGTCGCCCGCGGATTTGGAGCCACCATCCTAAATTTTCAATGAATTGAACAGTAACATCAAAGGAGGAAACTATTGTATCAGCTGTTCAATCATTGCAGGCAATAAAATTTGGGTTGAGATAGAGCATTGCTGGATGTCGTCGGCACTGGAACCCGTTGAGGTTGGCCGGAGTAGAGGTTAATCCGCCACCCGAATGCAATTGGTTTGCCACCTGAGACCCTGAAGAAGCCTTATCTTATCATTTGATAACCCACATTAAATTTGGACAGAACATTCTTGCAAAATGATGTTATACAGACTTTTATTTTGTCAATCTGTGACATATGGGCTATAGAGGCTGAATAAACTCATACAGTACGGAAATATGTACAGCAACATGCTGACACTGGCATTATTTCATATTACAACTGTTTCTCCAAGTCTACCATAACTTGAAGAGCATCCAAGATTTCTCCTTGAATTGCACCCACCTCTGCCCGAGGCAATGGCTTCCGTGGCTGTGAGCTGCCATAGCCAAAAAATTTGGTGCTGGCCGCCTTAACCCCCGAGATACCCAGCTTCAAAAGCGCCCAGTCGGCAACGGACAGCTTTCGTTGGATTTCTTGTGCCTTCTCGAACTCTCCAGATTGATAAAGTTGAATTGCCTTGACATGGACTTTGGGGACGACATTTGCTAAAGCAGCAATGACACCATTAGAGCCCGCCGTTAAGCCGGGAAGGAGAAAGTCTGATTTTCCAGCAAAGGGAGCAAATTCGGATGCAGCAAAAGACGCAGAAAGACGCTGCAGCTTGCCCAAATTTCCGCACGTAAGCTTGACGCCAACAATCTGTGGGTAGGACCGGGCTAGATCAATAATGAGATCCGAGTCAAGGTCAATGTTAGATGTTACGCCGGGGAAATTGTAGATGACTATCGGAAGCGCTGACTTGCTAGCAACCTAAGCGATCGTTAGCCAAATTCTGTAAACTTAAGTCGATTATAGAGGACGGGTAAAATAGGTAGATAAGAAGGCTTACTTCGGCGTAGAATCCTCTGATAACTGGCTTGCTCATCGCGGCACTCCAGTAGCTGGGAGGCAACACCAAAGCATAATTTGCCCCCGCCTTTTCGGCCTCTGAAATGTTCAACAATGTCTCGCGCACACTGTTGGCACTGCATCCGGCAATGATGACAGCTTCGGGGTAATCTTTGCTGGCAACCGTGCGAACGTGACGGATTATCTGGGCTCGTTCTTCACGTAACAAATGTGTGGCTTCGCCATTGCTTCCGTGCACGACTAGACCAGCGACGCCGCTTCCAAGGAGCCTCTGGACATGCTGGGTGATGCTGTCATAATCAATGTCCTCATTCTCGTGGAAGAATGTCACCATGGGAGTATAAACCCCATACCGCGGAGGTTGTATGGAAGGCATGATGTGGGTATCTTAAAAAATTAAAATTACTCAAAAATTCAAAGGAAGATAAATGCACTCGGACATTAGGCATCTCGAATCTATTTAAATGTAGAAATCCTGACTCTTCGGTGTCTTGGCTGAGAAGCCGAGAATTGAAGGTGAAGCATTTCGGCTCTTTTCGCCGGATGCCTTCGGCAATAGCCCGATATCGTCGGACCACCCCGCTATTCAACCGCAGATAAGATTGGAGCCCCAAACACTTTCTATAATGCAGTCTATGCGATCGTGGAAATCCCTATAATACAGTCTGTATATTTAAAACGTGAAAATATTCTTCATGCGCCGCTTGACCTCCGTCTTGAGGGCGAGGTATTCCTGCCTAGTTATCCCTACCGCATCACGATTCTCCACCGCACGGCGCAGAAGATAGGACAGGCAGTCCCCGAGAGTTCCCCAACTGAGACATTTGTACACTTCAGGAGAGGCCCGTTGCGCCGCTGGGCTGCTATCGTCACGAAGTTGTAATAACCGGCAGCTGACCTCATCAGCCATTCCCAGCAATTTTCCGTATTGCACCTTGGATGTGGGTTGCCCAGCGGCAAGTCGCTGTTTGTATAGTGAATCGGCCAGCAAAGCACTTTCCTTATTATGGGTGGCGACATAAGAGAAACTTACTTCAAGGCCAAAAAGTCGTCCGTCCCCACCATATCAGCCGTCTCCAAAACTCCCTCTCTCCATGCCTCAATCTCTGGATTCTTGATCTCAGTTGGCCGTTTCTCCACGCTCCCTTTGACAGTTGCAGGGCCATTAGATGAGGCATCAATCACAATTTCTCGAGCATAAGTGAGAATGACTCCCTTGAAACCCATGTCCTTAATCCGGCCGATAGTGCCGGTGACTTCAGCAGCATTTTCTCCAGCACAGAAATGGTTGTAGAATGTTGTTTTCAAGAATCCTCGCAGCAGCGGATTCTTGTTTACGTCCAGTAAAGACAGGCGAGGGTGCGCTATGATGGTGAGTATCCTCAGTGCTGGAGTCAACAGCCAAGGATGGGAAGAGACCGTAGCCACCAGGAGAGATCGCCATAGCATTTTATTTGGTAATAGAGAGTGTGGTGGCAATTCATCCTTGGTCACATTTAATGTTGATTTGGAGCGATACAATGAGCGCGTGTTGTATTGATAGCAAAACGCATTGGCTACCAATCCAGCCCTTCGTGCAGGGCGAATAGCCATTCTGGTGACCATGACAATGGGCGAACATCAAATAGAGTAGGGAATCTAATAAAGCTCCCTGATGGAAGTGGCTCAGCAAGCAAGCATTAAATGAGTTCCAAATGGTCTGTAAATGTTTGAAAAAGAATACGCCACCAAGGTCAAAGGTCCAAGGACGGAGCCTTGTCCGAGAAGTTTCGGACCACATCCGAGGGCCCCGGTTGTGTCACCGAAAGGGCGTTTGGATTTGGATCCCATTGGAATTGAATGCCAATACAGATAATACCCAAGAACCAGCTTATTGAGCCACCTAGCCTGAACTATTGGCTATCGTGATGAATCTATACGTAAACGGCCCCAACGAGCCCTCTCTCCGTACAAGCGTGTTCTACCTAGTATTTGCAAGGCCCGTACGGATAGGCGGTCATTCGAGCCACTTTGGTGGTATATATATATATTTTATCGCAACTCTTCAGAAAGAAGAACCAATTAAAAAGCGTTGTTGGTTTAGTGGTAAAATTCGTCGTTGCCATCGTGGTTGAACCCGCAAGCGTTGTCGACGAGCCCCGGGTTCGATTCCCGGACGACGCAACTTTTTTGCATTGTAGGGAGACTTTCATTATTTTCATCTCTCTTTTTTTTTTTCGCCTCTTTAATCTAAAATCTTTCCATCTCCGTATATTGTCTACAGTCAAAAATGTTCGTATGCACTATGTACGTTAAACTACTACTAACATGATTGACCAAGTCCACCAGATCCAGACCTCATGTAGCATATGAGTTTCGTGACACATGTAGCAGATTTACAAGGCTTTGTCAAAGCACTTGATTTAGTTGAAAAGTAGTTGTAAGTGTCTACTACGTCTTGACTGTGTTCCATTTCCTCAGTCATCCTGTGCCAGTAGGTAGCATTCAGAGGTGCCTTCTGAGGCCAGTCATGAACATAAGTCATTCTGGTATCGTACTCGAACTCCCATTGTGGAGTGGTCCAAGAGTCACTGTTGCTGATATTAGCAAAGAAGGTCTGGGCATTTAGAATGCTGAATGTTTCACTGTCGACCTGAAGAAGCCGCCAGCCAGCATTCAAGCCGCTCATTGGCGTTATCGAGGGCGCGATCCACCCTGCTGTAAGAGGTTTCATGAAATCGACAAGGCTCGTGTTGCGCAATGTTGTGCCGTTCTGGTGCACAGTCGAGTTGGCGAGGAAGTCATAGTAGACGAGCATCTGATCGCTATGCGTGTGCCCGAAAAAGATGGCCGCGATGGTGGAGGGCGAATAGCGCGTGACGATGCTGTAAAAGAGAGCGGTGGGATTGGGAAGAGCAGAAATTCCAATTGGTCCTGAGGGGACATGTCCGATGATCCAAACTCGCTGGTTGATATCTTCCGAAGCCTGCAGTTCCTCGGCAAGAAACGCGAGCATTCCGGTCGGATCTGGGTTCGTGAAGTTGTAGTAGTTGTAGATATTGTCGGGGTATTGCGACGTGTACCAAACGTTAGTGTTGATCGAAATGACCTTCAAGCCCTGCGGTGTGATAGTGGCATATGCTGCATAATGGGTCTTTGCATAGTGAGCAGCAGACGACTCGATCCAACCCTCGTTCTTCCACAGGCTAGCAAGGAAGCTATAATGCCACGAGAATTCGTTGCTTTGATTACCCCGAAGGTCGTTCGGAGTGAGTAGCGCCTGTGGTAGACTGTCATGGTTCCCAAGAGTGGAATACAGCGGTCCGCTGAGCCATGACTTGAATGTTTCGTAGGCAGTCTTCTCTTCGTACTTCACCAATGCTCTGCTCAGTTCGTCGTCATCGTCATGGCTTATAATATCTCCCGTGAAAATTGTGAAGTCTATGGTGGACCTATCAATGAACTTGTCCATCTCATAGAAAGTTGAGAGAGCAAGATCGGCAGGAGTGTCGCAAGAAAAGGCCCCGAATCGCGATGCAGGCATAGAGGCATTGCCTGCAGACGTTTGCAATTTAGTATTCGAGGAACGTGGGCGGCAGCACTGATACTGAGAGCAATTTGCCTCACTTCCGATATCGTATCTGGCATCAAGATGCCAATCTGATATGTGCAGGACATTTAGAGTATTTCCTGGGGTGCTGCGTTAGTAGAAAAATACGGCAAACCGGGCTTGGAGAGGTATCTAACCAGACGGTTGTGGAGACACGGTTCTGTTTGCAGGCTTTGGTTTAAAATATCGGCTTTCGTCAATAAGAATGGTTGGGGGTGCGTCACAAACGCTCCACTTATAATGGCAGTATGCTTGCATGTCCCCTGTTGACATGCTCATTTTGTAGAAAAGTTGGGCCATATATGGTCCCATCCCTCCAACGTTGCTGAAATAATCTCGACATGAGTTGGCTGAGATGCTTGCTTTCAGAGTAGGGATCACATCGCAAAGTCTAATAAGCAGGTTTGTCACTGTATCAACAGGTTGTGTAATGGCTGCAATGTGCATTATCTCAGCTGATGCAATGCATTTCGAACAGTTTGAGCCAAGTGCATTTCCAAAAATGACGGAACTGAGCTCAGCAAAAAGATTATCTTCAATGAGTGCATTCCTGCATTGCTGTTAGTCAAGACCATCTTAGGACATTGAGGGGATATATTTACTTTAGATGGGGCAGTGAGCTAGGTAGAGGTGACGTCTCATTTGTCGGTGGTACATTGCCACTGCCATTGTAATAGAGGATCGGGCCTCCAGGGCCATTTGGGATTAAGTTTTGCTGGCACTGATTTGAAGCCGATAAATTGTTTGGGTTGCATTCCTGGTCAGGTTGTTTGCTGTGAGCTGCGACGAGATAGCTAGCTGATAGCAAGTAGAGCAGGTTCAGACGCATGGTAAATTCGTTGTAGAAGCCAACGACAATAACAAAACCTAAAGAGCCAGTCAGATTTCTTACTCCATAATTGCCTCAGCATGGGTCCGACTTATATTTCTTTGCTAATTATGTGATTATCATCTAGCAGATAATTAGAAAACAACATTGATAGATAACCTGTTATCAAACTTCCTAATTTAGCAAGGTCTGTACATAAACTTATCTCAAGAAAAAGCTAACGGGGATGCCCGGTCACCCTAGGAGATGCCCGGCTACCATAAGAATAAAAAGGTCATGAGAGAGTAGATTATGATGAATTAATGCTATGGCTTAACCATCTCTTATCTATTTCCGTGTTCGAGAGGGCACTTTCTTAGGTGAAGATTGCTGATCATCAGCGACGTCCGGTAACCCCGCCTCGCCCGCACTCGTTACGAGAGCTAGTCACTTCCTGGTAAAGTACATACTGTGGAGGAAAGAACGAAGGCAGTGTTAAGCTCGCTAATGGCTCAATCTATACCTAGTTATAGTTATGGCTTCAATTAATTCATCCAACTAAAACTGCTTGTATATAACTACCCCACTGCCTCAATTACAGGGGATGAACTTATGCCTTCACTCCCTGTAAATTTCCACCTCTCGATGTCGCCTGCCAGCAGCTAAGCCAGGACAATACGGTAGTTACCTTAGATGTCTAAGGTATATAGCAATATCCACACAAACTTCAGAAGAAAAATCCTTGCTCATATAATTATTAGTCAAACCTGGGGAAGGTTTGGAGATATTCCCTTTGAGTTCTCTTCTGCAATTACCTTATCTAGCGCGCACTAGCACAGGAGAAGTTTCGATTCACCACCAAAGCAATGTTAGGTGTGAAAGAGAATATTCAATCAACATTTAACAACTTAAAAGGAAGCCCGAGAAGGGCTGCATGAGATCTCCCGCCGAAATTATGTCAAGCAAAATGCCATCGAAGAGAAATACATGAAATATACAATCTCTCAAAACAAAGATTACATAGCATATACCAAGCATCTGGCATTTTGCACAAGGAAGTTTGTACCAAAAGGCTCCCGACGCGATGGATCTTCAAGAGTCAGGTTGCGAACGAACACATAACACAACATTGAACTTTATAGGCACAAAATTTTGCATGATAGACTGTGGCTTCTGCTCTAGTGCTTCTAGATGCTCGAGATCAGTGTCGATTTCTCCCTCAAGTAAAGAAAAGCGACAAAAAAGAAAGGATCCACATTACAAATGGGTCGCAAGCCCTCAGACAGTCGAAAATATAAACAGTCGTTGGCAGTCATTGGTACACCGGACACCTTGCCGAGATGATAGTTGTCAAAATTGAACTCAGTCGTTATGAAGACTCAGCAGCTGAAAAGGATGAAAAACCATTACGGAGCCACAAGATCCGTTAGCAACAGAGTAAGAAATTTCCTCGTCTCACAGCTGCTCATCCAGTCACTCGAAAAGATAGGTCTTTCCGCATCTCCAGCAGAATCCTAACAGACTTTTTACTTTGAGACAACGACGGATATATGCAAGAAGGTTTTGTGGACAGCATCATACATACCTAGGCCCGGGAAATTGAGTGGCATCTGAAAGGCGCGTTCGCCTCGATCTCCAGCCTCTTGATATGCGTTTGCTTTGGCAGTGAAAGTTTCAATCACTTAATTGTTTCGAAAATTGCCTTGATAAGATAGAACCGGATAAGCTGCAATTTCAAGGGGCCGCATATGAATCTTCTATTCCTGCCGATCTCGCCCTCTGTCATCTTACCAATGGCGCCGCGAGAAGTTTGTGCTTCTTTAACATAAAACAGAAGGGCATAAAAGCCAGTCAACGGCATGGGCTCGTGCAGTCGAGGTACCACCAAATGCAAAGGATAACGGTTAAATGATAAGCGACAATGGTTATGGAGGATAAGCAACAGTAATTATGGGTTAGCTGAGGATAATGAACAATGGCTATGATTTGCTTTTTATATAAAAACCAGACACCCTCCCCCCCACACCCCCGCGAAAATAAAAAGGAGAAGGGAGGAAACGGAGGGGTAGCCTTTGTACCTGACTTCTGATGTTCAAATTGTCTTACCGGGAATATAGCTCCACGTCCTTTTTAAAGAATGTACTGCGTGAACAATAAAGTGGTTTTACTCGCTAAGAAGCAGCTTGATAGAAATTTACTGTGCTGACATGGAGGTCCGCATGATTCTGAAAATATCGTAAGCAAGGTTTAGATGCAAGATTGCATATTCGATCCTGGGGTCTAAACGAAAAACCATATTCACTCGTAAGATGTATAACAACAGCTCCTCGAGGGGCTATCCAGGTAATTGAGAGGTGCAAGGGAAGAAACAAATTCATGTAATATTCAAGCAGTATGGGCTTTCAAGACAAGCAGTCTCTGTCTTGTTATCCGCCAATAACGCGGCCTAAAGAGTCAAATGCAGTGATATATACAGACTATAATCAAGGAACAAAGAAAACTTCTGCGTTACAGGTCGGTGCCCGATTGAAAAACGGATAAGCTACATGCAAAACAAGTTTTTAGAAAAAGGGGTCATTTCAAATTAGATACGAGAGAAAACCCCTCCGATCCGCAGGTTCGGCTGTAGACGGTTTCAACTTGATGGCATGGATAAAAAAGGAAACAGGAAAAGACACCTTTCAATGGGCCGATTCGCAGTAATACGTGAAAGTACAACCTAAGTACTTTGAACCTCTAGAATCCAAAAGGATTTTGAGGCGCTGTAGACAGTTAGTTAGCAAAGCAATAGTGGCAGTGTTTTCAATATACTCACTAGCTTGGGCAAGATTAGCTTTTCTTCCAGTAGGTTGTGGTGTGAGTCGCTTTGTTTCTGGCGCAACGCCAAAACGGACCGGCGGCGCGGGTCCTGTCTTCTGGGGCTGCAGGGGCTGCATAGGTGGCGGTTGGGGTACAGGCGGAGGCGGCGGTACTTGACCAAATCCCTGCCCTCCAAAGCCACTAACACCAGTTTGTTGTGGCTGCAAGGCAGGTGGAAGGAATGAGTTGACCGAGCCGGTCATTTGGGGCTGAAGTTGCGGAGGTTGCGGTTGCTGTTGCTGAATGGGCTGTGGTGAGAAAGAAGTCTGGAAGCCGGTAGGTTGAGAGAGCATAGCCTGGAATCCGGCGGGTTGTTGCGGCGGTGGGTTCGCAAATGGACTCCCAGTCTGTTGACCGTTTAAGAATGGCTGCGCCTGCTGGAAGCCGGTCGGCTGAGCTTGAACCGGTTGACCAAATCCGGGCTGTTGTTGCTGCATCATAAACGGACCTACACCAGCCTGCTGCTGGCCAAAGCCAGTCATTTGAGGTTGGATCTGTTGTTGAGCAAACTGTTGCTGCAACTTCTGTTGGTTGATCTCGTTAAGACTCTGTCCGGGAGGAGCAACAGACGGCTGGAAACCAGCGGCACCCTGGTACCCAGTCAACTGAGGTTGGAGTGGAGGAGGACCAAATCCGTTCGGTTGAGAGGGATTTTGTGGGGCTGAGAAGGGACGAGCGGGTGGCGGAGGTACTAAGCTGCCTGCAGCCATGGCCGCCGGAGGAGGTTGAGGTCGCTGCCGTGGAGGCATAGGCTGAGAAGGGGAATCAACAGAGAACCCGGTTTGCTGAGGGGCGAAGGTGGGTACAGGGCCCGGCTGCGGAACGGATGACTGAAACTGCGGTCCGGTCTTTTGCTGGCCTAGCTGAGCAAAAAAAGATGGATTTGCTACATTCACCTGAGCTTGTGGTTGCGGTGGTTGCGGCGCCGGAGGGATTGCTTGTGTTTGAGTTTGTGGGACAGGCGCCGGAGGTGGTGCGGCTTGCTGCGCTCCTGTTGTATGAACAACTGCGGGCTCAAGTGGGGGCGAAAGAAGGGAGAGTTCTTTCATTGATCCCGTCAATGTAGGCTGTTGTGGAGGTGCCGGCTGCGCAGCAGGCTGGGTTGCCGGGGGAGGTGTTGCATCTCGAGCCGGCGGTTGCGGTTGTTGTTTAGACGGCTTCACGTCCCAGGCATCGTCATCGAAACCGGTATTTGCACGTTTGGGGGCAGATGGAGCCGAAACCAACGGCGTAGGCGCCTTCTTTGTATCGAGGTTTGGCTCCTTTTTCTGCTCGAATACCTTCTCATCAACAACATCATTTGTCTGTACAGGCGGGGCAGGTCTGCCTTTCCGGGTGTTGTTTCTCAGGGCTCCTCCAGGACCGGAGAACAGCCCGCCTGAGGCCGCACCATCTGCTTCGTCTTCCCCTTCATCGTCCTTTCCGATAACTTCAGCGCCACCGAAACTAACATTTCTCTTTGTACGCCCTGCTGCACGTCCGAACTTGTTGTCAAGGTATTTCATCACGCGCAGTATGTCTCCTTCCTTCAAGCCTAGCGTGCGCAGAACCTCTGGCGTAATATCCGGCAGGATACCCTCGTCCATTGAATCCTTGACAAAGTTGGCTGCGTAGCGTTCACAAAGATGAGGCCCTACCCCACAGCTCAGGAAGAAGTCAAACCAGTCATATTCAGGCTTCACTGGTCCTACGGAGGCTCCAGCAGCAGATGTAATTCTTGCCTTTCCGCGGTCGCCAGATTTCTGAAGGTTGCGATGACGTATATCTGATAGCGGCTTATCTTCGTCCAGCGAGACGCCAGTCACACGTTCGACATATTCAAGGTCATCCACAGACATTTTTGGAACTGGCACCGCAATTTTAACTCCATTGAGCTTATGAAGGTGAATTTTACCATCCTTGAGGCCGATGAATTCAGCTTCGACCTTGAAAGAGCCTGATCGGTCTGTCCATGTTCTCGTTTTCGACGCATCGGGTTCTTTTACATTATTAGCAACATTCAGGGAAGAGAGCTGGTACCATGGACCTACTCGGTTTGGAGGTTGACGGTGCCTTAGCATCCGATCTACTGGAATGTCTGCTACGCTGTGTAGAAAGCTCGTTACCATCGCTATGTCCGGCCAAGCTACTTCCCCGCGCAGGTAATCGCATGCCAGGGCCTACCTCAGAAACCCTCGGATCACTCTCTCCCCGCTTCCTGCTGGACCTAATTGCTTCTTTCGCCAGCCGTTCTTCCTCCAGTCTATTCTGCTCGACAGCAGAACGGCCCGCATTGATACCGGTTGTACTCGGATTCGAAACTGACGTCGTACCTGTCAACTCAACGTAACTGCTGGGTACCACGCCCTCTTTTCCATTCTTCAGTCGGCGAACCATCCACCACTCCTCACTCTTGCTATCATCCAAGACAATGACCTCATCACCGACGGCCACAGTTACTTCGTCCTCGCCTTGGGCCATAAAATCATAAAGCATCTGCCCCTTTTTATGCGTTGAGCCTGTACCGGATCCAGCGGCAATGACCTCACGCAGACCTTCTGCCCTTACAGCCCCCGCCATATCGCCTAATGCTGCAACTATTTCCTGTGCAGTGTCCTTTGCTCCGGCATGGAAGTCAACGCTTTTGCTTGGGCGGACTAATTCTAGAAAGACATGCTTCCCCTCGATGGAGTAATGCGTTAACTTGTCGGCGGTCCATTCCTGCTGAGGCCCATCACGGGACTTCTCCGGAGAGATCATTATGGTCCCAGTACCGATATTTATGCCGAGTGTAGTAGGAAGTTTCTTTCTTTTCCCCATGGCTGAGACCATTTCATTAATGTTATAGAGATGGTAACCGCCAGGTGAGGGATATGCCGCTTCATCCACATGTCGATGCGATAGCCGATTGTATGGGGGCGAGGCCACAACTCCTGGAGGTTCAAGAGGGAGAGGTTTCGTATAGTGCGAAGGTGGGGATATCTGTAGCGACTGCGGCCGCTGCGGTAGCACAGGGGCTGGAGGCGTGACTTCATCGTCTGACTCTTCGGGAGTATAATCCGCAGGTCGCGAAGGAGGACTCATAGAAGAGTATTGCGGAGCGGCTGGACTTTGCGCAGCTATTGCGGGTTCGGACGCTTTTCTGTGAATTATATCTGCTAAGGCGGCAGCTGGGCTTTGCAGGGGACTGCCAGCGGAACTGAGAGACGCCGAACGCGTATGATCAGGCTGCTGTTCAACGACCGAGGCTGGGGGATGCCGAGGCGCCGACTCGGAGATTTCGATGTAATTCGCCGGTGCAAATCCATATTCACCGTTCAGGCCAATGAGTGTCCAGTCCGGGTCTGACGTGTCATAGACGGAAAGAATGGCTTCCTCAGTGAAAGATAGTTCTTCATCGGTTTGACGAGTGTAGTCGTAAAGCGCTTTAGCGTTTGCAGTAGGTTGTGCCTATTGATACGCCTTCGTGAGCTTCTCCATTTGGGTGTTTCAACCACTTGCTCACTACGGACAACTCACCTCCTCAACATAATTATTAGGAATCAGCCCTAGAGGCTCTTCCTCCTCATCATCTCCTGCCTTTTTCTTGGCTTTCCACCAATCATCCTCTGTGGATTTCTCGAGGATATAGAGCAAGTCTCCCTCTTTGATGGACAATTCGTTCTCGCCTTGTGGGCTATAGTCGTAAATGGCCGTGTAAACGCCCACAAATCCCATATTTCGCCGAAGAACCCCTTTCCGATTTCACAAATAACCAATCGCTTCGAGAAACCGAGTTGATTCCTGACGTCGAGAGCAGATATGCTGGTTCGGACTATGACGCGGAGGCTCGCCGTTCCCTCAAACCCGGTATTGAGTAAGAAGGGCGACACAGAGGCACCAAGGGCTTGAATGACGAGCCAAATGGGGGAATTGTCAAGAAAAAGAGAGCCGCAAAGTGCATATATTATTGCGTGGAGGGTAGGTGAAGATGGGGCTGAATTACTTGAGCGATTTGGAGGTACGCCTACGGAGTACGTCGACGGGAGCATGAGGTACGGTTACGATTACGGGGCCTCTGACATGGGGCCAAGGTTGAAGCTTAGCGACTGTCCGCAACTATTGCTCGACAATGCAGAACATGGATAAATCCACCCTTCACATCATTGGTTAGCAACCGATATGGGCTGTTTATCCCCCAGGCCGATTTCCACTTTATTACGGAGTAATATTGACGTTGATAAAGGGTGAATATTTAATTGAGTCGTGCCAGATTACCCGCCAACATCATCATCAGGAGGTTGTGTATCTATCGGAGTACAAAGCCTTCTTCCGTGTTCATTATGCCATAATCCCAATGCGGGTCTGATATGACTTCTCTTCAATTAGTACCATAACCCTTTAGTTTTTAGTCGTCATAGGGGAACAACTAATCTAAGTCAAACCCAAATCTAGTAAAATTTGTAGATTTTTTTCTAGATAAATCTTAAATAATTAAGTTAAAAAATTTTTTTAAAAAAAAACGAAGACAATTGAAGGTTATGATAACATCGTGGCAAAGGGAAGGAGGGATATGCACAAGATAAATGCTTAGGGACTGCTGCGAAGAAAGATCTCCAGCTCAATTTTCTGCCCTACTCTTCTATACTGAAGATATTTGGCATTCTGCTAGGTGAGGGCAGCATATCACGTATTGCGTTCACGATTAATCCCAGATTTTTGAAGAAGTGAAATTCATTCACATTAAAAGCTGCTATATGCAAATCGAAATCTAAATAAAAAAAAATACATAACGCCTATCTTTTTGACGTCTATCCCTGTAATCATCCACCATCTATAATCTATATGCAATGAGGGGCATGATGCGTAAATCGATGACAATTGATCAGTAAATGCGGTCATGAAGAAAAAGAAAAAAGGAAGAGATAACTGGCTGAATCCGCCGAGGATGCTCAAAGCGGATTCGGGGTGGTATCGAGGTTTTAGCGAGCACCAGAGAGCTCGGTGGGATGGTTAGCAGGGAGGTCGCCCTCAACCTGCTCTGCCGTACCGGCCAGACCCTCAGTGTGGGGATCCCGCTTGCGAATGCCGCGGGCGCCAGCGTCAAGGTGAAGTCTGTCGACGGAGACGAGATCCTCATTGACTGGAGGAGTCCAGTTCTCGCTCTGCCAGGGGCGAACGCGCATAATGTACATGGTGTCGATCTCCTCCAAACTCCTGCCCTTGCTTTCACAGACGAAGAAGTAGACGACAAAAGCAGCGGCAAAGCAGCAGGCAGCGAAAATGTAGCCGTAGCGGTACTCGATCGCTTCGGTGATGAAGGGAGTGAAGAAACCAATGAGGAAGACGAAGATCCAGTTGCCGCAGGTGGCGAGACCCATGCAGAGGGCACGGTAGCGCGAGGGGTAGAGCTCTCCAACGACACCCCAAACGATGCAACCCCAGGTTGTGGCAAAACCACAGATAAAGAAGCAGGCAAAACAAATCATGGCAGCGCCAGCCTTGGGGGTCATTGTTGGATTATTTTGGTCGAGAGAGTAATGGCCGACTGATGCGAAGATCATGAAGCAGACGAACATCCACAGGGCGCCATAGATCAGGCATTTTCTGCGTCCAAAAGTCTCAACAACCCAGAGTCCGACAAAGGTCATGGCAAAGTTGACGACGCCCAAAATGATCTGAGTTTCATAGCTGTCACTGAGACCAGTAGCTTGGAAGACGGTGTTGCCATAGTAGAAGAAGAAGTTGGCACCAGTCAACTGTTGCAGAGCCTGAAGAGCCACACCCAGGAGCGTTCTGTATGCCATTCTTGGCCCAGTGAAAATCTCGTACCACGGGTGCTCGCCCACAACAGTCTCTGCCTCGAGCTTCTCGCGCATCTCCTCGATCTCAAGGTGAATGATTTCGTGGTTCTCAGGGACACCATAGAACCGGCTCATAGTTTTCCGTGCAATCTCAGTCTTGCCAGCACGGTAAGCGAAACGAGGCGAATCGGGGAGGAAGACAATGCCACCGCCCAAAAGAGCAGGCCAGACGAAGCCAATACCGATCGGAATGCGCCAGCAATTTGCGTTCTGTTTCTTATGGGTACCAAAGACGACGAGGTTACCAATGAGGATACCAAAAGTGATGAACAATTGGAAGGCACTATAATCGAGTTAATATTCGTGCCAAACGCCAATTTGAGCCGTTGATACTGACCAGACAAGAGCACCACGAATTTGACGAGGAGAGGTTTCACTCATGTACATGGGGACCAAGACAGAAAGGGCACCAATACCACTACCGCCAACGAGACGGCCAATAGCGACTTGGTACCATTTCTCGGTGGCGCTGATCTGAACAATCAGAGACACACAGTAAATGAGAGACCAAAAGGTAATGGTGAATTTTCGTCCAATACGGTCTGCAATAGGAGCCGCAACAAGTGCGCCAACAAGACAACCAATTGAGAGCTAGGCGGGCGTTAGCGTCATGCAAGCTTATTTTGATAAAAAGTCCCGTCAGAATTAACATACCAGACCAACAATAAGACCCTTGCGAACATTGGTAAAGTAATATTTGGAAGTATGAGGGTCTGGCTGACCGAAACGTCGCAAAAAGTCATCCATGTTCAAGATACCAGAGATAGTGCCGGTATCGTAACCAAAGACGAAACCTCCCATTGAGACGAGGAAAGCCATGCAGAAGGTTCGGAAGGTGATGAAAGGGACCTTGGAACGGTCAAGGGAAGAGACATCCTTCTCGGCGTCGAGCGTTGGCGTGCCAGGAGTGGTGGTGACCGGAGTGCCATCGGCTGACTTGGGCACTTCGCCCTCCGGCTTGAACCTTGATAGGAAGCCCATGGTATTTACCGGGCTGTGTTGTTTTGAGGTAGTGTAGATGTGTTGTTCGAATTGATCGAATGCTTGTGATGGTGAATGGTTTTTCAAATGGAGGGTGGAAGGGTGTTTTATAATGGCCGGTCCGATTTTTTTTTGGGGTGGATGGTCTCCGCGTTGAGGTGAACAGTGCGCATCGCCGAACAGACAATAATTGCTCTCTCCACGAGGTCCGCATGCAGACCTCCAGACTCTTGGACTATGGGGCTCCAGATGCAAAAGTGGGTCGCTGGGCCCATAGACCCCAGAGTACAAGTCGGGGCCATTGTGGGTACTCCAAAATCACCCCAATTTCACCCACAATGGCACTCCGCATGTACAGGGAGGTATTAGGGGTCGGTGTGGGCCAAGCATTCAATCGAGGGTGACAAAAAATTTTCTCGGCTTCTCTTCAGACTCGTTCAATCCCGGCAGAAGCACGGAAGATGTCCAGTCGTCCGGTGGTTGCCTGACTCGTCAAACTGGCCTGACCGGTCTGACATGGGCGGCAACCAGAAGAGTTCGAAGACGGAATGGACCATCCCTAAATCATACACTAGTAGACGGCAGAGGCGCCTCGCCAACCAAGCCCCTGACTGACGTTTGAGCGAGGTTGAAAAAGCATCCCACCAAGTCGCCTGGCCAAAGAATTACGAGAGCCATGGGCCCTCCTATCCCTACGGGTCAAATTGATCCCATACCAGGGGCCCCTGAACCCCAACGCTCTGAATTGGACTACAAGCGATAACGTGGTCGGCGAGTTTCTCGGTCGTAACAGGACCTTTGTCGAAAAGACGCGAACATGGAGACCGTCCGGTTCCTGAATCGGCCGGACTGCGCTGGTCCGCCCTCTTGTCTCTACATGGATTAGTGGGAAAATGTCCAACAACGGATTGAGAAGAAGATCGACCTCATCTCACCTTAATTAAACGAGTAAAAGAAACCCTTGGAATGTTCTTTCTTTGGCATGCCATCATTCAGCCATTCAGTCATTCATCCTGGCTTCTGGTTCTCGAATTCCGGGTTATCCCTGTGTTGTGCCCGTGTGAAAAATTTTCTCTTTGGTGAAATGGGCGCTGACCATTTCGCTAACCGGAGACACGGATTCCGGACAGTGCTGAAGCTACCGGCGCTAGGCATTTTAGACGGTCCGGTGATGGTCGAAAAAGGAAAGTTATTGGCGCCTCTGTCGCGTTATTTGGACTGAATAATAGTCGGCTAAGGTGTTTTGGGTGGGTACTCAATCGGCCACTCCGGCCCAGGCTATACCCTCTGGTTATGTAATTTGTATCCCGCTACGGTTCTGAGTACTCTGGTAAGGGTTCATCTTGGATCGCGGCAATCATTGGTGGTTGTCCCTCGGGTTGATTATCCCCTCGCTGTCTGGCTGCTTCCGTGCCCAATTCTACACTCCCAAGCAAGTTCTGGGCATGACGTAGTGCTTGTCCTGGTATTCTCATTACTACTACTGCGTTGGTTCAGGTACAGCTCAATCGGTCCGCAGTCCTCCGTATTGAACTTGCGGACCCGGAGGAAGTTGGCCAAGCCTCCGGCCTTCTTCTTGAATTTGCCCGGCGTCTCCACTCCGGCATGTAGAATCTTGACAACCGGTGATGTTTGGCTCACCGACGATATCTTTAGGCTTACAAGAGGATTCTTATTGCTAATTGATTTTGGGATGAATAAAAGTCGTTGAAGTTTCTCTGCAAGGGATCGGTCCGATCTCTCGAAGTGTGTGCAAGCTCATTGCTTGGCCTACGTTGCATGGGACTACTGTAACTGTAGGGATTAAGTTGGCAGGTCATTTCGTGAACGATGATCACCTTAATTCAATACAATACAGTGACCATTGGGTGTCCAATGTCGAGATGAGTGTCCCACCAGGACGTCCTTTTGATTATTGAATAGTCCCCGCATCTCAATAACCCGGACAGTTCTCAATTACAAATTGGTCGTGCGCACCCCTTTCATCACCCGATGCGGCGATGCAAATTTCGACCTAATAATGTAGCATTTGTATCAGATCTATCAATCAACAAGATACAGTGGGTCCGAAAGATATCGCTTCTCTTAAAATTGGCAGTCTGTGACCAGTCTGCAAGCTACGGCTGTACAGAAATGGCGATCAATTCAGGTCCATTCTATCGTCGTTACAGCTTTAACACTCCACCACTATCGAGGTAAATTCGATTTATGGTGCGGAAATCTCAAAACAGTAACGCCTCTCGAATAGTCTCAAACTGCAATAATGAGCAAGGGTACGGTAATCCTTGTAGCCTCGTTGGTGACATCGTGAAGAAACCCATGTCGTATCTTGTGGCGCTGGGAGTCCAGGGGTGTACCGCCGCTGTCTCTCAACCATGGAGAAATATTTATCCCTTTTGCGGTACATTCCGGCCTCTCGGCACGGTGGTTGGTAGATGGAGGCTATCCACTTCTACCTCATGGCCTAGTACGACCACGAGATATGGAGACTCCACTTCTCCATAGATTATTCATACCTAGCATCCACTCGAGCCTGGAAGTGATTGACCTTCCCCGTGGGCAGCTTGCTCTCCGCATTCTTCCGCAGGAGAATCTCTGGGTTCGTAGTGGCCTGAGAGCATTCTCTACCTTAATGCTCCAGCACCGGACGAGCAGTGCCGTCTGATCCGGCTTTCTCCATATCTCCGCATAGCCAGTCCCTGAAAAGCAGGGTCACAATGCTAAGCACCTGATCCTGACAAAACCAATTCAGTGATTACGATAGAGTATTAAAATTCATCACGTGAGGCAGATGCTACATCCATAGAGTCTAGCCAATCAAACCCCAATGGCATGGATCTTGAATGTTTTCTTCTTCAATGTGCATGGCCATGAGATAATTGTCTCATCTCCAGATTTACCAGAAACTCCTCCATGACTCTTGTGGTCCCACCTGGCTGTCAGCAAGGAAGATTCTTTTCCCATGGGGAGGATCTCATCTCCGCATGTCTCCACGACACTCCGCAAACCTCCACTTCTTTCTCGAACACCTCCCCAGCTTTGCTTTTTTTTTTTTTTTTTTTTTAACACTATAGTTTCTTCTTGCTTTGCCGGAAGCCGCAAATTCTTGCTGGAATACACGAGGGATCAATCTGCATCGTGTCTTGATAATGGCTCATAGAGGGCCGCCAGTTGGTTGGTTCTCAGGAATCAGTGAGTTAATTTCTTTCTAAAAGGCATGTTTGTATATTCGCGAACGATTAATTAATTTTGATGACGATACTAATAATGGCTTACAAAATCAGTTGAATTTTTCTGAATACGGCCTCATTATATCAGAACACACCCGCAATCGATGACAGCAGTCGGAATATTGTTTGGTTTGTTGAGGAACAGATGAGAAATCATCACGTTGCAGGAGTGATTGATACCAAAGGGCGAGTACGCCGGACTATGATTCTTTGACCGAAACAATTCCATATCAGGTCACTCGAGGTAGGTATCGTTCCTAGTTGTACGGTTTGGAAGCGTAATACTCAAACCGGGGCTTATTATTGGATTTACTCATCTGGGAGAATATTGAATCGCTGCGCAAGGTGAATTGCGATAATTCTCCAAAATCTTTCTCGCAAATGAGACATCCAATGAGGTTACCATTTTCTTCTGCTGATACGGGTCCTTGTCTATGCGAGAAATTTCTTCTCGAACTGACTGAGTGGCCTGGTGGCCGAGATCACGCAGGTGGGTAGTGGGCGCAAAAGTCACCAAAAAAGAACGCGAAAGTGGCACCGCAGTCAGCAGATTCGCTTGTCGTGAATGGAGTGTTTGTACCAAAACGGGCAAAGCTTGTGTCCAAGAATGGTAACCGAGACATGATCCAATACATGACGTCCACAGCATGTCACACTGAGAAGGCAAGTATCCAGACCGTACTTGGTCTGATCCAGGTACGTGTGCTTGTCATTCGAGCTTCACTCTATCGCCATTACCTAGGGCCATACTGAGAAAGGCACTATCGGCTCGCGGACGAGTCATATTCTGTTGATTATACTCCCCTTGCCACTAATTGTTGGCCTTGGAGTGCGAGGGGTGGAAACCTTCAAGGCCCGTCACGCGTCCCAAAGGAGAACTTCTATCTTTAAACCAGGGGAACATCCTCCTTTTGACTCCCCTTGGGACGGGTCGAAATCCACTATCGTCAAAATATTCAACACCATTTCACAACTCTATTCTGAAAAAACGCACACCTTCTATCTGATCTGTGCACAAACTTGGCTATCAGTTCTTGTTGCCACTGTCGCCCGTTCGCTGGTTTGTGTTTGTCTAGATCAATCTAGTCATCCCGTCTCCCGGTAATTACCGACCAACCCGCATGCCCTTGGACCGCCTCTCTAACCCACACTGCCTAGTTATCGTGTCCTCACCGACTGACTCGATCCCCTCTTCCTTGACAGCAAATCGCACTGCCAAAATGTTCATGTTACCTTCGTAGGAGAAGGACTCTTGTTTGAAGCTGAATTTACAGCTCTTTACTTGGTGGAAGAAGGCGCTTTGGCAGCGTTTGACAAGTGACACTGCTGTCGTCATTTGTCGCGAAGCTCCGATCCACTTCACCTCGGTCGCTGTGTGGAGTCCCACCCCGCGTTCTATCGCCTCCTCACCACACTAAACTCCTAATTCACGTTTCTCCCACGTCACATCATCATCTTGACGGCACAATCTCATCCATTCTGAAGTTCAAGGGAATATTTCCTTGAATTTTCTTTCCCCAATTCACAAGCCGCCACTGCATTTCAAACGTCTCCGTTTTTCTCCATTAGACGTTGTAGTGCTTTGGCGGTGAACAACCTCCGAGTTGTTTGACCGCCCTCACGTGCACCTTGTTTTGGAGCGGCATAAGCATTGCTTAGATATCACGTCGCATTGCATCGCATCTTGCATCGACCTCGCGAACCATTGGCCGTCGATACGCCGATTCATCGACGATTATAGACGTTGAGAACTTTGATACAGCGCATCCCCATATTTCAGGTGGTTGGGTAACTCTTGAGCCAACGATCCGTTTCGTGGCCATCGAGAGGTACGCTTCTTGGGATAAAATCGGAGATTCGCTATTCCATCAGCTGAAAAACAAACCCCAGTCCATATCTATATAGACCATGTCGGAGCAAGCAGTACCGCCTCGGCGGTTCATCCCTCAACCGATCGAGACTACAACGAAGAGCTCTCGGAAGCCCGCATCTAATTCATCGCATACCGCATCGAAACCTCGATTTCGACCGGAGCCCGTTGAGACAACGAGACGAAGCAATAGAAAGGCAGCTGAGACCCAAAATGCCTCATCCACCGAGCCACGACCTACTCGCCGGTTCGCGCCTCAACTCATTGAGACATCAACACGCTCGCGCAAGTCTGGCGACTCTCGCCCGGCAGTATTGCTATCAGATAAGACGGACAAATCACCTGGCGATGAGATCCGTCAGCCTCGGAAGGCTATGAAGGGCAGCAAAGTGAGAGGTGGTGTGGAAAATATTTCTGCTTTGAATCAGAAACTGCCCCCTTCACGACAACCTCGAGGAGAATCTCTTTTCTCCCTAACCACTTCCCCACGTCAGCGCTCTTTCGCAACCCCTGTACTGGAACCAATTGAATCTTCCCAATCGGAAGAATCCGACCAATCTAACTGCCCATCTTTGTCCACATCTCCCTCTGTTTCTTCGGATGAGTATTCCGAATCATATAGCCATGCGAGCAGGATACGCGAGAGTTGCGATGATCGTTTCTCTGGCTATCTGCTCGCGTTAGCGGCACGAGCAGCTGAAAAGCAGCTAAGGGAACAAGCTCTCGCCGCTTTCCCCAATGAAGATTACCATCAAACTGTTGATCATTTCGTTGACCGCGTATCGTCTTCTTCAGAAGAAGAGGAACTTTCGAATCGAGATCAAGATGTGGAAATGACGGGAATCGACTCTGATGAGGAAGTTAATTTGGCTTTTCAAGAAATGCGAAGACAACAAGAACAGCTTCAGAAGAAGCGACGATCGACATTGCGCGCCGAGTCGGAGTCTCGCCCTGGCGATACTTCTTCCAAGTCTTTTAATCCCTTTGGGAAGTTTGCTCAACCACCAAAGGAGTATATGGAAGGTTGGCAGAAGGGAATTGGTCTTGAACAAATGCGACGAGCAGCAAGTCCACCCATGTTAGGATGGGATATCAGGTTTCCTAGATGTCGATCTCCAGAGCAAACCCAGCTGCATGTGGGTCAAATCCCACATTCACAGCAGATGTCGCGGTCAGGCTCGGTTCATCAGGCTGGAATGTGGAGTGACAAGCACTCCTCACGAAAGAGTAGCAAAGGCCCAGGCGGGTTATGGATGGGAATGTGTACTGCGGAGGACGAGGATCCCGGACACCACCAGTCGCAGCAGGTTGGTCTCGTCACACCAGCCGGTGAAAGAGAAGACCCTTTTACTTCGGAGCCACCACGGCCTCAGGCAAAGGCAAAGTTCTTGTCACCCCTAACGGCTCAGAATGTATCCGCGGACAATCGTCCGCCCACCTCTACTCCCACCTCCGCTCCCACCTCTGCTCCTACTTCAGCGCCTACTTCAGCGCCTACTTCAGCGCCTACTTCAGCGCCTACCTCTGCACCCTCCCCTACACCACGCCTCAGTAAGGAGGATATCGAGCACGAATTCAACGATGACTTTGTCTCGCAAGTCTATAATTATCTTTCTCTTGGATACCCGGCCCTTGCTCACAAATATGATCCTGAATTGAGCAAAATATCCCAGATCCCCGTTGAAGAGCTTCGCCAAGATGACAAACTAGCGGATGGAAAAGGCTACGTCAGAATTGGCGATGATCCTGAACCAGAAGTTGATGATGATATTCGAAATAGATGCGCAAGATGGAAAGCTTTGAAGATTTATATTAGAGAATGGGCGCGGCAATCACCCGATATGAATGACGGAGCAATCACACTGGATGCCTGGGGCGCCAGGGCTCGTCGGGGTAGTTGGGCTGTCTAACCTAAATTTGTCTTTTTTTTTGGACCTCTGGGCTTTTTTTTCACACTCTGTGGCATGTTCTGGCAGGTGTTTGTGTGCTAAGAACCCGGCTTCCTCTGGAGTTCTCATGCTGGCCTACTTCTTTCTTTTTTTCTCCCGTCTGCGGTTTCCACCGATCCTATTCTTTTTTTCTTGTTATCAGCGTGGAGCAAAGAATTTGTCAGCAGCCAGGCAACATAGGGCATGTTTCTCTTTTTTTCCTTTTTCGTTAATTTTATGCGTTATGAGCGACGATTAGCACGAAAATGAGGGAAGCGATTTTTTTTTTGAGAGGCCTCCTACTTTATTTAACTCTATTCATGCAAAAGACTTTTTAAAGCATTTGAGATTTTTTTGCAACTTCTACTTTAAATTGATCTTTTGGATGGCAGAGCTGTCTGAAGCGTCGTTTGCGCATGTGCTCTCTTTTCTTGCGAGTTCATTCGTTTTTAAAATGCCTCTCGTTTTTTATTGTGAGTTGGGAACAACAGAAATTGTATGGCTGGTTTTTTTTTTTTTTTGGAAGCTCCATTACTCAGATTCATCCTATAAGCGCGTCATAGGCTTCATAGCAATGCGTCTGCGGTCTCCTAAGATAGAGGCTCCGTGGAGTGAATTTTACCAATACAAAGTACACGATGTTGTTGTCCGTGTCTTCCATTTCGGAGAGATCATTCACTCGAGATGCTTACAAGTTGTGTTTCACTTGAAGCCTGCCAATTTGCCTTCACCGTCATCATTATATCCTCTCACAGAGCGAGGGAAGAGCTTGGCTTGACTGACTTTGTGCCTGGACGGCGCCGAAAAGCTTTAATTCTAACTCTATCAGTCCTTGCTGGCCAACTCACCTGGCCGTCTTCGTGACGAAGCTGACACCTTGATACAGTGAATAAAGCAAAGCACGGATGAGAAGAACTTGCTTCTGACCTCATGAAACAATTCGGTCTCACAATTAGCTTCCGGTAGCTTCACCAGAGGACACTGCTCAATAAGAAAGATACCCAGCAATAACAGAATGCCAACTCTAAAACAGCTAACGTGTCAGATCGAATGGGCTAGATCTGGAGGCCCATTGCAAGAATTCGCAACCTCGTACGCAGATGGATTCGTCCAAACATATGTTGCTGTCCCGCAGGGCTCAGTACCTTTCACTATCAGACTCAAGTCAAATGGATACATAGCTCCCGGGTTAGCAATGTTTGTTTATATGGATGGGATATACCAGTGCAATCGGAATCGACAGGGCCTGAAAGCGCCGGAAGTTGCAAACAAGGCTAGCGAATATGAGGTTGACTTTCTCGTGCGTCAAAAGGAGGAAAAGTTGCGGGACGGTAATTGGCTGGGTAGAGAATGGAGGTTCGAAAAGTTGAACGTTGGTAAGTCATGCCCTGCTCCGGGGTCTCTTGGCGATTTTTTTTTTCTGAGAACAGCTTTAGTTGCTGGTGATTCGCAGGAAGCCAAAGATACAGAAAGCGGAAAGTTCGATCAGCTTGGTACAATCGAGGTGGTGGTTTTGCGATGCACAAGGCCTAAACACGAATTTGTTCCTCCATTAAGAAAAACGCCAAACTTGCAGCGGATGACAGAGAGACAGCCAGGACAAGATGGCGAGGGTGGAATGTTAAAGGGTCTCTTCGATGGCATTGTTGAAGAGTGGGAAATCTATTCCATCCACACTTCAGAGAGCTCCAATATAGATAGCGGCGGGGGTTGGAACTCGACTCAGATTGACGGCTCGAGTAATTCGCAGCAGAAAAAATATGATGAGCGTCAACATGACCGGGCTAGGTATACTCGTGGTGGCATACGCGACAACCCAGATATGAGCAGTGATCACGAAGAGCAGATCCTGGAGAGCTCGATTAGGCGCTATAACAGAGATTGGAGAAGAAACGGAGTGAGTATCACACCGGACGAGACAGTTGAGGAGGAGGAAAATCCAGGACCCCAGGTGTCGCCGGACAGCGCTCCCGCTCGCCGTCTCCATGAGAGATTTGGAGAATTTTCGGCCGACGGTCAATCATCTCAGGACCAGCCGTCAGTGGTTATCCACATTACGCCACCCCCGCCAGCGCCCGACCCACCCCCAGCAGTGGATCCACGACTTTGGGAGCAAAGAAGGCATTACCGCGGCAACCCTGAAGGAGGCTCATGGAACTTCGACGAGAGTTCTTCGAGCTCCTATTCTCGAGGCCAGAGATATTCTGCCGTGCCACCACAACAGTATAGGCAGTCATCGAATACACAACACTATGCTCATCATGGCCCTTCAGGAAGTACCTTTCCAAGGGTACCTGGAGAGTGGCCAGAACCTGAGTCAATGTCCGACATCGATGATGGTCATCTCCCACGTCGGACTAAGCAGCCTCCGTCCAAGCCACCAGGAAGCATCGTTTTCCAAGAGCCACTGGAGCACAGAGGCAGGGGAAGTCCAAGTGGCAGACATCGCAGTCAATCCCCCAAGAAGTCATCGAGGCCGAGAAATGCTAGTCGTAACACGCGCCGCGAGTCCATGCCCACTGTTGAGGAAGACTGGGGCGGGGAAAGCAATATTGACAGTCGAGCCGGTTATGACCTGTCTAGCGAGCCAGAAGAAAACCTCAATGATGGCGAATGGGATAAAAGAGTTGGTCATCCTCGGCAATACGTGCCTGTTATGGCTCCTCAACCGTGGTCGCTTGTCCCTTCTGGATGGACGCCGTATATTCCACAATCTTGGCCGTATATTCCAAGTGGCACTCAATGGCCGGGACCAGAACCGGCAAGTCCTGATCATTCAGCTCCAGCAAACGAAACCCTAGATGCAGATGATCGACCTCAAAGACCCAGAGGGCGTGAAGATAACGGCAGCCAGAGAACCAAATCGCCGGCCCACAGGTCGAATTGGGATACCCCTGACACGAACAATTGGGCAACGTCGAATCAGAATGAAGACAATAATGACTGGAATAATGACAATTGGGATAACAATGACTGGGGAGCCGATACCAGTCAACCTCAACAGGAAGGTGATGCTGATGTAGCTGCAAAGGTTGAAGCAGCATGGGCCTCAGATCGCCATCCTTCTCGATCTGGTTCTCCGACAGCCTCGGCGCACTCCTCAGCCTCCACGGCCAAGCCAACATTTCAAGTGCCTCATATTTTGCCTTATACGCAGCCTTACTGGTCTAAATGGAATAGAGCTGATAACCTCGAAGAGGAAAGTCCTCTATACAATGTCCCGGAAGATATTGCAAAAAAGAAAGCGGCTTCTCATCAGGTGCAAACTGGGCGGCCGGCACCCTACACTCACCGGACTTGTAGGCCTGTGTATGTCGACACATATGATAAGCCATATGCGGTTTTCGTCTTCAAATATCGGTCACGAGGTATATTGGGGATTCATTGACCAAATATAAAAAGCTCGCTGATGATAGTGGTAGAGACGATTGAGCGATTGTTCGGGATTACTATCCCAGTCAGTGCCGACGACGAAAGAAGAAGACTGGCATCTCTATCTAAGGAGCAGATAATTGAAGAGCTCCTCAAATCCAGGGTATGCGGCTTTCCAGAAGGCTGATTGGCGGATACTAATGATGTTAGACTGCTCCTTCTCACAAAGAAACAAAGTCACATGATGGTGAAGATAATGTTACCCATAACGGACATGGCAGCCAGAAGCTATCAGATAAAGCAGGCCAAAAGGCCAAGGACACCCAAAAGGATAAATACTCTGCCAGCGAAATGGGTAACGACAAACAAGGTTCAAGCAATACCACTTGGAGAAGCGGAAAAGATACAAAGACTGCTGGCTGGATCAAGTTGAGCGAAGACAGTAAAGAGTGGAACGATGAAGAGCACAGCGCTGTTGATGACGAACAATGGTAAAACCTCTGATAGGCAGGAAAGCATAGATCCGGGCTGAGAGCAGCCAAGCCATCAAGTGGTTCTGCTAGACTCGAGATAATTAATGGAACGTAGTTCATGGGGATAAAAACCACTAGTATGTCAGAACATTGATGAAAGGCTAAGGTCATCTGTAGCCCACATATCTATTCTGCTTGACATGAGACAGCTCCCAGATTCGTCAAGAGAAGAAAATGATCAAAAATATGTGCTTGAAGAGAATGAACCGCGTTATTTGACTGGAGAGTTTCTGAAAATATTAGCTTGACTATGTGAAATAACTCGACCTAGTCGGTATGATGAAGCATTGAATGTAGACACGTAGAAGCATATTTGGCTTCTACTGAAGAACAGAAATATATAATTCAATAAAATGCGCTCAGAAGCATGCCCTGCTGCTCCCAGCGTGGCGTTGTATTGAGGTTCATTGAGCGTGAAGGGTGTTGTTGACGTTGCGAGCCGACCGAGTTCTGAACCAATCATATGCAGCCACTCTACCGGCGCTTCGTGAGACATCATGTCTACTCCAGCGCCTCCCTCTAACTAATCTACACCTCGATGCATTTGAGTAGCCAGCCAATAATCAAGGATTTCTTCCTGTATGCTCGCAGAGCTCTACATTTGGAGGCCAACGAGCTATCATGGATATCGACATGAACGCTTTGGCCCGTCTGGGATGGTGAAACGTCTAAGTTGCACGTTGCTGCTATATTAATCCACCCCCAATATCAAGATGAAGATGCGCGCGAGCAAATGTGCCAAGATGCTTCTTCTCGTGCCCCACAGGAGTTTGATTTCCAGGATCAGTCATGTTTTTGGAGAATGCTTTAAAAGACCATTTCCCGTGGTCGCCTTCAGCGCGACCACCATAGCATTTCCTTACTGTTTAATGACTTTATAGTTTCTTCACTTTCTGTCACTCTTTGGCTGAGAACTGTGCTGGGCACACATTCGAGTTCCAGACATTCATTCGTTTTTTTTTGCGTTCTTTTTTTGATCGCAATCGATTCATCCTCACGGGTTCTTCCAAGCATTCTTTTTGCACACTTATACAAAGTGTTGGCTTGGCGTGCCTCCCGAAAGATTGGCTTTAAAACTTTACATTACAACCCTAGAGAAAGTCTGTGGCATTTTTACAATGAGGCTTAGGATATTTCTTGCAGTGCAGACTGTCGTTTTATGCAAGTGTCTTGTCGGCGCTGTTCCAAAACCTTTCTTTATATACCAAAATTCTACAACCAGCCGGACAACTCTAGACAACTCACCTTCATTGTCATTCGCTTCTAGCTTAGTTGCATCCAACACCGCCAGCTCTATCGGATCTCATACGTCTTCCGCTGCTATTATTTCTTCCTCTACCACAGCTACTGCGGCCTCATCTACCTCAACTCCATCCTCTGCGACCTCCCATCAGTCCGGGGGTGAAGAATACGTCGTCCTGTTTCACTCCAACCAATCCTCTCAAGCCAATGCGCCAGAAATCCTAAATCGGCTCGGACTTGGCACCGCACATCCAGATGTATCGCACGTCTTCAACAACTCCGCCTTTGGGGGATTCATTGCGTCCATGAAAACCCACTGCATCGACGCGCTGAGTAACATGGTCGAGGTCCAACACGTTGAAAAGTCTGTCCAGATCAGCTCTTTCGCTACCGCCGAACGCACCTCTGCAACATGGGGGCTGGAAAGGATTTCCCAAGCGGAAAAAGTCTCTGGAGACCCATCCCAAGTCGACTTTACATATACCTTTGACGACCAAGGCGCCTTGGGGTACGGCGTGGACATATATATAGTCGACACGGGGATCAACACGGCTCACGCAGCGTTTGGCGGAAGAGCGATTATGGGCTTCAGCAAAGATGGCCCCGACGACCTCAATGCCGACTCGGACAAGGACGGACACGGCACACACGTGGCAGGCACCGCCGCCGCCGAAATATTCGGTGTCGCAAGCTCAGCCAACCTTATCGGCGTCAAGGTGCTCGGATCCGATGGCGCAGGCTCCTCAGCCGATACTATCAAGGGGCTAGACTACCTTGTCCAACGACATGATCAGCGCAAGACGGAAATGGGGTTTGTTGGATCTATTGCCTCCATGTCATGGGGGTTATCCAGCACGTCAGCTACCCTCGACCATGCCATTGGCGCCGCCATTGCTGCTGGCGTTCACGTATGGTACGTAGAATATCCTCTGTTTACCTGACTCCTTGAATTTCCCTTGGGGGCCCCTCCCCCCTTTTTCCCTTTTCTCTCCAACACCTCGACAAACAACTAACTCCATTGCCCGTCCAGCGTAGCAGCAGGCAACCAAGCCCGCGACGCATGTGCCGCATCGCCCGCCTCGTCCGGCGGCTCCGGCGGCACCGCCATCGCAGTCGGGTCTATCAACAACAAAGACTCGATAAGCTATTTCTCCAACACGGGCGGCTGTGTCGACGTGTACGCCCCCGGCGAGAAGGTTATGAGCACTTGGATTAACGCTACTGACTCTATTGCTACGTACGTATTCAGCTTTCTCTCCCCCCCTTCTTAGTATCTCCTTCCCTTCTCCCCCTTCTTCCCACCTTCTTCCCACCTTCTTCATCTCCCCTTCTTTTTCTTGCTACCTCCTTTCCCTTTCCCTTTCCCTTTCACCATCTCCCGCCGCTACCTCGTCTCATCGAAGCCATGGATATTATTCCTTTTATTTTTATTATTATTATTTTTATTTTTATTTTATTTTTTTTGGGTCGTGGTCGTGGTCATGGTGGGGGGAGGGAGAGGGAGAGGAGAAGTAGCTGGAAGGGTCTTTTTTACCATACGAGTCTCAGCGCCATATGAGTCTCCCGTTAACTAATCCTATATTATTAGACTGAGCGGCACAAGCATGGCCTGCCCCCACGTAACAGGCATCATGGCATACCTCATGACGCAGAACCCATCACTCGCCGCCTCGCCCGCCGCCATGAAGACGTATCTCCGCAGTACCGCCCTCGCTGGGCAACTCTCTCCCCCTTCTTCTTCTTCGTCCTCCTCGTCCTCCGGCTCGTCAACATCCAAGCGCAGCGTCGTCGCAGGGGACAGCGGCCTGCTCGTGAACAACGGACAACTTGGACAGTCCAATTCCAAGCGATCGCAAATAAAGCAGCGCCGGAACTCGACGAAGAATCTGACAAAGAATCTGACAAAGAATCTGAATTTACTCCTTGCCCGAAAACCAATCGCGACAAACCCAGTCGCGCATGAGCAGTCATTCTACGAAGTAAATATCGACGAGTGGTCATCTTTGCGATACTAACTATGACTGCGAGGACATGAGATGGAATCGAGCCAGAGTAAACCTGGTCGTGGTTGGGAAGTAGTCTATTAATACTACTTAGCATAGTGTATAGAACAATGAGGACAAAACGAAAAGAGAAAAGTGACGATAATACGAAAAAGAGAAAAGCGACGATAACAGTCACATAACGTATTTACGAAAATATACGGAGATATACAAAATGACTTTGCAAATTAAATCATATTTCGAAACAATCACCAATTGTCTTCACTGACAAGAACAAGATATATAGGCAATACAATGAGCAGAAAAGTATATAATCAATATAATGAGCAGAAATATAGCCTGAGCGGGCTAGTGTTTTATAAGACTGGTTTTTATATCCTAAAAAGGCTGCGGTATTACAAAGCCAGAGGTTCGCTAAATACAAATGATGCACATAGTATCTCAACTATCGCTTGGCCTGCCGAAATGGACATATAAGGTAGGTACCTTAGTTGCGGGTAATTTATGTATACATGGCATGGAACTTCGTAATTGTCTCGCTGCAATGGGATTTTCAGATGGGTATTCGCTTTGCTTTTAAAAGAAGCAGAGCAGTTTGAAAGAAGCCCAGTGCTTCCTGTCGAAGCCAGCGATACAGCCGTAAAAGCTTCGAAAGAGAGAAAGAAAAAGAGAGGGAGAAGACGCGAGTCATCATAGGTAGAGCACAGCAAACGAGAAAATGAACATGGCCAGCAAGCCAGTGGTGCCGACGCTCACTGACGGGGCTGCATTATGGTGCTTCTTGCCGCCAGATGATGGCGACGTATTATTCGCCGGAGTGGTGCCGTTGAGGACACCATTGCCACTGAGAGACGAAGGGTCGCCGGTGGAGTCCTTGATGCACATGCTCGAGTTGCTCCAGTAGGCGTTTGCAGCACCTGCCCACATGGTCGTGATATCAGTCGTCATATCCGCCGTGTAGAAAAGGCGGCAGTCGGCCGCCTCGTAGACAAACTGAAGGGGCGTCTGATCTGTATCGTTCTCGCGAATGTTGTCGCGAACATTGGCGCTGCCGCTGGTGCCGTGCAAAGATCGGTTCAGAGCATAGTCCTGGTACTCAGTAAAGTTGCCAATCTCCGTTCCGCGCCACTATCAAAGCGAAATTGTTAGTCAAAATTGGACTTGACAAGGTAAACGCTTCGATAATCAAATACACAAGGTTCACTATACCTTCTTGAGTTGGGACGGGGTGGCGGTTTCCAGCAGAATGGCAATAAATTGCCAAATAACTGGAAAGGAATAGTCATTGGCACTGTTTGACAAACATGTTAGCGTACCCCAGAGGAACGGGCTACAAGCAGAGAAACTTGCCCTTTGGTTCCTCCAACGCCCTGCATGGGCCCTGTCTGAGGCCGTCCACCAATAGCGATACTCTTCACTTTGCCTTGAGTCTTCATGAATTCTGAAAATACAGCACAGGTTGATGCGCAGAAACCATTGTAGAGCTGTACAAATTCCGTTAGCGAAATGCTCTTGTTTCATCACCAATGTAAAATGTCGAGACAAACCAAAACAATGTCCTCAGCAGGGTAGGGCTGAGGTGGAAGGTCTGTGCGATTAAGATAACCAGAAATAACTAAACCGGATGTGTCCACAGTCTGAAGAGGATCACTGAGGTTATACCGGATAATGGATGTGAATTGATCATTGTTGAAGGCATGGGGGCCGTAGACGTCGCTCCACGATGAGAAATCTTCCAAGTCAATGTTCAAATCTTCCTTGTAGTTGAACGGGAGCGAGGCAATCTCTATATCAGTTGCGGTAGCCGAAGGGTCGTTTGGATCGAAATTGGCAAATAGTTGTGACACTTCCTGTCCGAGAGCATCAAAGCTCTGATGAGCTCGGAAGCGTGTTCCACCATAAGGCGTCATTTGTGGGAAAAGCTGATTGAAAACCCCCTTTTTTAGCTTCACTGTGAAATTTTTGGTTGGGAACGAAAAGCTTACCTGCTTGAAAAGATCGTACGCCAAATAGACAGTACCGCCACCGTTGGAGCTGAGATCAATAACAAGTTTCTTCTTTCCGTCCTTTGTGCTCTTGGCCAAAAACTCTTGCGCCACCGCCTGAAACTCTTGAATAGACGCAGGATCCGCAGAGCCGACAAAGGAAGGAATACTGAGAACTGCGACGTCATCCAAGCCGTTGCCGCTTAGGTAGTAGCCGCCGATAAAGCCCTCAGAATGCTCGATTTCAGGTTCAGGATATCCGGGGATCTTTTGAGGCACAGAGGAGGTATATGCAGCTGCCACGGACGAGGTTGATGCGGCCATTGATGTCTCGGAAGAGAATGCCCCAATCGAGGTCGGTACAGCGGTGTTCGAGTCTGTGGGATAAGCATAGGACGTAAAGCCTGGAGTGTAAGAATATGTCGCAGTTGGTGTTGCCGTGCCTTCTGCCGCAGCTGGGCCGTTGCAAAATTTCTCGTAGTAAGCTTCGCCACTGTCGACGCCAGAGAAATCTCCACGAATAATGGCATAATTTTCAAGTTCACTAGTGGTGCCATTCTCAAAGGTAAAACTGGTAGACGGTCCAGGATAGAAGAAGCCGCCAATATTTTGATCTCCTCCAGCGAAAAATCCTGGTCCCTGGCCGTTCTCGAGAAGAGAAACCTGTGCCAGGTCATAGAAGAGACTGTTGTAAGCTGCATCTGGGTCCTGCAGATTATTGAATTGGGCCAGATTTTCCAAAAAAGTTACAACATCTTGTCCATTGATTTTGGTGACGGCAGATGGAAGATTTGTCGAACCTGCCTGCGCAGACGCAAATATTTCCTCTATAGAAATGGTGCGTAAGTGTCATGCGCTCTCTACTCTACTTTAGATTGCAGCCGGAACGTGAACCTACCGTAAATATAGATTTTTGGCAAAGCCTGTCCGTCCACGGATACGGATACTAAGGCCCTTTGCCTTCCAAATGAAATAGCATTTCCGACAGCATCCCCAATCCATATAAAATGACCGTCGTGTGCGCTCAACGTGAGACGAAGAATGTCCATTTGAAAATCATATTCTCCCGAGTACACGCCTTTAGTAACATTACTTGCAATGTCGTTCAGTCCTCCCAAGATATCGACTGGAGGTTCTTGGTAGCCTTTGGGCGGGTTTTTGAGGTAAGCCAATGTTGACTGCCATTGAAAGTACGGCCACAGGCCAGACACCACCGCCAAGGCCGAGTCTTTATCAATAGGGACAGATTTTAAGCACTCATATGCAACGGATGCCGGGACTATCGGAAACTCTACAAGCGCACAAAAAGAAAATGAATCAGCACGTGACCAGAGTCTGAAATGACGGGCGTTGTGCCCAACCTGTTTTGCTCGAGATCCCGCCGCCTGCAGCGAGCGAGCTGACCGCAGCACAAGCACTGGCAGTGCCAGTGGGAATTGAACCACTGGTGATGGAGGGATTGACGGTCACAGAGCCTGTCGCCAATGCTGAGCTTTGCGACGACAGAAGACCGACGGCGGTCAGGGCGACCGCAGTCGAAGATTTGGAAAAGCGCATGACGGATTCCTTGGCCCTGACAATTCAATTGTTGGCTCTCGCGTGGACCAGGAAGGACACAAGATGCATGGTTGCGGAGCTGGCCGCGGTGGCAGAAGGTCCATTCTTAAATGAAAGCAAAAGAGCCTGGGCTGATGCTCATACGACGCTAAGCTTCAGCTGGAGCTTTGTAAAACGACATTTGTATGGCTTGTTGCCTGGTCGCAGATTAGAAATGCGGAGACAAGGGCACAGAGTCGACAGGCTAGCCGCCCAAAGGGGTAGGGCTAGGTCGCTAGAGCACACTCAATAAGGGAAGCCAAGAGGCGCGGTTCCCGTTCGACCAGGCACTGTCCCGGGGTCCCTGGGGGAAGGGAGGGCCCGAGCGGATAGTGGTCATTAAACGGCTTGATTGGCCCCCACCGAATAGTGTAATGGCGGGTCGGCTGAGTCGGGGGCAGTACAAGTAAGAGTACGAGTCCTTTTAAGAAGCTTATAGCGGTCAAACTCAGCCCAAATGGTCCACTAAGATCGATCCAGCAACGGATTGACTCACGCGCATCTCAAGCAAACGTTCCAGATTTCGCCCCCAAACTCTCATGGCTTTCTCCCAAACTAAGACCAGCTTCAAGGCAAAGCAGTTAGGTCTGCGCTTTCAAAAGAAGTGTCTTTTGGAACAAAACCTACCTGCTTCAGCATCTGCTCAGCCCTTCTCCCGCCTCCATTCTCTTCAGCCCTGGTATTGCCAAGCCCTGCCAACCGTCACATCTTCGCCGCGGCGTTTCAAATTAAAAAGGAACACCAAAAAGCATAGTGAAATTGCGTCTCTTTTCCTTCCTCGAATTCCTGTTCGCTAGCTTTGAACAAATTCCACACCCTGCCAAGTCTGCTTTCTTTTCTCCTTTGTCGGTGGCTGCGACACGTGAATTTCGCCACACATGGCTGTGCGGAATGGCTACCACGAGATTTTGCTCGTGGTCGCTTGTTAACCAGGCTGCCTTTTGAGCAATTTGCAAAAGAACCGAGTTGCCATTCACCGGATAAAGTAAAATTTATGCACCATTTTGAAGCCGTTTTATTTCCAGGTCACATTAGACTATGTTCCAAAGCCGACCGAAATGTCAAATGCTCATCTTTGCATATCTGCAGCGGAACTGGCACCATGGTCCAGAACCGTAGTTGTTGGATTGGTGATCTCAATAACGACCGCCTAGAGAAATAGTTCGGCTCTTTCTTTTCCGAAGAAAACAAGGCTGAACTAGCTTCACTTAAGACGAAACAACAGTTAGAGAATGGGTAAGGTCCAGTCATTCATCGTCTGCGTAAATTCTCTAGGTCTTATATAACGGCTTCGAAATTTCTAATGCCGTAATCACAGGGAACTCCGAAGCTGGAGACGTTTCCTTTCCTCTCGGTTTCGGCGGAGTGAGGAGGCCGAGCGAGGGGATATGGTCCGGTCGAGACATGACCGCATTGCAACACTGTGAACCAAGATCCCTCCCGCATCCTTCCTTCTTCAGCAATATGTCATAGAGGCGGAAGACGAGCAAATTCATACCCTTGGGGTTGGCCTATAAAGTGATCCTTCCCCATCTCTGATGTAACTCGAATATATTCGATCCCATGCCCAGACGGAACCAGCAGGATGCCGACTTGGCATTGCGACGGGATCTTTGAGTACAACCCTGGTAAAAGCGCGTCACCAGCATGCCAAGTAATATGTCTCTCCCTCGCGCCGGGAAAGTATTGCTGCTGTGTTGACCATTGGATCTCTTTATCCCCCGGCGTTGGGTAGAAACACTAAGATCCCAATCAGTCTGCAGACGCAGATTGACGGTGACACTGCCAAGAACACGCCTGCAGGTCGTTATTGGATCTCGATCAACAGATGAGGAAACATTTTCCATTGTACTAGAAAGAAAGAAACCCATACTCTGAAGTGATCATGGTCATCTAGATGTGTTGGAGAGCGCTGCGACGCTGCGAAAAGAGAGTAAAGTTGTGTATTGCTCAAACAATAGCAAAAGTCGTCGTTCAACCCTAACGTTCAGATAGAAAACACGATCGAGCGACTGCTTGACGTTCAATCCGCCAAGAACTTTTGACGGCAAGATGATGATATGAATATATTTCCTCATTTTGACACATGGCAGGTGGAAAGCTTTCTCGTAATCGCTTGCCAGAGTAGGCAGGAACGACTGTCTCTCGACAAAAGATATAAGAATCCGAACTTGGTAGGTGCATGCTTGAAATAGTATCGAATGAACGAATTTATCACAATCCTTCTGCTTCTTCTCTTTGCTCAAACTTCTCATTCGGTTTCTACGGTCGGCGTTTGGATGACGCGCATTTGATCATAGAAATGTGGTCCTCTCACTCAAACTTTACTGCAACCGAAAAAATAGAACAGAATAAAAATCCAAATCGATATAAAAAAAATTAAATGATATAAATAAAATAAGGGTCATTTTATTGCATAATAAAGGTGTATTTATATAATATATATACATATAAGTTACCAAAATTTTATCCCGCAAAGCAGGACATCCTCACAACGCGCACAGCCCGGCGCGAAGAGCCGGGGCGGGGCGCTCAGGATTGGGGAACTGGAGACGCTTGGATTCGACCGCAGATTAGAGATAAAACGGAGGAAGACATAGTTAACATTTGTACCCGGCCAGTTGAAGACCCCCGTTCAATCGCTGCACGCACCATAGCTCGGTTGGTCCACTAAGCGACTCAATTATTTCATCGGATTTTAGTTAAGCAGCCACTGACCAAGTGGCCTCGGCACAGAACACTTCGACTGAGCTTTGCATGGCGATGTCTTCCCATCTATGCATCAGATTTATAGGATGTCAAGGACGTGAGAGGAGGCAAGGTGTGGGATTTGATCCAGCAGAGGAGCCATTCGTAATACGTAATAATCTGCATGTTCACATTAATGTAGATATACGTCGAATAAGCAACGTCACGCTACAGGCCCATTTTCTCACGCAACAGCTCCTTGATATCGGTCACTTTCTTTCCCAAGGCAGTAAATTCTTCGTGGATGCTAGATGTGCTTGTACTTTGAAGCAGACCCCAGCGAATGAGCACAATGGCCAAGTCCCGATCGACTAGATTGTCGCCAAAAGTCTGGGTATTATTGGGAACGGTCGCGCCGCTGCCGTCCATGGATTGCACTATTCCATCAGCAGATCGAATCTGGGGTGGCAGACCCAAGGCTGCCTCAGCCTCCCTAATTGAGTCGAGGAGCATGCACACAGCCGTGTGAGTACGGCTCCATGGTGCGTTGATAGACGGTAGCTCGCCAAGACACACTGTCGGTCCAAAGTCCATACCCGTGGGCGAAGGCCTTTGCTGAGCGCTGGGCTGCAATTGAAGGTAGGTTTGCAAGTGACCCAGAACGATGACATAGATCCGAGAAAGCGTGACGTAGCAACTTAGTAGAATATGAGTAACAGACGTGTCGAAATAGGAAGCAGGGTTGGAGGAGGACGTCGCAGAGACAGCCGAACCTGCGCTACCGCCTTCAAATTGCGCAGGTTGTACAGCGGGAATATAGTCCCCTGAAGAGCTTGACTGTGAGGATCTCCCACTAGGAGACGAGGTCTTGTCGCCGGGCCTAACTCCCCGCAGAACGGTCGCCACGTTGGTAAATTCCTGCGACAAGTGTAATACGCTGCCAATGGGATAGCTATCAAGTGCTTGGTAGGTCCCTTCCCGCTCCCATGGCCCAGTTTCTAATGCTTCCAGCCTTTCGTGCAGATCGAAAGCAAGACTCAGGAGCGTCTTGGTGGCGATGCCGCGCTCCGAAGGTATAGCCTCTGTCACCAATGTTGGAAAGCTATTAGAGTTGTTATTCCATTTGGTGTTGTTTTCCAAGAATAGGGGTGCGTCATTCCCACGGTTTGCCAAATCCAGCTCCATGTGATTACAGTGACTGGCAAAATTCATGTGGCTGGTCAATATCTGCTGGTCGTTCATGGTGTTATGATGACCTTGAAGCGTATTTTCGAGAGGGTCATCCTCGGGAGGAGGCGTTTCGAGGATTCCATTCAGAGTCAATACGTCCTGCGCAGACTCTGGATTCCAATTGTAGTCAAAGGAGAAAATCTCGGTTCCCGGAGTCACTTGGCCATTGTCTATTGCGACGTCTTTGTCCATGAGGGTTGAATATTGGGTGTCTGATAAACTCAAGGGAGGGGTCATTGTGGAGACACCAATCCCACCGTCAGAGATGGGGATCATTGCAGGTTGTCGCCCGCTTTCTTTTTGATCCAACTCGGGTGTTATTTTGCATCTGGACCTGTTCCGACGACCGAAGATGCAGGGGACCATTGCACGGACGCATCGTTGACAGCGTGCAGTGCCATCTGGAGATTCGGTAGCTGGTGTGACAATGCATTTGAGCTTCTGAGAACGACATCTATTGCATGAAGTCCGCATCGAGAGGACGTCGCTGGAGGTTGAACTTGAGATCATGTTGAATAGCCTTCAACCCTCTGCCTATGGGACTAGCAAACGAAAAGAAAATAATAAATCCACCGGTATTTCCGCAGCACAGCAACCAAGAGAACATAGCTATATATCTATCGTACTTTTAAAAGCGGGCGAGATTGAGGGGCCGGTGACCAGCCAAGTTGGCAGATCTCTTTGGACCCTTTACGCCCGAGACAGCTAACTGAGGGGTCCCCACTTTAGCGGCAGATCACCCACGAAACAGCTAGTTGTTGACCATCCAATTGACGACCTTCCAAGAGACATGTTTACCAGTTTGTCCCCTCGTGGCCTTTGGCGCCTCCTTCTGGGCGGGGGATGAATAAATGGCATTACTAAAAGAGTCCTATGTATACCTTAAGTGACTGGTACACTAAAATCTCACTGCGAACGAGTAGGGGCTTGTGCATACTTTAGTGACATTCGGCCGAGACTGGTCTTTCACATCTTCCACGCCGGCGAATGCATGAAATAGCTTCGTGAACTGGACTCCACAGTATACTAGAGCCAAGGAGGCGATAGATGGAGAACAAGGCTGCGACTGTCGTAAATTTTTTTTTTGCACTTCTCTGAGTCCCATCTTGGTGAGACTAATGGTGATGGCAGCCATTGGCGGTTTTGCAAGTGCCTTCAAATAAGGTTTAAACCCTAGATGTGTTACTTATAAGGCAGGAAATCGTGCCCAGCACTGATATACCCCATAGCTGTCTATATGGCCAATTCATTTTGTATCCGGGATCAACGTCTGTTTGTTGCTCGGATATTTTCGCGCAACGTCATCCCTGGCTCGACATTTTAAGGGGTCCAGAGCTAGGTAATTTACATTGGCTCCTAAGGTTTCCAATGCGTTGAACCAGATACATGATAGGTGCAAGTGGCGAACCTCTTGAAGGCAGCCTTGGTAAGGATGTAGAGCTTGGTGAAACCCATTCACGTACACGTTCCCCTGTATCCTATCCACCATTGGTGATGAGGAGCTATCGGCACAAGGTTACGACATACGCTGCGAATATGCAATTGGCTCTTGAACGCTGCATACTATTCAACCTGCGCAAAATACTATAGGATGCATTTGTTGGCGGCGGCAAGGCGGTTTAATGGTGTGAAATTGAGCTGGTTCGACGGGTATGAAGTCCGGCAAGAAGGTTGGGGGCCGGAATTCTCCATGGCAGCGTGTCGAATCTATACTATAGTTTAACTATCAGAGGGGTGAAATGACGGCTTTCAAGAGTCGTCAGCACAAAAGTAATCGCTAAAACAAAGATTGTCATCCCTTTGAAACCAAACATGGTAGAGGTAGAGGGGGAAAAATAATGAAGACTGGATGAAGATGGAAAAACAATCGCAGAGCTTACATGATGATCGCCATCTGCTGACGAGACCCCGCCCTTTTTTTTTTTTTTTGAGTGGGAAAATGCAGCCCCCACTACCCGTTGCGCCGCCCCGGGCCGTTCCATGAGCAGGCAACACCAAGGGTCCGGACGGGATGTGGTGATGCAGCCACGAGGCGCTCTAGGTAGGAAAGTCCAACCATCCTCCCTGCAGTGACATGTATGGAGATGGCGGGGGGGTTATAGCATGAAATGCTACAGTGGTACAGATAGGGTAAGTGGACGGCAAGGAAGATAAAAGCTTTGGTCATTCAGTTCTGTCACGCCTTCAGCCTTGACTGAATCAACTGTGGGTGAATAACTATCGTCAGCTATAATACAGGGGGGGGGGCTGATGAACAATGCGGGGGTGGGGGGAAAGAAGAGCGACCTTGGCGGGCGCCATTGTTCTGCAGTAACTGTCTTAGTTGTCGGTGCTTGCAGTCCACTTATGCAAACTAATGTAAACGGGAAAAATTTAGCGAAATTACCGTTGAGAGGAGCTTGCAATGAACTGGCATACCAACTACATGTGTTGATTATGGTTAAGGCGTTGTTATAACTTTCTCTCTAAATTTCTGGGATTCAAACCTTCGAAAACTTAAGAGTATTCGTTATATGTGGTTGGAACTAGTGATTTAAGGGGATATATTAGACTTTAACATATTAGCCACTTTTTATGTGCTGACATGAACACAATGGATATTGTGAATCCTCTAGCCATCGCATACCACCACCAAATGGATCGTGATGAGACCCAACTGGCCTGGCAAATCACTTGGCATCGCGTGGTGGTCCAGTTTCGGCCAATTGGGTGCTAGTCAAAAGCTTACCTCTGAACCTCCACTACCCATCCCACAACGACAGAAGACGGGATATAACATCAATGAAATATGAACATGGGATGCATGCCGCAGCCCAAACCTTTACCTATCCCATAGACTGTCCGGACCATGCTTCCGCCCATCCCAAAACACTCACCCTGCAGCTCTAGCTTTCTGCGCCAGCAGATCATAATGGAGAGAGTAAACACGTGCCCGTGATACTCCCAGAGCTACCTCTTAACCCCCATCTCATTGAGTATAACGCCATCTCACCTCAGCTCACTTTCAAGCTCGACAAATTGGAGGGTTCGGAAGAGCAAGAGCGTCAATTGCTGCCATTGCAGGAAACCAACTGGTTTTTTCTCAAAGGGAGGGTTAGTCCAGGTGACGTGCTCCCATGCTTTGGTATCGCCCAACAAAAAACCTCATCTCAATTGGGACAGCTGCATGGGTATTATGCCAGAATGCTTGTGAGAAGATGGGACCAAGGGTTCTTTCTGAACGCGAATGGTCAGGTCTTGCCGAATCCTTAAGCGGGATGCCAGATCTCACTATCTTCGTACGTCAGACCCAGATCACCAGCCCGAGACAGCGGGACAGCGGGGTATCTTCAGAGCAAGCAGTCCCTGCATAGCTGCTGAAGAATCCAAATTCGAACTATCGCTGCCTTTTGACCTTCCTGAATATTGTGCCAACTTTTTTTTGATGCACCCTTCCACGGACTGCCACGTCTCATCAGACTCGCCATGGGTATAACTGTAGCCTCTCAGTGGAGAGCGTGCAAAAAGTGGAGCCTAAAAGGGATACCACGCACGGTTTGAATCCCTCAAGAATAGATATCAGTGACAACACTTCATCCGCTGAATCGACGATGCGTGCCCTCCTGATGGGCGGCGATACGGTTCTACTTTGGTAGATTCCTATTTGATGTTCAAAGCAGCTAAAAGTTGATTCATTGCATCATGTCCTCGTATTCAATGAGTATTAGAGAAAGAAGAATAATTGACGGGATATATCCGGAAGCAATTGCAATTCGTTATGGTGATCGGCTGGCATAGAGCTAGCCCTGACGGTTCCGCCGCCGCCAAGATCAACTTCGGGTTTACCGAATCGACCGAAGGGTGGGACCGTTTTCAGAAATTTATTTCACACCCTCATGGTTTATTTTGGTTTGGATACAATTCACGAGTTGCGCTGATACTGCGCATCATCACACTCCGAATTGCAACGTTGCCGGGGGATCGCTCTAAAGTTGCATTACCTTCTGGTTAATTGTAATTAACACCGCATCGTCCGCCCTGTAAGCGGATTTAATTCCGAAACAGCTTCAATAGCAACCCAAGAATAATGGTTCATGTAAGGATGAAAACTGGATTAAGAAGCATGAATGATGCTTCTCATTGTTCATGACACATAGGGAGAGTGGTGCGTTGATGACAGGAAGCTGGCTTCGCTTCCCAACCTGTCCCATCTGATCTCTACCTCACGTAGTACAGAGTAAATACCAAACCGACATTGCCTTGTAAGACATTCAATTGGCACAGGTCTACGTCGATATGTTCTGTTTGGGATATGTCTGCATTTCTCCGCAATTATATGCAACTATGGCGCTGGCCACAGCCGCTGCAATGCGTTCTCCGCGGACCGTCTGCTGTATTCCATCGTATCAAACTCGCTCTATGGCTGTTGTCGGAAAAATGGGTGAATGAAACAAAACCCCAGCAAACGGGCATACCAGACGAAACTACGGCCGCAAGAACACTGCCATATGTAAGCCAATCAACAATGCCCATTTCTGCCCTCTTTATCAGGTCTCTAAAGTCTGTCTGTCCTCTCCACAGGACTCAGTGATACAATCGAGAGGCACACTCATCTCCGGCGGCGGGGCAGGCATTGTCGAACGCCTGCCTTCCGGTGCTGTCATCAAATCACCCTGGACTGACGAGCGACGGGAGGACTGTCGCGCTGAGCTCCGCCTTGAATGGCAAATCTACCAAAGGCTGGGTGCTCACCCAGGGCTCGTCAAAATCCTCGATTGGAACGACGAAGATTGTACACTTACCATGGAACTTATGGAAAATGGCCAATTGGACGACTATATTCGAGCTCACAATGAGAGGATTTCGTCAGAACAGCGAGACAACTGGGTGAAGCAGGCCGCGGAAGTCGTTGCGCATTTCCACTCGCTAGGCGTAATTCATTGCGACCTTGAAACTCGAAATTGCCTTCTGGATGCTCATCTACGGCTTAAACTGATTGACTTTGCCGGCTCATCCGTTGATGGCAGTCGGCCATCGGCCTTTGTTGCACCAGCATTCCTAGCGCCCGACGTCGAGGTGAATAGCAAACCCACCATCCAACATGACTTATTTAGCTTGGGCTCGTTGATCTACAACATTGTGACTGGACATCAACCATTCGAAGGCGAATCGAGTAGAAAGATTCAGCAGCACTATAAAACCAACAACTTCCCTAATCTCGAGAATCTGCAGTATGGAGAAATAATCCATCGTTGTTGGCATGAAGGCTTTACTTGTGCACAAGAAATTGTCGATATTCTCGCAAATAAACGGAGTTGAAACAAAAGCCAAAAGCTACTTTTCTAAAAATTTAAGGGAAAAAGACTGGGCACAATCCCCCAGTGATTCGCTCTCCACCGAACGATCCAGCAGCCTCTTTCTACCAAAAAAACGGGTGGCGCCCAAAGTCAACTCCATTCTAGGTTCGAGAGTATCCCTCATCGCGATGGTTCTGACATTGTTCACGACTTCTCGTACAACCAAGGTACTTGGTCGCTATGCCTTCACAGTCTCTGTTTGTCGTCTCTGCCGTCGCACACCTTTTGAGCGTCGTGACCTGTCCGGTCGCAGCTTCCTGGACAACCAGAGTAGGTGATTTTTCGTTGGAGATATTCGCACATGTTTCTTTTTAGGCCGTTTTTTACTGCTAATACAAATGAGAAATTGTCTACATCTGTCAGAGCCACTTACCCCTTACTGAAGCCCGACTACCTTGTGCAAAGCCTCTCTTTTCTATTTTGTATTTTTGCGTCTCTTCAACAAAGGGCACTAGGTATGAGTGATTGTGGAGCAGTTCTGAAGATAAATAATTAGACTTTTTTCTTCGTTTCTTTCTTGTTCAACAGAGCAAATGTTAAAGAATATTGCAAAGCTCATACCATACATAGACTGTTCAGATCATTACCCAACTCCTTGATAGATGCCAACACCACTCTGAATACAAATTTGATTGGGCAAAAAATAGAAGCAAAATGAATGTGCGAGGTTAGTTGATCAAGCATTTGATAGCTCCCAGGCAAAGAGGGGCATTGAATGCTTTGATTCGAGCAATCTCTGAGCTATTGGAGACAGTTGTAGCCATCCTCAATGTGCATGGTTCTAAGAATTTGTCTACATTAGCCTTTGAAAATGACAGTAACAGGTTGAATGGAAGTCACCTCATGAGCAGCACGTTTCAGCCTTTCACTCACTTCCATCTCGAGTCGTTCCTTTCCGTACGGTTCAGTGGCCAATACTGCCATCTGATCTCGCCCAGAAGGAAAATCAGTCTCGAATAGTGGCTCCCCACTGCCACGCATGTTTGCGAGCACAGATTGCCAAAAATGCCATCTTAGGAGCTCATCTGACACACGATCAGGACCAGATGGTTTACGGCAAGCTGGCTCAAGAACTCGGCCATCGATTCCCCAACTATTGGGCAAAAAGGTGGTGATCTTATAATCATCCTGTGTTGTATTAGCATGACTGCGATAAGCCCTAATTTAAAGATACTCACATCAGGGTTAACGGAAAACATGTACTGATCGAAGCGCGTGTGAAAACTTTCCAACATCAGTAACCCATTTTGAATCGAATTTATTCCGCTCTCCAGGGAATCCTCATCGATATTGGTAATCCATCGTCTGTAGTTATTGTCTATCCATAGACTTTCTTTTGCTAATGGGAAAACATGTGCGGCTTGTAGGCCAGTAAAATCATTCCATGGCGCTAGCTCATTCACCTCTCCGGATATCACACAATTCTGGTCTCTTCTGCGCACACCCCGGACGAATGCATTTTCTCGGCCGGAAATTGAGGTACTGATGATTCTTGCCACCCATGGCTCATTGGTTATGTGTACAGTCCCTATATAAATAAGTCCGTGACACAGTCTCCTTTTGACATACCCACATACCTGAGGCGCTGATCTCATACGTTCCCGGGAGGACCGGTTGTGCAGAAGGGACAATAGTTCGGTTAGTCTCCTGATGGCGAACGACCAAATCACCCTCGACGACAAGCAGAACATTCCCAAGGATCCAAATCAGAGTTTCTTCCGTCAGGGAGCCTTTCTGATAGCAACCGCCCAATGTCGATCCGTTGGAGGCATCGACAAAATGGACGTTCCGCCACGGGCTCCGATCTCTAGGCATTGTGACTGGAGAAGGGTCACAGTATTACAAAAGAAAAAGGAAGCTTCCAAAAGAACGCCTCGAAGTTTAGTTAGTCTTTTAGAATGCTTCCCGGTTCTCATGAAAGCTGAGAACGCAGTATATTGATGGAGAGAATAAATCAGAAGAGAGAGCTTATGACGATGTCAAGCAGCACAGTCTGTGCACAGTTAAGGTTGAGAGGAAGCGAGCGAGGGTGACGAGCGATAGCTAGTCCGAATCTACCCCTGAGGGCTAGCGACCGAGACGGACAGACTCCCTTGTATTGCCACTACAAAGCAAAGTTTTTACGCAGCGGATAAGGCGTCATGTAGCTCATGTGGGCAGCATCTCTGTCTTGGAAAAATAAATAATATAAAAAAGAGAAAAAAAAAAAAAAATTTGATAAGTCAAAACAAGTTGCACGGGCGATTCCTGGGCGCTGGGCGCTGGGCGCTGGGCAATCGGATGGCTCCTGTCGTGAGGTTAGTCTGAGTGGTTAGCAATTTATACTTTGTGCTGGAGCTTGTATTCATAGCAGTGGTTCACACAGTGGTTCTGGAGTAATCTTGACTTCTTAAGGTATATAATTAAGCTATATGCAAAGACTTCATTACTTATACAAGGGTCAATCAATTGTTAATGCAAGGCCCTCTTATTGTTTTATACTGTGTTTCATAAAGGAGGTAGACTTTGAAGTATCTTATATATTAAGGGTTATAGAGTATAGGGTTACTAGTATGGTATGGTATAGTATAATATGGTACATATAGTATGATATAATATAGTATATATAGAAGATCATATACTAGTATTCATTTCCGGGAACAAAATCTGTTAGCTCCGTCAAGAAATATAAAAATCTCCTCGACGGCGAAACACGCTGAAGCGGTTCTCATGGGGTGGAAGAAAAGAAATTAAGCCTCCCTAATTAAGACGACCTTGAAAAACGAGAAATGACCTGGGGGATATAAGTACAGAAGAATAGCTAGACAAAGACAAAAGACAAAAGAATCTCCAATACGATGCCACGTGCGCCAGGTATATCTTATGTACAAGAGAGATAATAACATGAACAAAAACAATAATTAAAAAACAAAACAAAAAAAACCTGACCCAAAACATGCTCCGTCAATACTAGATCAGCGCCTTGTAACTAGTTTCCCATCCTTGGAACTCATCACCAAATGGTGCGAGGTCATAAAGTATCCAAACCCAGCCTTCTTGGCGTCAGCGAACCAGTACAAGGGGTTCGTGATTGGCAATGTCTTGAGTTCATCATTATTGTCAACATAATCAGCAAAGTCCTTGACATGCAACCGGAGGCGGGCATTATGCGTCAAGACTTCCACGCTGCCAGCTTCTCCGCCGGCGCTCGTAATGGACGCAACCATGTCGCCCACCACCTGATTTACTGGAGCTACGTCCAGATAGCCACTGACGGCAGAGAAGTCTGGCCTGGTGCCGAGCTGGCGGATAATGCTTAGCAGCTCGTCCAAAACCGCCGGGGCCGTGACATCCGAGGATGCCTTTTCGTCTTCCGAAGCAGGAAGCGGCCGGTGGAGATTGACCTGCAGGCCGAGGCGGGCGGCCTTGCGCAGGAACGTCTCTGCGGCCCACTTGCTGGCGACATAGCCATCACTGCCGTCTGTGCGCGGGGCCGCGCCATCGTAAACCTGGACGGCGCCGGAGGTGACTATGTGGAAGAGCGCGTTATTGGTGAGAGCAAGCCGGGCGAGCTCTTTGACGGACTCGACATTGACGGGTCGCAGGGTCTCGTAGCTGTCGAAAAAAGAGCGGTTGGCGGCGCAGTGGACGACTACATCTGCCTTCTCTCCAAGAGCAGCCAATCCGGTGGACGAAAGACCGAGGTTCGGCTGAGACAGATCGGCACGAACGAACTTGACCTTGCCGCTGGGCGAGGAGAGCGAGGCTAATGCGGTGGTCTCGTCCCGGACAAGACAGAGAATCTCTCCAACCTGTGGGGTGTCGATAAGGCGACGGAGGAGATGGCGGCCTAGGTAGCCTGTTGCGCCTGCTAAGACGACAGTGAGATTCGAGCTATTCCTGGGCCGCGATGAGATTTCCTTGCCGAGTCGATTCAGACACTCTGGCACACTGGTTTCTGTCTCCCAGTCAATGACACGTGCTCCAGTGAAAGCTTTGACAATCTTCGCCATCCCTCCCAGGGTGCTGAAATTCATCAAATCGACCAGAAGTGGTGCCGAATTCAGCTCGGCTTTCACCAGGGCCTGCAATTTCACAAGCAGGATCGAGGTCCCTCCCACATCGAAGAAGTTGGTTTCGGGCGTGAGCTCTCGAATGTTATGAGGAATCACACGCCGCCAAAGCTCTGCCATCTTCTTTTCCATTTCCATGACCAAAGCCGTATCCTGCAATCCTTCCGGCAGAGGCATTGCCTGGATGGCCTTGCGATCAAACTTGAAGTTGCTCGTCACGGGGATGTCGTCAATAGGGACGATGACAGCCGGCTGCATGTACGCAGGCAGCGGGAGCCTCGACTCAAGATGCTGCACCATCTCCTGGCGGCGATGGTGGGGGAAATCGGGAGCGAACACGACGTGAGCAGCCAGGAACTTCTGCTCTCCCTCACCTCTCAGTGTAACGACGGCGTGTGAGAGTGCGCCTTTGGCAGTTTCGAGTAGGACTACTTCCACTTCTTGCACCTCGATACGGAATCCACGAACTTTCACTTGATTGTCGCCTGCAATTCGACCGAGCCAGTAAATTGCGCCATCCTCGCGAAGGCAACCGCGGTCTCCAGTGCGATACCAGGCACCACTATTGGCTGCAGATGGATGGATCTTGGATCCGGGGAGAAACTTTTCTTTCGTCATCTCTTCCAAGCCCAAGTACCCATTGGCAATGCCAGGCCCGCCGGCGCAAATTTCTCCAGCCACGCCGACAGGCACCGGTTGGAGATGATCGTCAAGGATAGCGACCGTGTAGTTTGGCAAAATGTAACCGGCAGGGACGTGGTCCTCCAGATCCGGATCAGTGTGCTTCACTTCGCCCTTTGTAATCGCGAGCGTCGCCTCTGTAGGGCCGTAATTGTTGAACAACCTTAGCCCGGGCAGCTCGAGCGCTAGGTCGGCAAACTCTTGAATGAGTCCACGATGGAGATGTTCGCCTCCGCCAAAAGCAGCCCGCCATGCTTTACACCGGGACAGGTTCTCGCGGGCGTATCGAAACCACATCTCATACTCGGATGGCGTAGCCACCGTGTATGTCACACCATGCTCCGCCATCAGCTTGGTAATAGATTGCGGATCGCCTCTCTTCTCAGCCGGGACGATGACGAGGCAACCACCATCGGCGAGGCCGGCAAAGATCTGGTCCAAAGAGACGTCGAAGCTGTAGATGGTCTGCTGCAGGACCACTTTTGCCAGGTTTGGTATGTCGCAGAACCGGGAGAAGCCCTCACTTTCTGCTCGCAAATTCTCATGGGTCAGAAGAATCCCCTTGGGCTTTCCAGTGGTGCCGCTTGTGAAGAGAATGACGGCAGTTGACCCTGGCTTTGCTCTGTTCGGGGGCGGAGTTGTCGCAGTAGAATTCGGTAGATCCGAGACCACGATTTCGACCGCATTACTGGCGCCGATAGTTTCCGTCTTGGCTGTAGTATTGCAGTCGGTCAGGAGGATAGTCGGCCGTGCGGCTTGCACGATGCTGAAGAGCCGGGCGACCGAGTTGCGGAGATCCAAAGGTATGTACGTCGCTCCAACTCTGAACGCGGCAAGCATGGAACAAATCCAGTCGGACGATGGATCCTGGAATACACCAATGGGCGAGCCGTCGGTTGCACCAGCAGCAGTGAGAGCCGCAGCGATGACGTTGATGCGGTCTCCCATTTGCTTGTATGTGAGATTATTGCCAAGTCCATCCTTCAATGCCGGTTCCGAGCCGTGTCGCTCAATCATCTGGTCAATCCGGTGAGAAATGGTAGCCGGCCACTCGAGTTTCATTTGTGGTCCTTGAATCGTCGTCAGCTTCGACCAGGTCACACTATTCAGAACGATCTCCGGAACATAAATTCTTACCTTTCCCAATTTGAAGGGCCGCTTCAATGTCGCTGGGAGCGTAAGCCGGTAACTCACTAGCATCAAGGTCAACGCCCTTAGCGAACGTCTCGAGTACGTTCACGTAGGATCTCATCAGCAGCTCTGTACCGGCCATGGTGTACATGTTGGCTGTCAGACGGATGGAGAGCCACGACTCCCCGGTAGGGTTATCCGTAATACCTAGCGTGAGGTCGTAGCCATTCCGCGCGTTCAACCACGATTCGTCGCTCAACTTGCACCCACCCCATACCGACCTGTCCTGGAAGACTTGACGATAGTCCACAAAGAGCTGGTAAATGGGCGCATGCGTGTTTGTGCGTGGAATCTTGAGTTCTTTGAGGATCACATTCCATGGGACATGGGAACGTTTGAGCGCCCCGTATGCCTTGTCGCGAGCGTCCTTTATGAGGTCACTAATCTTCGTCTTCTCACGTCTGGTAAAACGGACAGGCAGGAGGTTAAGGAAGAAGCCAAGACTTCCCATGAAGTTTTTGTCGATACGATTCGCATCTGCGACGCCAAGGAAGAAGTCGTCCGTTTCTGGAAGAAGCCGGAGGACAAGGCCTTGTAGAGCGGCGAGATAGAGGTGGAACATGGTTGCACGATGTTTCCGAGCAAGCTGCTTGAGTTTCGACACAAGAGGTGCCTGAAGTGTTGCCTTTGCTTCAAACTGGATAAACCGGTCAAGGACAGGTCTAGTCTGAGATTTTGCAAACGGGAAGGGAGGAACAGGCGGTGTGTTAGGATCAATGATTCCACGAAACTCTTCAATCGTCTTGTTCATAGCACCCATCTCGTATGTCTCCCTCTGCCACTTGGAAAAGGCACGATATTGGCATTCGGGACCCAGTGGCGGCATTGGCTTTCCAGTGTATGCTGCTTCGAGGTCGACAAATAAGACAGTGAAGCTGTAACCATCCCAAGAAATATGATGACCGCTCACAAGCAAGAAATGCATGTTATCCGAGACAGTGAGGAGATGAATTTTTGCAGCCTCCCAGGAACCGAGGTCCCATATGTAGTTGTGCATCTTCCTCAATTCTTCATATGCATCTGCCTCTGACCCAAGACGCTTGTGAATCAGACGGAGGGGCGATTCAGGAAGAATGCCCTGCATGGGAGCCCGCTGCTCCCCTGTACCTGACCAGAAGTATCGAGTCCTCAATGCTTCATGCCGCTGGCCAATGGTTTGGACAGCTCTCGCGAGTTGGGGAACATTTATCTTCCCGGTGAGTTTGAACATAACAGTCATGTTAAAACTCGTCTTGTCTTCGAGATAGTCATTTAAGAACCAGAACCGCGTTTGGCCATAAGACATGGCGCAAGATTCTTCTTGCTCAGCGAGATGGCTGAGATCTGGAATTTCTCCTTGAACCTTACTTGTGTCATTTACAGGCATCGGAGAATTCGTTATCAAGGGAATCTCCACCTTCTCACTGATTGGGAAGAGAGTCCTGGTTTCTGAGAGGGTCTTGCTCTTTAAGTTCTCAATGTCATTGATGGGGACGGCGTTAATGAACTCATCCATCTCAGTCATCGGTGTCTCAAGAGGGGTTCCAGGGCGAGAGGGGCTGCCCCCCGACGAGCTATGATTTTCAGAAGAACTCTCAGCAGAGCTCACTTGGACTTGAGGAAGACCCTGAGCAGGCGGAGGTGAAGGGGCTGGCTTCGGTGTCTGTTCGGCGGGCTTCGCGCCTTTCCCTGGGCCACCTGCTAGCGAATTCAGGTCTACGACTGAAGTTGGCACCCGTTCCAAAGCTTCGGTCAGAAGATCTGTGATAGAGGCCCCGCCAAGAATCTTAAGCACGGGAATGTCGACTTCCAACTCTTTCAAGAACCACGAGCGGACCTCTACAGCCATTAGGGAGTCGATGCCCTGTTCAACGAGAGACACCTTTTCATTGACTGTATCATCTTGCGAGATCATTAGCGTGCGCTTGAGTCGTGCAATAAAGGAGTCTATCGTAGCATTAGCTTTGAAAATTCGGGAATGTGCTCATTGACTTATGACTCACCTTTGATAATGCTGATCGCATCAGCCTTCGACTTCGTTTCAGCGAGCTGCACTCGCACAGGCAAAGCCGACAGTCTCCCGGCCACGTTTTGGGTGCCCGGACGTTCCATGACGAAGTGGTTGAACTTGATATCTTCGCGGAACTGTGCCTTGACGTGTGTATCGGCATATATGGGCTCCAGTCCAGTGGTGATCTCCGAACTTTCGGGGCAACCTGGGCGACCTACAAGTATGGCTTCGGCAAACAATTGTTGCAAGTCCTGCTCTGAGATGTTTCTGTACCCAAGCTTCGCAAAGTAGTCGCCAGTGAAGTCCTCAGATCGCTCCACATAGCCGATGCCCATCACGGAACTGATGGCGATGGCGGATCCGGCTACGCCGCGCTTCTTGCGCTGGGCGGCGAGGGCAGTCATGAACATGTTAGCAGCGATGTAGTTGCTCTGGCCGCTGTTGCCGACGACGCCAGTCAGGGAAGAGAAGACGATGAAAAAGTCCAACTGGATATCGTAGAAAAGCTCGTCCAAGAGCTGCGTACCAATGACCTTGGGATTGAGGACCTTTGTGAGGGCTTCAAAGGACATCCTGTCGAACAAAGAGTCTTCCAAAACCATGGCTCCTTGGGCTACGCCAGCGATTGGAGGCATTGTCTTAGAGATCTCCTCGTAACACTGGATCAAAGATTCTTTGCTTGTAACATCAAGAGGAAGGATTCTGACAGTGGCTCCCATGGCCTCAACTGACCGAATGAACTCGGGGTGGACTTTCGGCCGTCGGCTAGTAAGAACCACATACTTTGCGCCATGCTCCACCATCCATTGACATAGCGACTGCCCGACTTGTCCTGACATGCCGACCATAAAATAGGTCTTGTCGCCGCGGAAAATGGTTCCAGCATCAATCGCCTGAACGTGGATGGATACGTCGGTGTCAGAGCAGTCAGCAATTGTAAGGGGCGCCTCGAGAATTGAGAGTTTTGGGACATCCTGAAGCTGGACAACGGAGGGATTTCCCACTTCGCCCCAATTTTCATTTCCCACAAGCCATGCCGCCTTAAGAACTTGAGCGACTTGACTGGACGAGGATCCGGGATGGATTTCGGCCGTCGTGCCGTAAAAGTGTTTGGCGCTGTACGTGGTGCATGGTTGAGGAAGACACCTAGCGATAAGCTGACCAACCTCTGCCGAGCCAACAGCCTGAGATAAGTCTACAAACACCGAAAGGGTAGTGGGCAAGGCTTTCTCAATAAGTCTTCGCGGAAAGTTTCCGGAAATATAGCGCCAGCCCTTAGTGACTCGGTCTTTGAGGGAAGTAGTAATCACGACACGAATTGAGGTCTGCTGCGACTGCTCGGTCAGAGCGGAGCCAACCAACTCGTCCGGCTCGTGGACCACGACGGTGCTTCCGCTGGGCACCAACCTAAGAATGTTGGAAGCGGTTATGTGAGCAGCGACAGCCGCCAGCGCCTTGATTGGATCGGCACCTGCGAGGAGTGTGGTCCACTCAGCCAAAACCGTTGTTCGTGACTCCGCTGTATGCGACAGGCCAACCAATTGCTCGCCAGTAGACTCATCAGTGCCCGCACAGAGAAACAAGCTACCAACGGATGAGATCTTGAGCGTTTGCAGCAAGAAATGAGATACGCGAATAGCTTTCGTCAAACCGAGTTCAGGCGGTGAGATGGGGAGACGAAGAGGTGATGGGTATTGAAGCTCGTAAGACGAGCCCTCGCTGGCAAACAGAATCGGAGTCTCCTGGGAATTGACTTTCTTGGCCACTGCACGGCGAGAGGTATTGTACCGCTCGTTTGCTTGCTCGCACTGGTAGAGGCGCGGGATGATGCGAGCACCGGACTCGATGTATACCTCAGGCTCGATAGACCAGAGAAGCTCATCGCCGGGAGCTATTTCCTTCTCCCATTTCTTCAGAACCTCGAGACGCAGCAGCTCTTCCACGAGGAGCTGGGGTGTCCCGTCGTTCAGTTTGTCTAGGTCGAGAACCTGCAAAGAAATATTAGGGTACTCGAATTTCACGACACGCCCAAGACCATGTGTCATGAACGAGTGTGGCTCCTCTGCCCTCGCCCCCCGGGTGACCCATAAGACTGTGCCCGCGTCACGCCAGAGCATCTTGAGAGCTTCGAGCTTTCCGGGCGTTATTGTCTTAAAAAGAGGTTCATCAAGCTCCGTAATCGAAATGACAGTGCTTCCATGCAGGAGCGTTTCCGAGTCCAGGCTCTCGAAGGATTCGACGCATTCGATATAATTGAATCTTGGGGCAAGCAGGATTTCGAGTTTCTCTGCGATGCGGTGAGCTGCGAGCGTCTCACCACCAACAATGACAAGACGCGGGGCATCAGTTGGAGGGAGAGCGGCCACGGACGACAATGGAGCCCGAAGAAGATTGAGCCGGTCGTCAACTGCCTGCGCAGCGAAGACAGAGGAAGGGTGAAGTTTATGGAACAAGGGCGTGCTTGTTTCAATACCGCCGAAACCACACTTTCGCAGCAGGGAATCCCATTGTGGCAGACTCAAAGTTGGTCCCCAACGTCGCCCACTTTCAGCCCCGACCCACCATCCGGGTAAGCTTCCCATCGGCAGACCAACGCGAAGAGTGTCGTTGCTCGTGAGTTCCAAGGCGATGAGGTAGCCACCAGGCTTTAAGAGCTGGCGGACGCTCGTCATCATTTCCTCCAGCTTGCCCGTCGCGTGCAAGACATTGGAGGCCAGGACAAGATCGTAAGATCCCTCAACAAACCCTTGAGATGCCGGAGACCGCTCCATGTCGAATGACTTGAACACCATGCGGCCGGCATAGTCTCTGAAACGATCTTCAGCAGCCTCAAAAAATCCGCTGGAAATATCCGTATAAGTGTAGGTAGAAAACGCGGAGCCAAGAGTAGGGAGGAGGTGCCTGGTGGATCCGCCTGTTCCGGCACCTATCTCGAACACTTTCATATGTGGGTAGCGGTGAGAAACTTGAGCCGCCATGCGCGCAAAATGGCGATTAGCAATATCGAGACCCATGCCCTCATCGTAAAAGTCAAATAGACCATCTTGAGTCATATGTTCTAGAATGCTAGAACCTGTACGCACGACCTCTGGGAGGTTTTTCCCAACAGACTCTAGCATACGAACATCAACCCGGTCACGATATTTCTCCAGGATGGCGTCGATCTGCTCTTTTGTATCCGCCTGGTAACTGGAAGGAACATAGGGGTTCTTTCCGCGCCTCACAAGGTCGACGGAATGAGTCGCCCAATCAAGCAATCGCTGGTAATGTGGCAAAGCATCAGCCTTCTCCTCTGGGGTGATCGTCTCGACCAAGCGGCGCAAATAGAAGAACGAGACTCGTTCTGCCTTAATGGCATTCTCGACATCTTCTGCGGAGAGTCCGTCATCGACAGGCGCGGCGAGATCACCATTGGGTCGATCAATCTTGTAGTCGAATCGTGAGAATTGGACAGTGTCGTCCTCGGGTCGGGCCGCCGTGAAAGGCATCAGCTCTAGACCCTCCACCTGGATGAAATTGTTGGCATTGTCTTCAGAGAAAATGGTAATATCGACGATGCTGCGAGCATTTTTGAAGCTCCTGACGACAGCTTCCCAGGGATGTGTCCCCTGCTTGCCGATGCCATGAGACGTGAAAAATGGGTTAATGGTGATGCGCTGGATTCCAGCCGGGATATACAAGCCCCACATCCGTCCATCTCCAGGGCAACTGAAAGCTGCCGAAGAGGCCTGAAGTGCAGTGTCCAGCATTCCTGGGTGAATCAGGAGTTGGTCTTCCCAGTCTGATCCTGATTCATCCTCGATCGTACCCGTGGCGTAGCCATTCTTGCGTTTGATTGAGCGCATGCCATGGAACGGCGGGGTGTATTCGTACTCGAGCCTAGTGAACTGGTCGTAGAAGCGATCAACCTCTATTTCGGTCATATTCCAGTCTTCCGTCTCGAGAAACGGGAGTTGATCAGCCTTTGGCTCTGCCAACAGCACATTAACTACACCCTCAGCGTTCAGGCCCATGGACGTTCCAGGTTCATGGGGAGCACCGGAATAGCAGGAGAAATTGGCCTGGATACTGTCCTTCCCGGAGTGAACCACCTTGACGCTGAACAGAGATTCGACACTAGAATTTTCATCGTCAAAAGCAATGGCCCGACCGATGAAGAGGTTTTCAATGGTGACCAGGGCAATGCTCGACTTTATAGCAATGGATTTCATGGCTTCGACGACCATGGCTACAAAGCCTGCAGCAGGGAAAACAATCTGCCCCTGAATTTTGTGGCCTTTGAGCCATGATATCTCCTTTGGGCGCAAGATATTACGCCATTGAATCTCATGTGACGTTTCTCGTTCAGCCTGACGCCTACCCAGAATGGGATGCGGTGGCTCATAAACAGTAGTCGTATGAGCACCAGAGACGCGGGACATGGTCCAGAATGACTTGGAGTGATCAAATGGATATTTGGGGAGATCTGGTATCAGCTGGCGCCCGGAGAGAGCCCCGGAGACAGCTCTCTCGAATTCCTCAAAGGTGACCGACCCCGCTCCCAGATACGACCACACGAAACCAAGCACCGTCGATAGCTCAATGATGTCGTCTTTCCCTCTAGAGAGTACTCCGGAATACGGAATGCGGTCTCCAGTCAACTCTTCCAAGGTGTCCAAGCATGGCCCCTTGAGCGCAGGATGGGGTCCAATTTCCAAGGCCAAGTCGAATGGCCCACTTTGAGTAGTAGCAGCTGTCACAGCCGGCGCAAAGAGCACCGTATTCGTCATATTGTCTACAAAATACTGCGCATCTAGGTTGCTTTTCGACATGACCTGTCCCTCCAAAACACTTGAATGCCATCTCGGCCTATCAGAAGTGTTGGTTACAGGTCCATCGTCCATGGCTTCCATAGAAGCGAGATAGGGTGCCGAACAGGGCAGCATGTGTGCCGAATGGTAAGCAGTGTCCACCTTGAGCTGACGAGCAAATTTACCCTCGTCCTTGAAAATTTCAATGGCTTCGGCCACGGCGGCTTCGTCCCCAGAAAGCGTGATGCTGGACGAAGAATTGCGCGCCGCGACCTGAAGTCTTCCCTCGAAGCTTTCCAGTTGGCAAAAGTCAGCTGCGTCCTCGAATGATGTGCCCACAGCCATCATGGCACCCTTGGAGCCGTTAGGTGACTTTGCAAGCTTGGCATAAAGGCCGCGGTAGTAAGCAATCCGTATGGCTCTGCTCGCCGAGAGCAATCCAGCAGCGTACGCTGCTCCAATCTCACCTAGACGACAACGATTCATTAGCATGCTCCCCAATAATGAACGAATGTGATAAAGATCTGGATTCCATACCGGAAGAATGACCAACAACAGCGTGGAGTCGAATACCCGCCAACTGGAGCAGATCTACGAGCAGGATCTGTACGGCTGTACAGAGCGGCTGTGACAGGGCCGCCTCGGTAATCCTGGACTTCGCTGTACCCGCGAGTAGTTGCCCCCGCAGGGTCCAGTCTGGCCGATCACTGTCTGGCAACGAGACCAGAGCCGTGTCCAGCTCATCCAGCCGCTTCGACACTAGCGGCGATGCCTCAACTAGCTTTGCGCCCATGCGTGGCCATTGCGCACCCTGTCCCGTGAATACGCCCAGGATGCGCGGCGACGACATGCCAAAATGTTTGGTAGTGAGCTCGGGAGCGTCGACGCTACCGAGGAGAGCCTCAATCTTTTGCAATGCTTCCTCCCTCGTAGATGCGGCAATGGCGGCGCGGTAGGCCAGGGTGGAGCGCCTCTCCTGTACGGTGTAGGCAAAATCCCGCAGGCTAGTTTGGGGATTAGCTTTCACGTAGTCAGAGTAAGACGACAGCAGAGCACGAAGGGATTTCTCGCTGGCGGCGGAGATGGTCAAGGGGGTGAATGTTGGGCCAGCCGAAGGCGCCGCCGTGGATGGTTCGTAGGCCTCGATGATGGCGTGCGCATTCGTGCCGCCGAATCCTGTATCACCAAGGTCAGCATGAATTTAAACAGGAGAACAACCAATGCGAATAGGTTTACCCACCAAAGCTGTTGATACTCGCCCTTCGCGGTTGGCCTGGAAGAAGCTTGGGCCAAGGTTTTGCTGAGGTAGGGACTTCCAAACCCCTGTAAAATGGCTCGATCCTAGGGTTAAGGTTGTTGAAGTGCATGTTTGGCGGGATGACATTATGTTGAAGAGCCAGTGACGAGCCCAAGAGACTAGCCAGTCCCGCGGTGCCTTCCGTATGTCCAATAATGGTCTTGATGGAGCCCACGTACAATTTATCAGTGTCCGAGGCTCCATTGGGGTAGAAAGCTCGAGATATGGCCTCTGCTTCTTGCGGGTCACCAGCTGGTGTTCCAGTGCCATGGGCATGAAAGAACTGCGGACGATCTTCGGGATTGTCAAGATCGAGACCTGCTCGAGCATAAGTTTCGCGGATGAGCGCAGCTTGTGCTGCCGCGCTGGGCATGGTCAATCCCGGCGTCTTTCCATCCTGGTTCACTCCTGTAGCGCGGATAATGCATTCAATGTGATCGCCGTCTTTGAGGGCGGCGGTAAGGGGTTTCAGCACGACGGCGGCAATACCCTCTCCCCGAGCGTACCCGTCAACGTCTCTATCCCACATCCTGCTTCTCCCAGTGGGGGACAGCATGTGCAGGTTGCTTTCGGCAATATACATGGCTGTGGCAATAACAAGGTTAGATGATTCTCTGAGCGTCAGTGCAGAATTGGGCCTCCGAAACTCACCAGGGCTGAGAAGAAGATTAGCTCCCGCAGCGACGGCCACTTTAGACTCTCCATTGCGCAAGGCTTGGATAGCCAGATGGACAGCAACTAAGCTTGATGAACAAGCCGTGTCGAGGGTAATGGATGGACCATGCCAATCGAAAAAATAAGAAACACGGTTGGACATGATGCTACGACCCATGCCAGTCGCACTATACTGTGGAAGGTTTTCCCAATCCTTGTAAAGCACACCACTCCAGTCATCACCCATGAGGCCAACAATGACTGCGGTTGAGGATCCACGCAATCCATCAATGGTCTGGCCAGCCGCACAGAGAGAGTCATAGACGGTCTCCATTAGCATCCTCTGCTGGGGATCAATAGCCTCGCTCTCGGCCGGCTGAATGTTGAAGAAGCCATTGTCGAATTCTGCCGGATCTTCATCGAGAAAATATGAAGCCTTGACGTTGGTGGTTCCATGGTGCTCGGGGTCGCTATTGTAAAAGGCCATGGGGTCAAAGCGACGGCCCGCTTCGACCTTTCGAAGAAGATCCCGAGGCTCGCGAAGAAGCTCCCATAGCTTTGACGGCGTGTCCGAGCTTCCTGGAAAGCGGCAAGCGCTTCCAACAATAGCAATGGGCTCAAGAGACGACATGATGACGATGTTTCGGTTGAAGCGAAAAAAAAAAAAAAAAAAAGGATCGGGTGGGTGGATCTGGTGTTGAACAGAAAGGTGAAGTCTGGATGGTAGTTACAATTGTATGTCACATAGGAATTGATTCACAGAAAGAAGAGGAAACAGCAGAGGTGAATATGTTAAAAGATGCAATGAGCTATGGGCTATATTTGTGGAAACGCTGAGCTCCTACGCCACTCAAGGAAATCAGCAATGTTGGTCCACAAGCACGTTAGAGAGCCAAGGAAAGTTACAACGAAGGAGATGAGTCGGTATGAAGCCCAGTGCGACGAGCTAAGATGTTGATTGCAGGGCGATCGATCCATCGAGACCCCACGACCGAAAAATACCGAAATACTGCGATGGTACCTGCCTCAGTGCGGAGTGCATCTGATTCGAGAAGCACAGGTTGGTCAGCAAATAGATATGTAATCGGGAGGAAAATGGGAATTCGTACATCCTTTAATAAACAACAATTTAATGATGATAGATAGTAACACGGCGAGAGCTGGGAACAGTTTGCATGTATTTGAGATATATAGATATATTGGAGTAATTTTGAATCAATTATGAGAGGTTCATCTGTTGCAAGCTGTTCTGCCTCGGCCACGGCTCGACATCATTGTTCAAGTTTGGTGCAAAACTTTGTCCAAGAAGCCCTTCGTTTGTTGGCTGTGATCCGAAGCTGGGGAAATCATAGCCCAGCATCAAATCTGCAAATCCTATTCGGTGTAAGAAAACATTTCCCCTCGACAGGACGAGCGCGAAACTTACCTGGGAAGAATGGGCCAGCTGCAGGCCCGGGGGAAACACCCGGTAGGGCGTTCACAGCGAAGGGGTCTGATGCGACGCCGGAATCACCGAGAACATAACGCAGAGCGGCGGCTGCTTTTCTGGCTTCTCTAGACGTAGTGCTCTCGCCGAGCCAGATGACCTGGGATGCTCTCAAGAGCTGTCTAATCTTTTCAATGTCCACCGAGGCCGCTTCGGCGTCTCCCAAGCTGTCATGTCCTTTGGCCTGCTCCTCAGCGTGGACCTGGAGGTAAAAGCATAAGGTACTGGTGGCGAGAAGAAAGGGGTGAATAAACGACGAAGTTACCCTCCAGCGGCTTTGGTACAATCGTCCATCTAGCTGAGTTTCCTCGTCCACAAGGTGTTGAAGCTCCAAAATTTTCATAGCAGCCGTCAGACATGCAGAGCGCGAGTAAGCATACTGCTGCTGGAGACGAGACGCCACCAAAAACCTTTTATGCAAGACAATCTTCAGCCGCTGGACGCTCACTTCCAGCCAGATTCTCTGAATGATTACCTGGGACGGTACATTGAGCGAGGAAGCAAGATTCTCCCACTTCATGCTAGATGGTAGGGCTTCCCGGGCCTCGTCAATCTGCTTATCAAGCGTTAAAACATGGGCATAAGAGTATGCCCGAGGCTCAGTGGCCAGGTCGCCAACCTTGACCCCGACGGAAAGCAGTCTGAGTTTTGCTAGCGTGTAGAGGGTTGGCGTCACCTCAGTCTCGGGCCGGGAAGGGGGCAACTCGACCGTTGACTCGTCAAAGTCCGAATCGGCTAGGTTCCGCGGCTCGGCCACATCGGTCTGGCTCTCCCTGACGAGCCTGGGCAGCCCCATCTGCGTCGAGATGGTAAAGTCCAGCTGAACGATCAACGCCCAGATACGCCTTCGCATCTCGCCCGCAAACGGAGAGATATTGGGAAAATGCTTGGCGTCTCGATGATACCCCATATGTATGGCAATTTGAACTATATTGCCCACCAGGAGGCGGGTACCAGATTCGGTATCTTTAGAGGGAAAGACCTCAACCATGAAATAGAGAATCAAAGTTTCCAATACGTAAGGGCCGCCATTGGTGTAATGGCCCAAGATAAGACAATGTATAATCTTCTCTCGGAACATATCTACCGCCGTCTGACTCTCAAGTGCCTGCGATGCGAGTGGAGAGTGCCCGCTCACAAGCAAAGTATTGGCAGGGGCAAGGAAAGATTGCTGAAATTGTGTCGATAAGCACATCATACTGAACAGAAGGCCGACCCATGTGATTGGGACGGCCTGCGGACACTTCCAAAATTCCTCATACTGATGGTCTCAAGTCAATATCCATTGAGCAGATTCGGTTCAGGAATGGAGTAATGCAAAGACATTGGAGGCACGGTAGGGGGCCACACATGAATCGTACCTCTCGTAGAAACTTGCCACTGTGCGGCACACCTGGTCTCGGGTCAGTCACTAGGAAAACAACGGAGTTTTTCGGGGTGTGATCAAGGTTCGAAACACCGAGTGTCTTACCTGAAGTCATGTCCAAGACGTTGAAGTAACGAGAGACCAACCTATCCACAACAGGTCTGGGTGGAATAGACTCAAGGATTGAAGCTGGGGTTACATGCGTGGGGCAGCCGCTATAGAGGAGCTGGGGACTGGGAAAGTTGGCTTGCAGTTGGATGGGGTTAGAGTTTACAGCATGGGATTCGTCCTCCTCCTCGAAGTGATCCCTCAATTCGGCGATACTGTCGAGGACGGCTGCCCAGTGGGCGCTGCTAACATAGCTGACGCCCGATTCCCGAATCCTGATGCTGCCATAGTCGGATGGTGACGGCGATACTTCGCGCTGAATCTGATCCGTCCTAGCTGCCGCGGGATGCTCAGAATAGTTGCTAGGTGCACTTGGGGAGGTGGCCTGGCGGGGATCTTTTACTGGCGGCATCGGCGGGAGATCTACCGGGTGATTCGATTCCGACGGTGATCCATAGGAGCTCGAAGCCGTCTGTTGCATGAGACTCAAGACTAGGTTTTCGAGCTGATTGATGCGGTCCTGTACATGGGCGGTACCATGAGGCCGTCCAGACAGCGTTGCCTGGGTGGTGGTATAAGCACAGGAAGCGCCCAGTCCCCGACTTGAGCAGTTACTGCAGGGATGCAGACGGTCGCACCGTACCCTGGCGGCCTAGATTAGCCCTGCAGGAAATAGGTCAACCGTTCAATACAGGTGCAGAGAGGGGCTGCCATTGGGAGGGCGACGGGGGCTCTTCCAAAAAACGAGACCACCTACTTCCGTCTCCGACAAGCATTGCAACTGAGCTGAGGCTTGTCTCGACGCCTGACGGGCGGCGGACGTGCTCGCTCTTTCGGGGATTTCGGATTTGGGGCTGTTGCGTCTTGGGCCGGAACATGTGTGCTATAGGTGTTGTTGTTCGCGTCTGACATGGCCAGTGTTGACGATGGTGGTATGTGATGGAAATGATAAGATAACACGGCTGCTAAGGGTCAGATCTGGCGTTGCGGGCACTCGGAGATATTCCAGCCAAGGGCGGTTATGTAGGGACCGAGTGGCCTAATATCCACCCACCATGCCTGTCAGGGGCACTTCCATTGTGCATGCGTTTCCTTCGGATGTCCGCGGATGGTCAGTCTTTACGTCCGCCACCTCCGAGTCTACTGGCACCTACCGTATTTGGCCTCAGCACCAAACAAAGGATTGCCCTCATTGCTCCCGACGCTTGATCCCTGGATGGTCTAACCAGAAACGATTTAGCAATCTGGGGTTCAGCCCCAGTCCACCTGCGCCGGGAAACGCTCTACTATGACCACCAGCTTCATAACGACTTGCTGATTGAAGAAGACGCTTTCTCCTAGTTATTCTTCAGTGCGGTATAGAGCAGGATTGCAGGATGTAATTGTCTCTCATAACGAGCCGACCCTCCCGAAGCTCATCCGCCCGCCGCCTAATCTGTTTTCATTTGACGGATGGACCAAATTCGGTCTGGCTGCCCCTATACCAGACTTGTAAAAGTATCTCCGCGTAGCAGCGATCAACTCCCGTCAAAGCAGCAGTTGCGCCACAGCCTTAGAGGTAGCATTTCGGGAAACGATCAATGATGATTTTGTTTCCGCAAACTAGCATCGCAACAAATACATTCCTTTTGTGCAGACTTCTTGCACCCGTGTGGTTGAATTCAGTGATTACCCGATGCACCCCAGAGGCAGCATCGGCGTCGGAGGGTCGTCCGGGGAATAGCCTTCTGAGGTTCGGCCAGTGAATATTTGCTCCGTCTTCGGCCAGGCCAGTCGCCGTACCCATAATGCGCGAGAAATCATATATGATGTTGATTTGAAAGGATTTGTCCTTTCACCTGTACTCTTATACTCAACTGAAGTCTACCTTGAATTCCCGTTGACTTCTATCTCCTCTTGGCAAGAAGTTGAGACCGTTCCATCGTTCTGCCAAAACCTCACTGGTGTCGGTGCCTACCTCCTATCCACATAGTCTTTGTCCTGAGTTCCCGGTTTTTCTCCAGCATTCAAGCTCTTCTTCTATTTAGTCTGCTTGAGCGCACAGCTAGCACTTGGGGTCACTATTTTTACTTCATTCACGACAGTCACTGTGCAAGTCGTCCTTCGGTTTTCAGCCTGGTGCCAGGCAGCTTAGTTTTGCAAATCGACCCGGGTTGCCTTGGACAATGTCCTTTCCGACTGAGCAGGGGCTTAAAGCTGGGCCCGTTTTGACTGACAATATCCGCGATGACTTGGAAGCTCGGGATACGACCGAGATAGGTGTCGGGGAGGGAGATGAAGTCAGTCAAACTGTGCCGGAAGCTAAGGATCCTGACGTTGTCGATTGGGATGGTCCTGATGATCCGGCGAACCCTCGAAATTGGAAAAGGGGGACCAAATTGATGCATGTCCTTCTCGTCAGCGCCTTCACTCTGTACTCGTAAGTGTCCTTACAACGCGGTCAGCTGTGAAAGAGACTTTTTAACGAAGCGGACAGGAACCTGGCCGCAGTCATGTTTGCTCCTGGTGCTCTGGCTCTGGTCCACGACTTTGGTATCACTAACACCATCGTCGCTTCTTTGACTGTCACCATCTACATCCTCGGATTTGCCATCGGGCCTCTTGTCCTTGCCTCCCTGTCGGAGACCTACGGGAGACTGATGGTCTATCACATGTGCAATGTCGTGTACATCGGTTTTACTATCGGTTGTGCATTGAGCACCGATACTGCCATGTTTCTGGTATTCCGTTTCATTTGTGGGTGTGCCGCTTCCTCGCCAATGTCTATTGGAGGGGGAACGATTGCGGACCTTCATGTTGAGGCTGAGCGTGGAAAGGCGATGGCATTATTTGGCCTTGGTCCCCTTCTTGGTCCGGTGAGTTTCTATTTGCTCTGATCTGAATCATGAACCAGTTTCTGATAATAAGGCAGGTTATCGGTCCCGTGATTGGCGGATTCGTCACGCAGGATCTCAGCTGGCGCTGGACGTTTTGGTTGATTCTCATTCTGGTAAGCGCCCTTTCTCCTATCGGCCCATTTGAATCCATCTAATGGATGTCTCACCAGTCGAGTGTCGTCTCTCTGATTGCTCTTGCCGTTATGCGGGAGACTTATGAGCCCATTCTCCTCGAGCGCAAGGCTGCCCGGTTGCGAAAGGCCACGGGCAACGACAGACTTCAAGCTCGGACGTATAACAAAGACCTCACTCCGCAACAGCTTCTCGCACGCGCCGTCGTAAGGCCAACCAAGATGCTCATCTTCTCGCCGATTGTTCTCTTACTCTCAATCTACTGTGCCTTTATGTTCGGCCTTACCTACCTCTTATTCACTACCTTCCCCGCCGTTTTTGAGGAGACTTACGGTTGGGGCCCTGGCATCGCAGGACTGGCATACCTCGGACTCGGGCTGGGTATGATCTTCAGCATCGCCCTGTTTGGCCTACTGAGCGACAAGCTTCTGAACCAACCCAGAGGGGGTACTGTTGAACGGCCTGAGCTTCGCCTTCTCCTCATGATGTGGTTGTCTCCCATGGTCCCTGTCGGGTTCTTTTGGTACGGATGGAGTGCACACTACCACACTCACTGGATCGTTCCAATCCTGGGCACCTTTTTCATAGGCCTGAGCTCTTTTCTTATTCTGATGCCGGCTCAGATCTACCTCGTGGACGCATTTGGCTCCAAGGCAGCGGCTTCTGCTCTGGCTGGGAACGTAGTCTTGCGCAGCCTGTTTGGGGCATTTTTGCCTCTTGCGGGGCCTCGAATGTATTCAACTCTGGGACTCGGCTGGGGAAACAGTTTGCTGGCTTTCATTGCCCTGGCGTTTGTGCCAGTTCCATTGTTTTTCTATAAGTACGGCGAGCGCTTGAGAAATCGATTTCCAGTGGACTACTGAGTCGAGATAGGATTTATTCGTGTTTTGGCATTCGCATATTAATAGAGGGTCTAGACCCAGTTTTAAGGAAATTACCTCATATATCTACGTGTGTATAGTTTATTTTTAATGCTTTATATTGTTTTGTTACGCCTTGTAAATAAATCATAGCTACTCCCCTCTGGTCTGTCTGATATACGAAACCTCAAAGGTTGCTCTTCTTCCACTTATGAATCAAGATATATCCGGATACTACACCCATAATTTAGCTCTGCAGATTGTGCTGATCTTATGTCCCAAAAGCGAGCTGGTTCACCACTTGATCTTCCATCCATATGCGTTTCTTGCTGACAGCTCAAGTATATTTACCAAGGTAATTTCTGGCCAATGACCAGGCTAACAAGGGGTTCAAAGCTACCTCCTGAAGTTCATATCTTTTGGCGTGAACACATGCACTCTGTATCGCTAGCAGAAAATAAGAAGCCTCTAAGCACCGAAAAGCTCCGAATTACTACGAAGCACCCTCTCAGGTATTGGAACGAATATCTGCAGCAGTCAAGATTTTGGCGCCTGTTTGCTGAATTCTGACATATAAGAGCAGAAAAAAAGTTCGAAATCTTCTTCACGCACTTCTATTTGCTATACTTTACTACCAAAGATCATCATATCAAGCAATTTTCAGCTTAACAACTGGGACATCCAACCAGTCCTTAATCCCCCAATCACTAGTCCAGATAATATTACCGGAGTACGCAAGCACTACGATCCCTTTCCCATGGCGAAAACATTCGTGTCCTCCCTCAATGCCGCAGACGGCAGCGAGTCCATCGTCCCGGGCGCCTCTCCTGTGCCCGTTGACCCATTCCTGCCGAACTCTGCCAATCTCTTTCCCAAACTCGTCGAACGCATCAACGACGCGGCATGGGAACTATGGCAGTTCGACGGGCTTTCGTCGGATGGCGAAACGGCAGTGACCATCTCGTTTTACCGCGACACGCGCGGGCTCCAGGACGGCGGGTTCCACGCGGAACTCAACGCCCTGTGGCCTGACGGCAGCAAGTGGGGCGAGAAACTCTACTTTACAGAGTCGGTCATCACGGCCGAGGGCGAGGCTGCGCACAATGGGTCACTCCGCGGGGTCTGGCAGTCGCAGTCTCAGTCACAGTCACAGTCACATTCCCAGAGCCCGGGAGAAGGAGGCAGCACACGTTCAAAGACAAACAGTGTGTCCTTTGACATCGCGGCGGATCTGGCCACGGCTAGAGTGACCTTCTCTGTGCCTGATCGCGTAGAGGGCACGTTGGAGCTCCGCGCACTGAGTCGTGCGCCCTTGGGATCTCGCCTGGCAGCGACAGAGGAGGCGGCTAAGCTGGGCCCGTCTGTGTATTACCTATTTCCTCTGGGCCCGGCCGCAGTCGCTGCAGACTTGGTGTTTAGTCTTGCGGACGAAACCGAGGATGAGGCCGCTGCTGCAGCTACTTCCCTTGAGACGAACGGTGCCGTCAATGGAGATCACAAAAAGGACAAAAAGAAGACGCTCATTTTGCGCCCCGAGGACGGCGCTCGCGGTGGGTTCGTCCGCGGCTGGTCCGCCCTCGCGTGGCCCCAGATCATGACAGATGCATACTACGTGTGCGGCACGGCGGGGCCGTACATGCTGCAGGTGATTCGCATTGAGTCGTCCGCTGCGGACGGCAGGAAACCGCACGTCGTCGCTAGGCTCTATCGCGATGGGGAGCTAGTATGTGCTGCGAATCAGCTTGGCGAGCGCCACGCGCAGTCACAGACAGAGAATGGCGGGCATGGCCACAATCGTGATGAGGATGTGGTGGTGGTGGACAAGCTGCTGGATGGAGGGGAGGAGGGGTGGTTAGCGGGAGCGTTCCGCGACAGAAACACGGGCTACGCGATCGAGTTTATCCAGGGTACAAAGCGGGAAGGGCATCAGCAGCAGCAGCAGAGAAAGCGATGGCGGTTCCAAGCCCGCCATAGGCGCCCCTGGTGGAGTGATTATACAAGTGACAAGGGCACGGGCAAGTCGGGGTTCCTGGAGACTATCCTCGGAGGGTCGGACGAAGAGGCATCGTTCAAGGGTTCGGCGGGCGCGGGCCAGCTGCAACTGCCCTAGGCCTTAGTTAGAGTAGTTACATCCGGACTCCCGTACTGGAGTACGTTAACCAGTTACAGTTAAGCGATTTTAGGTGGAGGTTGGTGTAGTTCGTGGCACAGACTTTATGAGGCAGTTTATTCGTTTCTTAATTATTCATTTCTCGATTATTCGTTTCCTGATCAACAAAATAACAACTTCATTTGGTAGCAGATTGCATAGACACAGTTTCTTCTTTCGGGTAGACTTTGATATTCTTGAGCAAGTCCCTTTTCAGGAGCAAGACTGCAGGATGAGGAAGTTCCAGAGACGTCACTACACAGAAAATAATATTCTAATAAGTACGGCACTTCAGGGTCTTTACTGCTCTCCGGTGTTATTCGGACATTTTCGGGTGGTCACTGCAATGCATTCCTGAGATAGCTGGTTCTATGCACTCATAGTAGAAGCCTGGGGCTTACCTTCCGGAGGGCCAAGGACATGGTACGGCTTATTGAAGGCATTATAAGTATGCGCTGCTGAGAGTATTCAGTTCCTCAGGCATAACTCAGCCTTCATTGATGCTGGAGCATACGCCACGACTTCATCGATTTTCTTTTCTCTTTAAATTTGCAAAGATCCAATTCTGAGCGAAAGCGCCTCTAGAAGCGTAAAGACCACTGTGCTCATTCGTATTTGGTCGAGCCTGAAAGTCGCATCGAGCATTCCCTGCAACACGGAATCTCCTGACCATTCATTCCACAAGATGGGCGTTCGGAATGGTGTGCATCGCACCCAAACTGCCGTCGTGGGCAACGATAAGGGCGGCTTAGAGGTGTCGCACGAAGCACCGGTGCCAGAGGTCAAGGAAGACTTGGTTCTGGTGCGGACTCGGGCTGTCTCTGTCAACCCAGTCGACGCAAAAATGATGGGGCCATATGTGACAGCGGGTGCCATTTCAGGCTGCGACTTCTCCGGCGTTGTCGAAGAGGTTGGGCCCGACGCCGCCCAGCACGGCATCAAGATTGGTGACCGAGTCTGTGCCGCCATTATGGGTCAGAATTCCATCGAACCATCCCTGGGAGCTTTTGCAGAGCACGTTGGTGCTCGCGCTGAGGGCCTGATCAAGTTGCCTGAGACAGTGAGCTTTGAGAAGGGTTCTGCTTTTGGCACCAGCTTCATGACGGCCGGGCTGGCCCTCTTCAAGAGCCTCAATCTCCCGGGCTACCCACTCGAGCCGGGCGCCAAGTCCCTTCCAGTGCTCGTCTATGGCGGCTCAACCGCCACAGGGACCGCCGCCATTCAACTCCTCCGGCTAGCGGGCTTCTCGCCCGTAGTGACATGCTCCCCGCACAATTTTGAGCTGGTCAAGTCCTACGGCGCCGAGGCCGTCTTCGACTACCGTGCCACCGACTGCGCCAGCGCAATCCGGTCACACACGCGTAACAGCCTGAAATACGCGCTGGACTGTATCTCGACGGCCGAGAGCATGCAAATCTGCTACGCGGCGCTCGGACGAGCTGGCGGGAGATACACGGCGCTTGACCCTTACCCCGAGACGGTGGCCGGGACGCGCAAGATTGTTAAGGCAGATTGGGTCCTCGGCCCTATCATGCTTGGGAGAGACATTGGATGGCCAGCGCCGCATGGTCGCCCGGCGGATCAGGATATGTACGCGTTTGGCGTTAAATGGAGGAAAACGGTACAAGAGTTGCTTGACCAGGGGCTCATCCGCGAGCATCCTCTGTTCGTGCAATCTGGCGGGTTGGCAGGGGTTCTCCAAGGGATGGAAGCGATCAGAGCGAAGAAGATTTCTGGAAAGAAGTTGGTTTACAAAATGTCGGAGTGAGTCGGTATACCAATATGGAGACTTTTGAGCTGGAAGTCCGAAGGTATTGCTATAGTGCAAAACGATATTAGCTTGTTTCGAGTTTTCCAATGGAAAAAAAACAATAAAATGAGCCATGTCTCGTATCAGAATCCAGGGAGCTATCCAACATGTTGCGGCTTCTCTCATTTCATATCTACACGCAACCATGGTCATTTGTTACAAGCACGGGGCATTCCCCAATCTCCTGGTGAAAATTTAACCCCGCCTACTTGGCATTACGAAGCCAGGACCTCCAAACCAATGCGTGATCGAGACAAACAAAGAAGCACTGGTCAAGTACCAGCTTACGCCCTCACTTGGAAGGATGGAAAAGAAGTAGCGGCAGTGGGGCGTGTGCTAGAGCATCAAAGCTCACCATGTCAAGCATATGCCACCGTGTGCTTTTTGTGATTCGTAGAGATGTTGGAAGGACACATCCAGGGCTAGCCCACTTTCCGAAATGCACGTAGTGTCTGACGCTTGCATACCACCGAAAGATGCACTTGTGTGCTGGCCCGAAAAGCACCGAATGGAATTATCTGATCCCAGTCATTAGGAGAGAACTCGGCAACATACCCCCGAGAGGGCCACCGAACCTGCGGCTGCTCGGACATGCCATTATTGAACACGTATCCCCCGATTTGGCTAGAACCATGCCAACACGCGGACGGTCGATAGGGGACCACAAGAGATTTCACCTTCGGCGAAGCTCGGTGATGAGATAACGAAAAGTAGAGAGTAAAGAAAGCAAGAAACAAGAACGTATATATAAAGGCATGATTTCTCAAAATCTTTTTGTGTTAAGACCAGATCACGCTTCATAATCCCAAAAGTCCGCATATCTTTTGAATGTTGTATTAGACTGGGAATAATCTTTTTTTTTTTTTTTTGATACAAAAAAATGGCAGCCCAAGGTGCAGGTCGTCCAAATATGCGCCAGGCGCTGGAGTCAGCGGGTGCGCACTTCCTGAACCTGGTCGAGATTGGGATCGTCAAGACCTTCATCGACTACAAAGTCTTCGACCAGATTGTGGACGAGGGCGACATCGCCATTTCGGAGGTGGCAGTAAAGGTCGGCGGCGAGGAGGCCCTGCTGGAGCGCTTCTCAAACTACTTGATTGCCGCCGGAATCCTCGCGTCAACGGCGCCAGGCCGCATCGCGCATACAGAGCGCTCCCGCGCCTATCGGACCGGCGAAATCGCCGCCGGTTTTATCGTGCATGTATACAACTTGTTTCTACGCCCCATGGCCCGTTGGACCGAGTATTTTGAAACGAATGGCTTGGCTGAGCCCAAGGACGCCCATAAGATCCCGCTGGGCCTGGCCACAGGCCATCCAGACTCGGATATGTACGGCGTTCTCGATGCGGAACCGAAGCTGGCCGTGCTATTCAATCGAGCCCAGGCCGGCTCAGCCAGCATCTACTCTCTGAAAGGGGTGTACGATTTCGGCTGGTTGCAGAAGGCCCCTACACAACCCGGAGAGCGCCCCGCCATCGTGGACATTGGCGGTGGCAGTGGCCTAGCTCTGCGAGACATTCTCGTTGACAATCCCTTCGTCCCCCCTGAGCAATGCGCCGTCTTAGATCTTCCCAAGACGATCGAGCAGACCAAAAGCCAGCTAAACGAAGATCTACGCTCGGTACGACTGATTGGTGGAACCATGTTCGAAACACTTCCGCAGCCGGTCAGGGGAGCGCTCATCTATCAGTTCCGCCGCGTGCTCAGCGACTTCCTCGACAACGCCATTGTGCAGGCGCTCAAGCAAGTCCGGGAGGCTTGCGCACCCGACTCACGCGTGCTGATCATCGAGGAGCTGTTACACCCGAACCAGTCCAAATTCAGCCTCGCGCAGGATATCTCTGTCATGAATTTTGGTGGCAAGCGACGCAGCGAGGCCATGTTCCGCAAGCTTGCTGCTCAGGCAGGCTTCAATGTTAATGCCGTTTACCGGGGCCCTGCCACTGATTTTGGCGTGGTCGAATTGCTGCCGGCATGATGTGAAAGGATTCTTGTAGGCCGTGTGACTGCAGGGTCCCGGGGGCAGATAATTTCGCACAGAACACTGTCTTGTAACTGAAATTTGACCCCGAGTGTGCTCTCACCGGGTGTGAAAAATGAGTCTCATCTTCATAAAGAATATAACCAAGTTTTGTTCCTTGCCGATTTCTTAGGATATACCCAAACAGTGAATACCGTAAATATTTTCCAGCTCTCTGGATCTGAGGTATAGTATTCTTGTCTAATTTGGCAGACTTCAATTTGCGACCAGTGCAGTCAGAGTACCTTATCCACGTCCCGGCTTTATTACTGTGAAAAAGAAGTGATTCGGAAAAGGTTTGCACCAGGACATCTCCATTGACATCCCCAAGAACCCCAAAGGAAATTCGTGCATATTTGTCATGGCAGTTTTGCTCGAAGATTCTGGTATCTATAAGCTCGGGATCAGTGATAGTCACTAATGAGACCAAAGGCGACGATATTAGAAACACCGTAAAATGAGTTTGCTTGTGTCAGTTGATCCGAAGCGCTGACTGATGCTAGAAAATAAGTGAAATGCCGCACTATCGGAGAAGACATGACTGGCTTTATTTTTGAAGAATCAGAAGGCTCCAATATTCCATTCGTCAAGAGCAAATAAGTCCAAGAGTAGACAAAATGAAGACCTTCGGCAAACTAGGCGTGAAAAGACGATAGTTAATTGCTCACATATAGACGAGAGTAACTCCGTTAAATCAATCTTTGTAAAAGTGTATCTGTACACACAGATACCCTCAATGATGCGTTCGCTGTCCAGACCTTTTTGAGATGCTACTTTGCAGTCGTTGTGGGGGTGGCTTTGTGGTAAACCTATCATCGTCTCAGGTGTTGTTCAAGTGATTATAATCCATTTCGGGCCACCGCAATATCCTGGTCCGGATTCTACCAGAGTGTCCTGCAGCGCATGCCAAAGAGTTGCTTACCATTGGTTTCTTGTGCCCAACCGGTCGGCCTTGAGCAGAGAGCGAATGAACTCCTCGATGAGGTTGCCTCGTGGCTTGGAAACCTTCACGCCTCCCTCGCTCGTACCTTTCCTCTCGGCTAGGGAAACTTGGAAGATGATTAAAATTGGCATAATATAATGCTGCGCATTAAAAGCATTAAATTATTCCGATGGCACAATTTTATCCTCTCGGCACTATGCTTCACATACAGAGGTAACGAACTACCTTATTGCTTCTGGAGAATATAACTCTATGGCTTCGTCTACTCTCTTATTATTCCCACAAATGGAATAATCTCTTCTTTTCGATGAGCTCATTTGAACATGGGGGCGGAGTATCGAGTGAGCCATCAGGGGTTCGTCAGTCTGATTAATACTACGGTAGGAGTGCCATCCCCTGGTTCGTACTGATAGGTTGATAGGTGCGTACATTGATCGTGGCAGAGTCACTTGAGTGTCGTTTTCCAATTGGCTCTATATCGCCAGGGTGCCTGTCAGCGCTCCATCTTGGCTTCCGACAACTCAGCTACCCAGCCTTGCTCCTGTCCCTTGGTTCTTTGCCGATTAAATGTCGAAGACGACCTCTGCAATGATGATTCGCCTTTCTTTCTTTTAGACTTTCCCTTTGAATTGCTCAACCCATCTCCTCACATTTCCCTCGTCTCAAGCTCCCCTCGGTCCGAGTTGCTTATGATCGTTCACTGTAAGCGTTCCTCAAGACATATTCTCTATTTTCTGTGCGACAGGGAGATAAATATAACGTCCAATAGCATCTTCGGAGAGTAACTTTTGGCGTATCCTTCTGTGTGAGAGGAATTTGATTCTTTTCCTTCTCGATAATATCATCAAAGCGAAATTCTATGGCGGGTGCCTCCGGTCTAGTCGACCCGTTGGTGGGGGATTTCCTCGTGGAAAAACAAATTTTCTGGTCGTCGAATGCATTTTTGCCAGAATCGGAACCTCAGCATGTGCGGTCGCAACAAACCGGATCTCTCGCCTCAGTTAATGCATTCGGAACTGGGATTCCCTTCTATCATGATTACGCTCAAAATCCGTTACAGATCCCTCGGAGTCTTTCTTGCGGGGGGGCTGTAACCTTTGGTCATCAAACGGTGGGGAAACCTGAATTATTTACTCATGTGGCTCTATTAACCGACCAACAGGACTTTCTCGGTCTCGCCAGCATTGATCGTGGTCGAGATTATTCGACACAGTCGGCCCCTGCAAACGTCCCAATGTCGAGGGATGCCTCGACCTCCTCTGCCGTAGACTGCGATTTGGACATTTATAATGCTGCTCCAGCACCAGCTTTCCTTGACTCTACGGTTGCAGACTCTTTCCATTCATCTTCAATAGGGGCACAGCCTACTGAGGCATACACCTTTCGACCTTCGGGCGCTCACCCTGGGAACATTACGTTTCGGAGCTCACTCCCTTCTGTCACCGAGGTTGACGCTCAGGTCTATGATCCCTCTGAGTACGTTGCCCGATTTGCCTCTGAAATTGACAATGCGTCAATTTCACAAGCTATGGTCACTCATGAAAGTATCAACAACCAACTTCCACCAACATTAATCTCAAGTATCGCGACTAGCGGACAATCTGATGATAGCGACGCATGCAACATGAGCCGCCAGTACAGTGCTGCCGGCAGTGTATTCTGTGAGGGCTTCGACATGCTAAGAGTTCATTCGAATTTATCGGAATTTGGCTCCAGTCAAAACCAAGCACCTCTTGGTGTGAGCCAGCCACCAAATGCTATTGGTGCAGAGGTTGTTTGCGTTCAAAATGAATCTCCTGGTTTCGTTGCTTCTGCTTATCCTTTTAATGGTGGTCAGGTGCTCACTCAGTCTGTCCCCGGCTCTGCAGGTTTTGACTCTGGAGTTATACCGACACCTTCATCAACGAACCCGTCAGAGGGTACGCATAAGGAAACAAGGCAGACGACAAAGCGCTCCAAGCATAGGCGACAAGGCCGGTTAGCTCAACATACTCGGCCGATCAGGCCGAAGCCATCCAGCGAATCGCTCACCTCTATCCAAGCTCCGACGGCTAACATGATTCGGCTCCGATCAGTAGACGACTCTTCTGAGGAAAGGCTTGTCGCAATGATCCCAAAGACCGTCTACATACGCCCTTCCCATCCTCGAGTAAAATGCAATCAGTGTGACGATCACCCTGATGGCTTTCGCGGAGAACATGAGCTTCGCAGACACGTCGACCGTTGTCACCGCGCAACTCGAAAGGTCTGGGTTACAGTTGACATCTCCAAGAATAAGAAATTTCTCGCACATTGCAAAGCCTGTCGCACCGGGAAAAAGTATGGCGCTTACTACAATGCCGCCGCTCATCTCCGTCGCGCCCACTTTAACCCGCGAAAACGAAATGGCAATGGTAAAGTTAAGGAAAACGAAAGACGGGGTGGAAAGGGAGGTGGCGACTATCCGCCCATGGATGTCCTGAAAAAATGGATGAAAGAAGTGGAAGAACATGTCAAGGAACCAGGTGACTGGATGTTTGACGACAATTGCGAAGAAGATATTCATGCCGCTGATGATGACTTTCTTGATGGTTCGTACAATCCTCCAACACCACCAGCTACGTTGCCAGTTAATGGCACCATCTCGGCTTATAACGACAAAGTCAGTTTTACTTCGGGTACACTTGCTGGCGGCTTGAGCCAAAATTATCCTTCGTCATCCAAGTATAAGCCCGAAGATCCCCCTTCTGTCTCTCTTCAGCCGCCACAATTTCTTGATACGGGGGCGGTATCGGCAGCAGGGCAACTATTCGATTCTAATCATATTGCAGCTTATGATACATTTGATCCTTCTCTGAGTTTTTGCGTGAATGAACAAGGTTCATTCTTAGATGCTTCTTCGTTTTGCAATTCTGCTCAGTTCGATGCACAGCAGCAATATGATGCTGTGCTCAACCCAAGTTTTCATTCAATTGGAGCGCAGCAGTAACTTCTGTTGTGGTCATTTTGCTCTTTTTACTTTTGTTTCTATTTCACTGGTTCATATTTTGGACAGCTTTTGTCTTTTTTTTTCCTATTGCTTCGTCTTTTTCTCCCCTCCATTGGTGAAGTTCTTTCATCATGGAGGTCGTTTATACTTTCCTTTCTTGATCTAACTTGATCCCTCTTCTTTTACTGGGTGAAATATAATGTGTGCAGGTTTTTGGGCTCACGATACATGAACCTTGTTAGCATTCGCATATGCATATACAACACAGATCTCGGTCAGAGTCTGCATGCAGGGATGACGAATGTGCAACATCGGCGTACTCATATGAAGCGAGCCATGTTGTTGCATCCTTCTTCCCCATTGATGCGTTGTAATCGGAGGAACGAGGTCTTGCTTATTATAATATACCGCTTCGCTTTCTTCGCTTTCTTTGCTCGGAGCTTTTCTTCAATTTCGCTGGAGGCTTTTAGTTCTGAAGTTCGAGTTTTAATGATGTCAGGAAATGACTATTGGTACAAAGATCATTGGCTTTCTTCGGCTTCTTCTCTCTTCTTAATTATTTCTACCTGTTATTTATCGAATTTCTTTTTTTGCCCTTTTTTTGGCCCTTTTTTTTTTCGTTTCTGTATCTCTTTTTGTCTTAATTTCTTTTCTGAAGCGACAGATTTTTGTGTTTATATTGGGAGCACGCTGTGCTCGACTCGGATTTCGGATTTCGGATTTCGACTGATACTAATCAGTTTGTATCTATCAACGTCACATATATCATATCGTACTTGTTTCATATCCTACCTAGTTTGTTCTTTTCCATCATTGTGAATTGTATGGAAATATTAACCGACGACGGTCTTAGCTTTATATTCGACTCTAGGACCACACTGTCTGTTCAAATCCTCTTTGATTCCAATCTCTTCTCGCGCTATGGTTTGCCTGCATAGAGAAAAATTGGCGATCGACCCTTTGTCTGCGATTTCCATGTCTTTATATAAGAATCCTACAATTATTGAGCGCGTATATCGGAGCACGCATTTTCCGTTCGAGCTGGCATTATTTTATGAAAGACACAAATGTGATGCAATTGGCATAATATCCCACAGAGGCACTTTTGCTGTACAGTGTACTCTACGCCTCTGGATAACACATGCTTCAAGAAGGGTGGGTTTAACCTCACAATATTGCTTGGAAATACAAAAAGTAGCCACGAATCCACTCTATCTGACCAACGCAGGAGATGATGAATGCTTTCGAAACAGTCTAGTTCTAGTCTCCTAATTACACATGCGAGCACTTTTCTCAAGGATAAACGGTAAATGAAAGCAGTGACCGAATTTTAGAGGAAAGCCAAGCTTTGTGGATCGCTAACTTCTGCATTTATTGCACTGGTGTATGCTGATCTTAGACTGAAATCTGATTACTGTGATATTGCGTGGGCAGATGACTTGTCAATGTCAAACCGAAATGCACGTAGCTCTAGCTCTTGAAGCGGACTAGTATAACTCATGCCTATCTCTTCGTAGATGTCCCTTCTCATGTAGAGAATATATCTCATTATCTTTATTTGGCTCCTTCTTACCTTCCATGATGTGCGTTGGATTTTGAGCTGTTACGAGTCCGTCGTGTACTTACCGTTAATGCTATCTTCTCGGCGAAGACAATTCTAGCAGCGTCTTCCGCAAGGCTATTTTCAACTGCTTTCCTCTAATAGAACGAAGCTATCGAGCAGCAACAACTGGACATCAGAAGAAGGAAATCACATATCTAATAGCTGATACATTGAGAAAAGGCCTGGCTAGTACGCACGTCTGTATGCAAAGCTAGGTCAACAAATATTGGGGAAGTGAGAACCCGTCAGAATGCCTGAGCTTTCGGATAGATGCATTGGCGCTCCTTCTCATTAATTGTATCGTCCGCTGCGGAACATATTCCGATGCTCGCGATTTCCATCCTGGAGCACTGATATAGGATATCGGATGCCGGAACGCGCGGGCTCGAAATCGGATGGTATCAGTCGCCCGCCTGCGAAACCTGTCCCGTTAATCTCCTTTGAATTGTCTTATGGTGGGCATCATTAAAACCAGGAAAATTGTTTAGAAGTGCCAAATTCCGGCATGCCGATGCATAAGCCTGTATATGACACGGCCATCGATCCCGTACCGCACTCATTTCCGCCTTAGGAAATGAAGACTTTGGCCAATCATTACATCGTTATCGACTGTCAATTTTTTCTGCAGACATGTCAGTTACACTAAACAACAACTCGTCTCGCCTAAACATTGTGAGATAAAACGGGATTATCTACAAACTCGGACCAAAGAATTCAGGAAAGCAAATGAAACAGGGTTTAAAAATGCTTGTCCGAAGATCATTGATCTAGCGGACGTGGAAAAGATATCGGAGCGATATGCTATCATAGATCTGATCGAAGAGATCTGATCTGTTTCCTTAGCCTAAAGAACAGAGCATGATTTCGTGTCATATGCCGAATGAAACCAAGGGAAAGCCTTTCTTCTCGGTTCTAGGTGATGACAAAAGAAAAACCTCCAAGTCTGCGATGAGGCTTTTCAACCATATGAAATTGAAGAGATTTTTGGCCGACGGGCGGAGGCTCGGCTTGATCATTGGCACACGGCATTTCCTAGTTTGGGAGATTTCTAGCGCAAACGGAATTCGTCGGAAACGAGATGCCCTTGAGAATAGAAAAGGTTGAGAGGATTTCTAAGAACTGGATCTCTCTGTATCAAGTCGGTAAAAGGTCGCGATACTCCTTGCATTTAGGCCTAAGAATGTGTTAATTGTCTCGTGGGCCGTGCAGAGATCGGCGGGTATCACAGGTAATTTCATCTCGTCTCCCGCATCTTCCCGTTTTTTAGTCGGCCACTGATGCGTGTTGTGTAAGGGCCAATTGAACCGAAACAAAAGCGGCGCGAAAATGTGCAAAAAAAAGCGACATACCAGGCCAACAAGAGTTGCAGGTATTTGCAGCCTGACAGAATTTTGGATCTTTCTTTTTTCTTGGGATCGTTCTGGTCCCTGCTTGAGAGACTATTTCTGACATTTGATCGATCGTCTCAACCAGCGGCCAAGATTCAGTGAAAAGCAAACTATTTGCCGCCCCAAGAGACCCTGTTCCCTGGATCACTGCGCAGCGGATGCGGCCCGGAACGCGGACCTAGCCGTTCCGACCGACTTAGGTGCCACGCCATCCATAGACAGCCGAGTCTGCTAACGCCACCAGCTCGCTCAGTGTTACCAGTCAATGGCAAAATGATGAGATGAATGCGCATTGTTCTTGAATCGCAAATTATTCATTAGTCTCAAATATGCATTGCCATGCTGGTTGCCTGGCGGTGACTTGATTTTGCCTTGAATGTGCCCTGAAATGACGCGTATGCCTTCCCGGTGACAGGCAGTTTTATAAAGGTGCATAGCCGAATGTCGCGCTGGATGAGCTCGGGCGATTTTCCGATTCACAATATTGGACTCGTATTCAACGGCGGTGAAGAGGCCGTTGAGAGAAGGCAAAAGCTTCATTGCGTCAGTCCTTGGATATGTGGAGATCTTCGCGGTAGCCAACGTTGAGCGCTTTTGCAGCTGCCTCCCAAGACAAGAGCGAATGGCAAAGAGAAAGGGAATCGAAAAGTTTAACAATTTCATCTGTGCTTTGCATGCACGAGAAATTTTCGGCGTTATAGCAACCAAAATCTACCTCTTTAGGACGACTTGGCAAGCCCAGCAGACAGGCTATTGGGAGATTTCCGGACTCTCGGTCGCGATGCAAGCAGTCCCTTCAATTCGAAGAAACGGCTTCTGCCCTGTCATGGTTGAGGAGTAATGACCGGCGACGGGCGCTTCCTCCGAAGATATGTTTGTACTGCACATATCGCATGACCGTTACTCGAATTTGGGAAATTAAGAGACGATTTTATCGACGCCTCTTATCGACGCCTTGCTTCCAGTCAGGAATAAATTACTTTTTTCTCCGTCGGTATGTTATGGTGATCGTCGACGGTTCCCGAGGAAATCTCCTCGAGAAAGCGATTTGTGATATGTTAACGGTTTAGCTCAATGCGCGTTCATGTCGCAATGACCCCGGGGCGGTGAGGCCCCACTCCTGGAAATGAGACTCCCAACGTACGCAGACCCGCAAAAGTCAATTGTGAAGCCAATCGAGTTGATTTCCATGTTGTGGCCACCTTTTTGATGAAGCAATATCCTTATGATGAGTCCACTATTGTCACGACCACCGCCAGGCAAACCCCGACATGCAGAAATTTGGCGGAATGTTGTCATTGGGCCATGGGAAGCCGGAGTTCCCCGATGCCATGGTCCGTCGGGGAGCAAAATAGAGAGAAAAATAAAAATAACATGACAAAAAGAAGGGAACAATGAGGGGAGAGGAGAGCGCAAACCTTCACACCTAGCGGCGCAGAAGCACCCTTCTCCTTGCTCTGCGAGGGTGACGCGGATACGGTGAAAGGTAGATGCACCCACGTGCCTCTGCATCGGTGTTGACGGAGTACAGAGGCCAATCCGTGGCGCGGCGATCCCGTTTCTCACAACAATAACCCTTTGAATCGCCTTTTTCGTGGAGACTGTCTTGTTAGGCTGTAAGAAGCTTAGCAAGGATTAAACTTTTGAGATCGACCCCTTTGGCCGGTCACTTCGCCTAGATGCTAGTCGGCGATTAGTCCGAGGCTAGAGTGACTGTACTCGGCCTATGAGACTCAACATAGTCGCCGGCTAAAGAGACTGATCATCTTTGCGACATCACAAACCCATCCCACCCTATCTCTCGCCCTGGAATTGGCTCTTATTGCAACAATGGGACCAGGGAAAACTTTAAGCCAAACCAATAATGGGCACGACAGGCGCTCAAATGTCAGATTCGCACAAACGTTTCAGGAGCAACGTACGGCATTACCCTGTGGCTCACCTCCACACGCACGCAAGTAGGCCAAAATGCTCGGCAAATTTGTGAAGTTGACCAGCCTAACGGACCCGACACAGTGGATGACTGTCTTTGCACACCGAATAAATGTCCGGAGCCGTGTACCTAGATCTAGAATGACCTGCGCTGGATACCGCAGGGGAGAGTTGGGCTTCAGATGCCAGAGAAAAGCTGTGGCTGCGGTATCTTGTCAGTCGCTCAAGTACGACTCTTGCGCCGGGATTTGAAGAATGGACTGCTGCATTTTGGAGACCACATAGTGCTTTGTGCTCCTGAAACCTTTGCTGCTCGCCGTTATTGGAGCCATCCTGCGGGCCGCGGTTCCCGCAAAACGACATTCCAGAGCATTTCGTCATCTATCCAACGATTGTGGTCACGCAGTTGGGTGAACGGAACCAAAGGTCTCAAAGCAAATAAGTCGACCCAAGCAGACGGGCACAGTAGTCCCCATAAGTGCCCTGCAGGATATCCTGCAGCTGTCCGCCCGAGAACCAGGTACTTGCCTCGCAAAAGAAAGCACCGTGTGTGGACTCAATGATCCCTAAGATGTCTCTCCCTGCTAAGACAAATCCCAGAACCGATTTTCGGATCCCTTGGCCAAACGCTTGTTTGCTGCTCTTAATTCAAACTTGCGGGAGACGCAGAAGACTCTCGGAATCGCATTCAGTACCAGCGCCCCATTGGCGGTGACGGCACATTCAACCTTCTCGAGATCCGTTTGTGGCGAATCAAAAGAGCTCAAAGCAACTCAAAATCCAATATTCCGAGTTGGACCCCCGTGCAGCGTCTGTATTTTCTTCTCTGCCGACTAAGCTGCGGGCAGCCAACTTGCAGAGAGTCCAATATACGAGTCTTGGTCAGCGAAAATATCCGTTCAGGTCCCAATGACAACAGTATAAAGCCAGAAGGGAAATCCACCTCTAGGTCTTGCTCATCAGCATTTTATCATCTGCAAAACTCAAACAACTTCATTCATATATCGCCTTGGTCATTCGTCCGACTTTTTTGATCCTCACCATGTCAAACTTCTTCCTCCGAGAACAGCTCCTGGAGCAGATACATCCTAAGCCTTCGGTCAGCTTCGCTTCCGAATGTGACCATTATTTTCCATCATGCTCCTCTGGCATCAAGTCTGTTCTTCCGGTATTTACTCTTCTCGAAATTCAGGATAAGGAAAAGGACGGATATGCTGACCAGAGACTAGATGGCTGGCGTCAAATGCCCTAATTGTGCGAGCCAAGGGAAGGAGGTCTGGGTAATACCCGGAAAGAATTGTCCTCAATGCAGTTCGCCCTGTTGAAAAAGTGTACGTCCCTTCCTCCTAGTATGCATTTGTCAATGCTAACTCCCGTTCATTAGTTTGCTCAGCTTTGGTGTTCACGGTTTTGGGAAAGGCTCTCATATACCGAGTATATCTGCTTCTACTGCAATCTTGTTACTTTTCTCACGGATTAAACGTGTTCTCGTATTGGCTCTTGGAACTTTATGCCGGCGCACCTCAGCTAGAAGGCCTCAAATTTTGTTCTAATTGTTATGTCACTTGGCGTTAGCTTAGAGAAAAGGGAAAAATGGTCAACAAATGTCATCCACTTACTACTGATTATCAACTCGAATACTACTCACACAATTCCTTTCTTCGCACGCATGTAATTGTTGCTAAATTGCTAGAGTAGATTGGGGGTGCTGAGCAGGACAGCAAAAAGGGGAAGACCAACCACTTTTTACTTTCCATGTGGAGAGATACGTAGTAAATGGAGAGGTGAGAAGGGAACAAAGTCGGATGATTTGAGTGTATCGCTGAAAAGGTAGGTACCCGGCGAATGTCGTTCTCGTGAGACACAGAGGGTCAGTGCTTTAGAGTACTAGAAGCCTCAATGAGGCTAGCCGTTTTCTGACTTCATACGTCTCAAAAAGTGCGCTCAGAACGATTCAGGCTATTAATTTCGGAGCTTGTTCAGGTAATAATCTTGTACTGACTTGGGCTCGTTTGTGTGGGGTTTGGAAAAAGCTCTATACTGAGACGGCCTTTCAACTTGTCTCAAGTGCAGTACGTATAGGTACCGAACCTCAAACATGAAGCAGATGGAGCGAATGAAGCAAAAGCATGCTTCAGAAGAAACAAGCAGGTTAATGCGCGGTTATGACGAGATACCACAATCATCCACAAGAGACTTATTAACGCATTCATATCTCCACCTGCTCTATTACGAGTCTTAGCTTCCGAAGCATCAATCCTGTCCGAGGGCCAGAGGGCTTAACCCAGATATGGAAGAGAGCTGAGTCCGAAGAATGCTAATGTATAATATGCAGCCCTATTCCTTAAAAAGCGCAAGTGAGATTGATCAGATTTAGTCAACTTAAGCCATGAAGCAAACAATAAAGTCAAAGACAACAGAAGAAATATGGGTCACGTGATATCGCGTCCGATTCCGACGCGTCACGGAGGTGGCGTGGATGATTAATGGTCCAATGCAAGTTCCGACGGAATTGTGTCATTTAAACTTGTGCTTATTCTTTTACTTACATCATGCAGAGAACGCACATCGACCATTTAATTAATTTACGATACAGTTCGACGCTTTGACAGAAGAGCCATCCCTTCATCGGCCCCAATATACTCCGACACTTCGAATTATAATGCATGACGTAGTACTGTCAACGTAGCCCCATCATCCCCACTCCTCAACTCGAATCATATATATTTCTTTTGTTCGCTCACATCGCTCAATTGTAATGCTTCGTCTTTTTGCCAGATCTTCAAAATCACTTCGAGTGTCAAGACGTTTCCCTGATCAAGCAACTACTATTCTGCCGATTGCGCGCACAATGGCCACTGGAAAGAGTGAGAATGCTGACCTCAAGGCATCGAAGCTATTCGATGTATCTGATCTCACCGCTCTTGTTACTGGCGGAGGCACTGGTATTGGCCTTATGATTACACAGGCTCTGGTGTCGAATGGGGCAAAAGTTTACATTACTGGACGACGAGAAGAGGTGCTGCAAAGTGTAGTGGAACAGTATAACACTGGACCTGGCAAAATCTTGCCGTATGCTGCCGGAACAAGTTCCTGATCAAGCGAGTCGCTAATCTGATATGTCAGACTTCCAGGTGACGTTTCGCAGAAGGCTGATATCCTACGCCTTGCTCAAGAGCTGTCTGAGAAAGAGCCAAATGGGATTCAGCTGCTGGTCAACAATGCTGGAATTGCTCGTGAAGATGCCACCTCCTATTCTAAACAGGGAACTCCCGACTTTAGTTCTGCTCAGTCAATTTCGGAGCATCTTTTAAAAAGCGACCCGGATCAATGGCTGAACACTTTTCAGACCAATACCACTGCCCTGTATTTCACCTCGGCGGCTTTTCTTCCTCTTCTCGAAAAGGGAAACAAAGTGCTTCCGGGATATAGTTCGAGCATTATTAATGTTTCAAGTATTTCTGGTTTGATGAAAGGCAGCAGCTCAGGCCAATTTGCGTACGCTTCTTCCAAAGCCGGTATGTGAAATTCCCTTGCAAAAACAAAGGTCCAGCTTTATCTAATATATACATCTCTTCAGCCGTAATTACCCTCTCAAGAATGCTTGCAACCACTTTTAAAGATGTAAAAGTCCGCGTGAATATCATTGCCCCAGGGCTTTTCCCTAGCGAAATGACCGCAGCCGCCTCTGGACCTGATCAAAAGTCTATCTTGAACGTGGACGTATCAAATCCTGCAGGTATGAAGATGAGAACGAAACTGTCAATCTCTTCGATTCATGCCTGATTAGTGGAGTATAGGGCGCACTGGCAATGATTCGGACATGGCTGCTTGCATCCTATATCTTGTGGGCCCTGGTGGCGCCTTCTTGAACAACCAGATCATCCACCCCGAGGGCGGTAAGCAACAACTAGCTTCTTTGCTTTCTGAGCGCAGTCTCTAATTAGGAACAGGACATCTTTTGGTGCACTGATCGACAATCTTACCACATTTGACAAAATTCTCACGACCTTTATCTCCTCTTTTCTTCTGGTCCAGGACAATGCGCTTTGTCTCACTTTTCTTTCAAAGGCCTTTTTCTATGCGTTGCTGTTTGTTCCCGCAATGAGGAAGTTTCATTGTTTGCCAGATATAATTTGTGGCTGATGGCGAGGAACAATGAATGCATGTTATTGTCTCCATTTTCTTTATTTGCCGCCAAACTTATATTCGTGCCAATGCTCAGTTTTCTGTGAATTCTGAATTTCTAATACCTGCACAATCAGCCTCAATTACAGACACATCAATTGCGCGACATAGTTGTCGAAAACCCCACTGTCCTCTTTCAGAGATCCCAGATGTATTCTCATCGCGCCCCTTTCTTACACCAGCACGAGAGGCCAAAGTTCCGGTATGCGTACATGAGAAATGGAGAGGCAGCGAGATTTACTGGTCAAGCACACAGATGGCGTCGTCCTGAAGATTTTGCACCAGCACAGCTTCGGAAAATTGTAAAGCACAAGTATCACAAAGAGCTAGCTACCTTTTCTCGTCCGTTGAAGAAGGTTCGATTTGCTAAAAACTTCAAAGTTGAACACAGTTTCGAAAACTACCAGCTTGCCATTGGCTGTCCCGCACCTGGCGCATTCGTTGACTGGTCTGCTTGCGGCGAGGAGAAGGAGAATGCGGTATTGGTTCAGGTATACCACAATCTCGTCAAGGTGCTAAAGCGATTTAATCCAAGGATACTGTTAGAAGACCATTTCACTCAGAAAGCAACCTACTTCAGATACGCCGGCGTTTCCATGTTCGCTCTTCTCATGTTCCTTGAAGGAAGCTTGGCACTCGTAGAATGGTTTGTATTGCTCTTGAGAGGGACAAATGTCGTATATGTCTTGGTACCAGATGTCAAAGGATACTGTAAGTACTCTTCTTTTGTGTAGATTATGTTTTGCCATCATGTTACTAATTTACTGTTAGCTGTGGGTTCAAACTAGAGCGTTGCTCTTGTGCATATTAGGTCTATTTTTATTTTTGCCAGACAAAATAATTAATATTATTCCGCATAAATATAATGAAAAAATATCACAGCATCGATAATTTAAATACATTTCTGAAACCTTCATATATTTTGCTAAAATGTTTCATTTATTGCATTTATATATATTAATTATGATTTTCCCCCTATAATAAAAACGATGTATAGTCTATGAATTGCATTGTTCATGAAGCCGAGGGGAAAAAAAGAGGGAGGGGAAAAAAAAAAAAAAAAAAAAAAAAATTTGGCACAGCCTTCAGGTCTCTTTGCGCGAATATATTATCATTTCCCGATTAAAAAAAAGGGTCCGAAATCTTTAAGGTACTCTGTATTATGGACATGAAGATTTCTTTGTGTTGAGCCCTTCTTTATCTCTGTGTACAGCAAATAGGGTTACGATGCACTACTACGTAAGCTCAGCTAGTTCGGAGGAGAAAACCTGGAGCCGAAAGGAAGGGACCGGAGTACTCCGTAGACAGAAAGACGAACGTCTTTTGCCAAGAATAACTCGGGCGGTCATAGGCCCGAACCAGGAAACTTTCCCCAAGCGCTCGCTGACGACGTGGCGTTTGGCAATACTTGTATAGTAACAAGGGCGTTGTGTGCGTCCATCGGGACTTGTGTTAAGCCTTGCACAATCATGCCTAATTCTTTTTGTGCGAATACAATCATGTTAAATGACTTTTAATGTTTGAAGCAGAATAGTAAAAGTGGCTGAGTTGTGGGTGAATTGAGGCTTTGCACTTACGAATTGGTCACCGGTGACCGCGTGGCTGTGTGGCTGAGGAAGTTCCCCCCGGTGACTCTACAGCGAACAGAGTGTGAGAATCTCAGCTGAGCAAGTTCCTTTTCCTTTTCTCCCTCTGCATTTGTTCGCCAAGTCTCGCCAAGCCACCCTGAAAATAGTACTGTACTGTCCCGACGCCCCCCCCCCAATTTCTCACTTATCTGGCCCATCTCGCTGCTTTGCCAAGATTCACTTTTCCCCTTCGTCACCATTCAGATTTCTTGACCGACACTATCCAACCTCACCTAACTTTCTCAACGCCAAACTTCCGTCAACGCCTTCATCCCGCCCTGTGGCTTGATCGTTCTTTGAGTTCACTTTCTCCTTGTATCTCATCGCTTTACAACTTTATCGTCAGACATCATGTCCAGCCAGCAGTACTACGCGCCCCAGGCTCCTCCCCAGAGGTTTGTCCCCTTTTCCCCGACCGTGTCCCAGCTTCAACCCCTTCCAACAGCCTCTCGATTGATGCTATGACGATGCGACCAATTTCCGATAGTTGTTTTTCATGAAGCTAACAGCATGACCTTTATAGCTACGGTGGTTACCAGCAGCCTTATGGCGGCCAGCCTTACCCTCAGGGTCCTCCTCCGGTACGTTTTACGTCGTCGCTCTATTCCTGTCGTCATCTGTCGCCCTTACTTATCCTGCCATTACCTTCATGGTCTATTTACAACTGCACCATCATTCCTCTGAAACGTTGCCTTTGTTTACCTTGCAAAGATGAGCTCAAGCTAATGTGGTTCTATTGTAGATGCAATACCAGTACCAACAGGGCCCTCCCCCACCCCAGCAGCGTGAGCGCAAGGACCGTGGCTGCCTTGGTACCTGGTGAGTAATTCGCATGAACATCCGTCTCCCTGCTCTGGTGTGATACACTGTACTGACTTATGAAATTACACAGTCTTGCCATGCTTTGCTGCTGCTTCGTCTGCGAGGAAGGATGCGAATGCTGTGCCGACTGCTGCGAATGTGCCGAGGACTGCTGTTAAAGAAGACGATGACCTTTCACTGAATACCCCGTACATGTCAAATTCGAATTGAGATGGCGGGTAAAACGATACCAACAAACGGCGTTTTGAAGCAGTGGAAAACATCCAAAGGTGCTAAGTTCGCAGCAGGCTGCATGACGAAATGACTCCGCCAACCCTGTACATGATTTCCACCTCGAGAGCCTCACCGTCATTAGGATGGTGACAGTGTGTAGCCGCTGCGCGGCTTTGACCTTTTTTTTTTTTGCCCTTCCTCCAGCAGACTCGTGACAAATCGGCACTTCTTTCCCTTTTTTTTTTTTTGTAACCTTTGCGACGGTCCTATCATACACTTGTCGTCTGTCCTTTTTGCGGTTGAATTCGGACCCTAGATATCTGGTATCCTCTATTATTCATTTCGTTGTCATCTGACTAGGAATGCTATTTCATTGCCATTTACGCGTGAATTGAGATGAGAATTGCAAATCGTAAAGAGTGAAAAGGTATTATTCGTAAATAGTCTAACAGTGTAGCTCCCTTGACCCCATGCTTTGTGCCCTTTGTTCTACGAACCCAATGCAATTCGTCCCAGTCTGACCCGTTGACCCCAGCGCTATGCAAAGAAACTATGCTGAAAGAGACAAAGAAAAAAAGAAAACAATGAGAGAAAAGCTGTAAAAGAAGACGTATTTTTCGACAAGACGCGCATAATCGTAATAATGACCGAAATCGCAAAACAACCGACATCCCATGTAATCATCACTATAAACACAACATGATCATACCACAGTCCACTCAAGCTTTGATACTGCCAGAAGACAACTTACCCCGCTTCAACGACCCCGATGATCTGGCAGCCACGCGCGATTCGTTCAACGGACTAGGCTGGTTGAAGGTATCATTGTCAATCTCGTCCTTTGCCGGAAACAAGGGCGACGGCGGGGTCACGGAGCGGCGCGAGTTGCTGCCAAACGAACACTGTCTGGCAACCATCGTCTCGTGGAGTTCTGCCAGTCGCTCAATCACGGGCGGTGCATCTGAATACAGCGCAATCCCATCCGAGTATCTGCAGCCATTATCGTGCTTTTCTGCCTCTGTGCGGAACCCTTCGTGCATGGGCTCGCGGCTGATGATGGGAAAGAGGCGCAAGAGGACTTTGCGAGGAGGCTGGTCTGGCGCGGCTCCTGGTTGATGGCTGGTGGCAGCAGTAGCAGCAGTAGCAGCGGTGGCAGCACCAGGAGCAGGAGGAGTGGCCTGGTCTGAGTAATCTGCCGGCAGCCAGTCCTCGTCATTTTCATCTTCGTCCTCTGCGGCGGGCATGCGCGCTGTAATCATCTCGCGTTCTAGTCGTGCAAGTCGCCATGTCTCGGCGGCAAGCTTGACGATGCTACGCACTGCGCCGTAGAGGGGTTCCATTTGTTTCGGATCAGCAAAGGGCCTGATTGCGGCTACTATTTCGTCCACGACGGCGCCGGCGGCAGCGTTGACAGTCTTTTTCGCACTAGATGCAGTGTAGGCAGCGTAGAGCGTGTGCTGGCGCCAGATGGCTTCTTTTCTGGTCGACTTGTGACGGAGTTCATTGGACATGGCCTGGAAAAGGGAGTCGGCCTTGTCGTAGCGGCGACCGAGCGAGAACAAGAAGGGCGAAAAAACACGGTAACAGAGAATATTAGAGACTGTATGCTGAATATATGCCGCTCGTAACTGGCGTGAGGAATGAGTGTTTGCCAGAAATGATGGCATTGCCGGTGGGACTTCGCGCAAAACGTCTTCCGAAGGCGCAATTGGAAGATTCAGAAAGTGCTCATCCCCGAGTTCCTTGATTTGTTTGAACAGTTGGCCGAAGGCGTCAAGGCTAATTCGAGTGACCCTGAAGTTAGTCAAAAAGATTGCACGTTGAATCAAAAAGCCACGAAGATCTCAAAAACGAGTGTAGAGGAAGGGAAAAGTATTAAAAAAAAAGGAAATGGAAAGATGATATTTACATACAGTGAACGTGCAAGGACGCAATGTCAGATCTACTTACTAGTATTTATCTCCTTTACTTTTCAGATCAATTACTTCTCCAAAGGCTTCCACCATCTTCTGCAATTTTCCCTTCTCCGATCCCAAGACATCAGCCACCGCTTTGAGTTCCCCGACCATTCGCTCATGTCTGGATTTATCGTCATCCCAGCCTTTTTGCAAAACTTCTCTTGCCTTCTTATGTGCACCTATATCTTCATCGCTCTTCCTCAAGAGCTCGTTTTTCTCCTGCTCCCATGCCTTCTGTAGATCTTCCACTTCCCGCTTTTGTTCCTCGATGAGCCGGTCCCGCTCGTCTTGCCAACCCTTTGCCATCGCTGCCTTTTCCGTCTCCCAGGTCTCCTTCGCTTCAGTTTCTCGGCTTGCAGCCGTTCCGAGGTCACCTTTTAAGGCGGCGAGATCTTTATTGACAATTTCGAGCTGATCCTCTAGGTCCTTCTGCGCAGCCTTCGAGCTCTCTTCAAGCTCGCATCGTTTTGTGTCAAACTCGGCTTGCAGTTTCTCCTTTTCCTTTGTAAATTGGTCCTGGAGCTCGTCCTCCCTAGCCTTGAAAGCCAGATCCTGATCTTTCATCCGAGCCTCAAATGTTTCTTCCAACGAAGCTTTTTCGGATGCGAACTCATTTTCGGACGTTTGCTTCCGTTCGTCAAATTCTTGCTGAAGCCTTTCCTTTTCATCAGACGCCTGCTTCTCCAATTGTCCTTTCTCTTCTTCCAATCTAGCTCTTGCCTCTTCTAGCTGTATTCGAGAAGCTTCCGTTGCAGCCAAGTGTTCTGATAACTCCTTTTGTTTCTCCTCGAGATTCCCAATTTCCAGACGCAATTTATTACTCTCCACAGAGTGCTTGTGATTGGCGTCAACAAGCTGCCTTGCCAAGGCTTCGATATAGCTCTCTTTCTGTTTCAATATCTCCAGTTTTTGCACCTCATTCTGTCGAATAAACTCTTCCCGTACACCCAACTGACCGGCAGTATCCCTGTATCGCTCGGCAAGCAGTTGAAGATCTGGAATGGCACTTTGTATGCGGCGAAGGAAATCGCCGATATTCTCTTCTGCAGAAGGTTGATTATTTGCATCTGGGGAGGAAGATTGCCAAGATGATCCATATCCATTTGGCTTCTCGCCAGGTACGCTATTTCTGGAGCTCGTAGATCCGTTGCGTTGCAAAGAAGGCTGGCGTGCTAGCGGAACCGGATAGCTGCTAGGTACTTGCGGAGCATAGCCATGAAAAGCGGGCGGGTAAGGCTGAGTTGCCGGGGAGGCAAATGGAGGCCCCGGCTGATAGCCAGCTGCTTGTGCCATTGGATAGAAAGCGGCACTTGCGGGTGCTTGGCTCGAGTACGGATAATGTGATGGGTAATATCCGTATACGGGGGGGGATGTAGGGTGAGGGTCAGTGTTCAGTTGCTGGTGGGACACGGAAGGAGACTGCTGTTGGGATGAGTAGGGTGGCGAGAATGCGCTATTTGTGAGGCTATGCTGGAGTGATGAAACGTTTGGTATAGGCGGTGACGGTGCTGGCGCGAGATCGATGTCCCTGGAGCGCGGCGAATTTAGATAGTTGTGCTCGAGGGGCGGACTATCGATAGCAGCCTCTAGTGTACTCTCGGTTGGAATCGGGGTCGGCGGTTTATTCTCCCGTTCTCCTTGTGATTCTTGAATCTGACTGCCAGTGTCCTCGCGAGGGGTGTCCTTCTGACTAGTCTGATCCTGTTTGATATCCAATAGAGAAGCTTGATGTTCGAGAGGCGGCACAGACGGCTCTCCCGGGGTGTCAGTATCTTCTTCGACGTAGGCCTGATAGGCTTGCCGCTTGGAAGAAGAGGTGTCTTCGCCAGAACCGATGACGATCGGATGGTTTGACTCTGGTACAACTCCCGTTGCTGCCTCAGAAAACAGGGATGACGGAGAGCCTGGGTTTGAGCCTGGAAGAGGGGGAAGTAAATCCAAACCGCTATCGTCGAGCGACTTTGGAACCGCTGCCTTGGAAGGAGTCTGAGGCGGGGTGGGCTCGTTGCTTCGCAAAAGACCTTTGTTTCCTTTGCCACCGTTGCGCTGATTCCCTTTGCTTTTAGGACCCATGCCGGGCGGTGATCATATATATTATTTTCGTTGGGGGTTGGAGAAGGTTTATCATTGCTTTCTGCTTCAGACCGTGATGCCAAATTGAAGATGAACAAGCTTGCGTGGCAGCAATGAGGACCCTCAAGAAATTAAGTACCGTCATGCCAATCGCATGTAATGCATGCCGCTCTGTAATTGGATGAGAACGTGATAAGGACAACAAGTGCAAGCTGTGACAACGAGGAGAAGCATCGGGAGAAACATACGAGGCACATGTGCTGTAGCGAATCAGGCGCGGTCATATTTGAGAAACGATGAGGATTCGTCAAGAGACTGTTCGTCCTGAGTCCAAATCAAGCGCCCAAAGACAATTGGCACCAGAAAACTCAATTCTTTCGCAGAATAGGGCGAAACTGTGACGTGGTAGAGCGTTAGGCTCCGGATATGCGGCCACGATGATGCTACACTCGGCGCTGATGGCCGGTGCTTGGCTTGTCATTCCGTATACATTTTTATTTTGCTGCCAGACTGCTACCCATTTCTGTCTAGTGCATGAGCATCCTGGTTCAATTGAAGTGGGAAGGCGAAAGAAAGCACGAGCTTGGCGATTCCAACAGCACGCTATCAGAGAGCTATTTGGGAATCATGGTGGACTGGGTATGCAGCGGACTCCTTCTGTTGGAAGCGATTGAGTTTTTGGGCAGCATTGTCGTATTCCAAAAGCTGATTGGTCCCAGTGTTCTTTATACGCCACGTTTCGTGCGTCCATTTTGACACGGATTAAGGGGGGAGGATGATAGATTTGCATGGATTGAACGGACCAGCGGGACCTCTGATGAGTTGTCAACTGCTTGCTCGTCACCTGTCCACTAAAACATGGGGGAATATGTACCAGAGAAAAAAATGAGGCCCTACAACCTGTCGACTTCCTTTCTTCCATATGACTGATTCGCTTGCTCCGAACAAATCATCAACATCTATCGAGGGGCAAAGTGGAATCTAGCCCGTAGGCTGGGCGTCGTCGGGGGATAGCATAGACAGCTCAACGCCAACACGTGCTCATGCCATACCTAGGGTATATCTTACCCTGAGATAGTCTACAGTACTGGACCTGTACGAGTCAATGATAAGTTCTTGGTAGTATCATAGTGCAAAGAATCACTTATGGAGACATGATGCCCATCAACGCCCGTCCCCATGTCGATGTGCTGTCGCCAAGCTCCCCAAGTGTGCCGTTTACTAGTTAGGCCGAACAGGTTCTGGTTCTCAAAACGGCCCCCACCGTCGCTTGATCTCCTGTTGCCCTTTGCTTCTTTGGATCGACGGCCCGGGACGAACGACTAAACTAAACCAACGCCGACCGATTCGCTTCGACGTCAACCAGGGACAATCCAATTATACTTACTCTCGTACTGAGCGGCGTTATGAACAAGGATATTGTCATCTCGATGGTATTCTCCACACGGTAGAGGTAGATAGTCGGTACAGCACAAGTATACTACAGCACCTTGCAGTATATTACAGCACGGCGCAGTACAGAGAGTTAAGTGAAGACGTCATTGAATTATAACTTGTACAAAAGGTAGGAGGTTCGTGAAATGGAGAGCGACAATTGATTAGAATGACTCCCGAATCAGACGAGCAGTCTGGGGATTGATCAAACCAGATCGATCTCGGACGTATGAATCACGCCTTGCCTTGCCAAGATAGGTAGTACATTACATATCCCTTGGACGATCATTTCGGCTGCGTCGTGAATCCTCATTCGAGTACCTGCAGTGGATACTTTGTATTCCAGAAAAGAACATACCGTCCATCTGCTATCATTCTCTCACAGACCATTTGAAGAGAGCGACTAACCGTCGAAGAGCATGCAAGTCAATGTATCTTTACCTCGACCTTGGTCCAATTGGGATGGGGGCTTCTAACCAATAGACTGGACCCGACTGCGCCGTAAGGCGGTGAGTGTCTGAACAAAGGGACAATGGCGGTTTCATTCCATGTTCTCCGTAGAGTAACTTAGCCAGTCATTGTAGCCAGGGCAGGCAACAGGATCCTCTTCTCATCACCTGTCCCCCGCCCACACCCTCTCTCGCTCATTCGCTCACTCTCTTTTCCCCTTTTTATCATTGCCGTTCCCTTGCTTTGGTAAAACGGCTGCAAGACCAAATCCAACGACTCGAGTGCTCAAAATCATCGTGGATGAAGCGTCCCCTTCATCCTCCCATTCAACGGCGATATCTATTCTCGACCATCTCTTTTCCATGATTAAAGGTCCTTGACTATCTCGTCTCAATTGATCGGGCAATTTCGAAAGTCCAAGGCGTAGTTTGGGCATGATTTCCATCATCATGACCTCCTTCCTGTCAGCGATAATCACCTAAATCGCAACGAGCTCGCAGAAGGCAGCTGTACAAAACTCTCAAGCCATTCTTGATGACGGAGCATGCGCATGCATTTGGTTTACCTTGACAATAAGATTATATATTGAAAAAGACATAATCTGACCCAAACCTGGGGCCAACATCAATCCATAGCTTTATAAAAGACCAAGTCTGCTCGATAACCGGTGGAGATGGCAGGAAACGAAGCATTTCCAGGGTCCATTTTCGGATTCCCTAATTCTCAGGTTCGCCTGGACGCAACTTAATTTTAATTGCCGAACTTTGCACTAATTGTTCTACCTGCGCTTATAGCAATTTCAAGACTTTGAGAATCCCAAAGGCGATTACAATGATATCCCTATTGATTTGCTTGGAGTCTCGGACTTGAAAATGTCAGAGTGGCGACACAATGCTGCCGAAATAGACCAGTATGGCTACAGCACGGGAATAAACTGTGAACCGTCCAACTTTATCGGTAACAACACGGGGCTTCAACGGATCGCAAACTCAAAGTGCCCAAATATGTTCAGCGATCCAATCCAATCACTACCCCTCGAATTCTCAGAGACAGACCTCTCTGCTAACCCGATGGCGAGGTTCTGTTATGATCAAGGCCCTTGGAATTCTCATCAGGTTTCGGCTGGCAGCAGTGCAGCCTATCCTCCCCAAAGTTCTTATGTTTATCCACTCCCGGCACGAGGACCGAATTTCGCCGTAGGCAACTATCGCTCTGCTCCTGTCTCAGAGCCCGAGAGCAATGCCACCGCAAATATGCTTTCAGATTCTGGCTATGGGACCAAAACCTTCAGCACCGTCTCTGCCTTGAGTCATCAGATGACTGAAACAAACACAGAGTACCTGTCCCTACAACATCAATTGCATAATCTCCAACCGTTTGCTGTGCCGCAGCACCAACCCCACGTCACTGGACCTTTTGACATAGCAAATCCTTTCGAGAATAACCTCAAAAGCTTGCCCGATCCCATCCCTCAACCTACCCATCAATGTCCCTATTGTGAGATGAGCTATAGATGTGCTTCTGAACTCAAGTAAGCATCTCAGTTGACGATATCCTGGCTAAGCTAAAAGAAGACCAGGAAGCATATTCTCAAACATGAAAAGAATTACAAGTGCAGGGAGCCTGGCTGCAAGAGAAATGAAGGTTTCAGCACACCGAACGATTTGGAACGACATAAGAAGACTGTGCATCATATCTTCCCACGGAATAGCACGACGAAAATGTATCGGTGCGTCGCCGAAGATTGCAAAGTAAACGGAAACATTTGGGTCCGACCGGATAACTTTCGTGCACATGTAAGGCGCAAGCACGGTGAAGACAGATTGCAGGAATTGATGAGACTGTACGCATTGAAATGATGCCTTTTGTTTCCTCGCCGCTAACCAAGCCAGTGGCGAATGCTATGATGCTGTACCAAGTACGTTTGTCAGTTGATCTTCATTCAGGTGTCTTTTCTGATTTCGAATTCGCAGATCAGTCCACCAATTCCAGCATTGTCGACCAATATGATCATTACGAGGAGTGGTTAGATGCTCCTCAAGCTGTGAACACCAAAAACTGGCGTCAGGGGAATGTGACAAATTGGGAATATAAACGTAAGCACCGAACCATGCAAACCCGAAGATGTCTTCACATGTGCAAGAATGACAGACAATGGAATTTTCATCCAACATCGAGGGCTCGGCAGTGCGCTCCTTGACCAAGCTGCAAAAACCTTCTTTGTTTGACTGTGACATTGATTCGTCAGATGAATGCTCCTAGAAGAGTGGGAATGAAAGTTTCTCTCCGTCAACAGCACTTGGGAAGCATGATCAAGGCATCAACCAATACTGACGCAACATTCTCTGAAGGAGCGCAGGGGCCATACCATCCGACTGACCAAGTAGCGTCTGCGATCGAATACGTGCTCAGGGATGGCGGTCACACCTTAGCTAGTCTCCTTGAAAGCACGCAAGATACCCAGGAAGACCGAGGGAGCGTCTCGTCCTCATCTTGTTCCACTGTTGTTGGCCCAACCACGGCCCTAAATCCAGAAATTTTAAAAGCGTCATCTGAATCCGTGCCGTCGCAAGCGCTGAGGACATATCTCCCGCCACGGGCTAGACTAAAGAGCACGGTTCAAACACCCCTGGGAACTCTCTTGAAGGACAAGGGAGATCATATCTCAGGGGATGTCCAATCTGTTCTCTCGCAAGTCATATCATCTAAAAGACAGAGTTGGAAATGCAAGAGCTGTTCGAAGAACTTTCCCCAATTCAGGGAACTGAAGTGTGTAAAATTTCTGTTGGCGATGAGGTTGATTGCTAACTATGCCTCCTAGGAATCATGAAAAATGCCATGAAAAACCATATGGATGCACGTTTCCCGATTGCCCAGAAGCCTATAAATCCAGAAGGAAATGGAAAGCACATGAAAATAATGAACACTGGATACCAAAGTCTTGGCGTTGCCGATTGCCGACAGATCAGCTCGATTTATCGGCGACACTTGGAGAGTATAACCGCGAGGAGTGTGCAAAGATCATGCACACGCGGGAAGGGTTCTGGAAGCATCTTCAATCAACACATGGAATTTCCAGCCGGAAGATATTAGTGGACGAAGCCACGGCCTGCTTCATTGGTGACAAGGGCTCGGACGGTTTTTGGTGTGGATTTTGTCGAGAAATTAAACCACGATCCACGGAAGATTTTGCGGCGTGGGACGAGAGGCTGGATCATGTCCAGGCGCATATCGACTGCGAACACCGACTAATGGACGAATGGGTCCCTGTTGACAAGGCGAGGACAAAAGGTGAAATTTTTGCTGTAACGCTTGACGTCGATTCCGATGAGGATTCCGATGAAGACTGCTCTCAGAGTATCATTGATCTGCACCTCGACGACCCTTGGCCTTTGCGCAGTTCATATACTGACGCGAACGCTCCTTGTGTCAATCATCAGTTGCATGAAGCAGAGCGAGACCCAGATTTGGAAAATCAGGCCCCAAAGAAGCGAAAGAGGAATTTCTAATTGCGTTATATTTATACATATCAAGTTTTTCCCGGCGTTCATCCGCATAGTCATGGCAGTTTCGGTATCTGGTAATTCTCTCGGCGGCATGGCATCTTGGTTGCATTTCCCCTATGCTTGACGTTTATTAGTTTCTTGCAGAGGAGATTATCTCGAGGGTTCAAACTGGAATGCTATCCGTCAGATGCCGATGCAAATGAAAGCATTCCGCGGTCCCTCCAGTAGAGGTATCGATAAATTTGACGTTATGCCACCAACTTACCAAGCATCGCTTGAGCGCAATTATACAAGTGAAAATATTTGGTAGCAATATGGAGAAAGATAAAAGTACATTCCGACGTGGTCTTAACTTTGACGATGCGAGATATTTTTTCTCGAAGCAGGTCACTTCAAAGGTAGCCACGCCAGTATCCAAGTATAATGTAATGATTCAACTCGCTGTCAAACAACTATTTAAGAGAATACGATAAATTGACAAATAAAACCTTGAAATATAAGGCCTACGGCAAAATGTCGGAAATTTGCATTTCTACTCCTTGCTACTATTTGCTACATCCGAGAATCTCGTATTTGATTGAATACAACAGGAAACAAGGTACACCTCAATCGATTTCCTGTCCCGGGAACAGAAAAATATCAACGTATCATTGCAAGGTTGCCCCATAACGATGTTGATTTAGGCTGGATGTTGGGCACGGCAGGACGAAGTGTGAGTTTAAGCCTAAATTGGCAGGCGAAGGCCAAGAAAAGAGGCGCGAGGCAGCGAGGCAACCGCAGGGGTGCCGAAAGGCTTCAAGCCACTAACTTCCGCGCTTGTCCGTCAGGGCGCTTGTGAGAGGGTGTAGAGTTATCGGAACAAACCTATGGCACTTTGCAATCCAATGACCAAGCATTCATACACGTCGATCTTTTTAGCGTGCATGGGCGATGTCATGCTCTTGCCTCGTCTTCGTTTACCTATAGCGGAAGGCTCTATGAGGCTGACTTCAACTACCTACCTAGGTAGTACCTGAGACGCAATATGTATCATTGTTCACCCCTCAAGTTCTTGCTGGCAATATTTCTATACTTGGCGCTCTCATGGGGGGAAATTTGCCATCCTGCATGGTTGCCAACATGACAGATTGGTTGGATGCGTGGCAATCGGTATTATGAGAAACATGCAGCTATTCAATCTGTTTTCCATGTGACCGATTGAATGGAACCTCGAGAAACGGAAGAGCTTTGAGAGCCTGCTGATTATGGGGCCATACGGAAATAATCGTGGTAAATGAGATCGGGTTCTCTGGAAATGCCACTCGTGCGGTTCCATTGGACCGTCGCATTTATGATAAGAGCCTCATCCTTCCAGTGGACTGAGATACGCACGGGAGAATGATGACCAACGTCTAGGGAGATGCACCCTATTGGTTTTGCCGACACCCCTGCGAAGCGGATGAATAACGCTCCTTCTGGCTACCTGTGCGGAGGTAGACCTTCCTGCCACCCTCCAGTTCCCCATTGTATGCTCCTCGCATTTACCACCTGTATAGTCAATGGTGATCCATGTGCGGGTGTGAGGTCGAGACGGAGCCCTGTCAGCGGTTATACTTGCACGATACTCTACTCCGCCATTCTGAACCTAGCTTTAGGCAGCTTTCATCAATTTTTGCCCACAAAACCATTGTCTTTTTCATCAGCCAGGCGGTCTGGCTGCTGCTTCTGGGTTGGGATTCTGCACCCTTGCACGCCGCAGTCGAACCAATGGACGCTTTGGACGCAGATCTGATCTGGGACATGAGGCTCTGCGCCTTCCTCGCGCTGCCCCTCCCACACTTTTTCCAATCCACGGTGCCAACATACGAATTTATGATACTCGATTTGATCTACATATATGTTCGCAATTGTCTCTTCTTCAAAATGCCGCGTCTTACGGGATCTTTGTATTCATTACAAATCTGCAAAGATTACATTGAAGTATTCTTTACAATTATTCGGATTATCTCACCTCCCTGCATGTTTTATTGCTTTTTGGCCATTTTACTTTTGCCTTTAATAGCAACCACCCGCTTACTTGGGGCCAGCTTTGGGGACATTCCACCTACTGCGTGGTGACTTGATCTCATCTGATCAAATTAAAAGCATCATCAACGGCTTCGTACCTCTTCTACGAAACGTTTCACCATTTCTTTGTATCGGATGAACTTGTGCAGTCATTACCGCACACCATTTCGTTCATTTCAACAGCACAACATGCATTGGGACCATCTGCCTCCTCCTGCGAGAAAGCATCGCAGCCAGATGTTCACATTCGCGGAACCTCATTGCTATTCGAGTGGCGAAACCTATCACATGCCCTGGGCTGACATACAATCTTCGGATTGGGGTGTTTCTCCTGAGACTCCGTCACAGTACCCTCCCTTGATCAGTAACCCCAGCATGATGTCGCCAGAAAGCTCCACAGTCGACTACATGGATGATCAGCCCGCCCAAGACTTTGACCGTCGTATTGCATGCAATCCATGGCCTTTCCCAGGCGTGGAACAAGATGATACTCTGTCGGAAGTGTCAAGTGTCTCTGGCTCCAGAGACTTCTCAGACTATGGGAGCCACAATTACTCGAGTTCAGTCACGCTTGCTCAAGCACAACCTTCCTATGTTATCCATCGCGAAAATGTCTCGACACAGCGCAGTGAAACGGCATGGGAAAGTCGGACTCTTCACCCAACTACCGGCCACTCAGTCATTAAACAGGAGACAGTTACAAGCACATCGGCATGCGCATATATCTCCGAGGAGAATACCTTGCCAGCTTCCACAAGGAATCGGTCAAGATTGATGACTACCAGAAAGGCTCGTCTGTCTGATACCATCGCCCCTTCGACAAAGCAGCGTCAGACGTTATCCAAACGCATTCGAGCATCAGCCTCAAAAACACCGAAGCGTCCGGCCCAGCAAACCTATCCTACTAGCAAGGAATCTCGTCAACCTAAACGTATTTGCCCCCGTCACCCAAAAATGACTTTCAAGAACATGATTGAGTATGAGTATGTTCCTCCCTCTTTGATCGTTCATCCAAAACCTTACACCGACTGGGTTACTGACGCTCTCGTCGCGTACCTTTCCAGGAACCACGTGAGAGATCAACATCCGCGACCATTCGTATGCATTTTTAGAAATAATGGATGCAGTGACAGTTTTGAGAAAAAGAATGAGTGGAAACGACATATCCGCATTCAGCATCTCCAACTTGATCATTACAATTGCGCTCTCTGCACCATCCCAAGAGATCATTCGTTTAATCGCAAGGATTTGTTCAAGACACACCTCGAACGAATGCATTTCCACAAGGATGTCGCGGGTGAGCGCCCTCAATTGTCATTCAGAAACAATGCTTGGACGAAGGATAATATATCCGAGTTAGTACAGACTTGCAGGGTACATGTTCGCAAACCGCCGGAGAACAGCACTTGCGGGTTCTGCGGTGAGCGTTTTGCGGGGAAAGATAGCTGGAATGAATGCATGGAACATGTGGGACTCCATTTTGACCGCGGCTGCAACATAAGTGACTGGAAAGTGGATAAGTCTGTCCAAAATTGGCTGATCCGTGAAGGTCTGGTGGAGGCAACTGGCACCGGCGTCGACCATTCGTGGACCTTTAAAGACCCAAAGATGGTCAGAAGCCTAAGCAATCTTTCTATTGCTATACACTGTTCAGATGCTCATGGTAATGAAGAGGACGCTGAAGGCGAAGAAGAATAAATGATGGAAAGCATCTACTGTGTACCTTACTGCTCAAAGTTTATTCTATACCCATAATGGCTGAATTTTGATTTTAGAAAATGCTTTTATCTTAATGATTTGCTGTTCTTGACTTGCCAATTGGCTTGTTCGTGTTCTTAATATTACTAATTTTTGATACCTGCTACTCACAAAGGTTCTCAAAAGCAACATGACAAAGTATTGCATATTAGCACATGCGGCATGCCTGGATGAAGGAACCCTGCTATCATTCTTTCTTATCAGGGATACGAATCCGTCCCGAACGTCCGCAACAGCCCTATCAGCCGCATGCTTATATGTTTGGATACGAGAGCATGAACGGCAGGGCTGAGACTCTGCAGCTTATGTCTCCCTCCCGTACTGCCCTTTCCTCCTGGCTCAAGACCGGTGTCTTTTCTTCTTCTCCCTTCTGTCCGCCATGTCCAATTCTCTCGGCTTTTCATCTATCCGTGCAGATGTTGTCATGTATTTGAAAAGACAATCTCGTCGTTTAGTACGATGCCTCTTCTGCGCCGGCACAGGAGATGAGTCTTTTTCAATACGAAGATATCTCATCCCATTCGTCAAGTTTTCTTCGTTCTCAACTTCGCCTTCTCTTGAATGAAGCGCTGCAGAAAGATATGCATAGGAAATGCCCCCATCACTCCAGTTCCGTCCGGACCTTTTTTTGCAAGGTGTTTCTGTATGTCCTTGATCTGTCAGTGGTTAATTAAACTAAATAACCCAAGTTCCATTCCAAAGATGACTTACGCTTCGCAGTTTCTCCAGTCATGGTGGCATAATGCTTCTTCTTTCTTCGACGAACACGTCGGCGAGACCGATTTACGTCCTTGGTAGCTTTATCTGCATCCTCAATGGGCCGAACACGACGACTGCTGGACGTTTCCATCCTTTGGTCTGCGTCTGACGAATCCTCGAAACGGCTGCGGCTTAGGCGTTCTTCGTCAAAGACTGTCGTTGCAGGTCTCGTAGTCCGAGGGGGACCGTGAGAAGGAGCTGGCACATAGCGGACGCCAGCCATGATGGCGGCGAAATGCCGGTCAGGCTGACCAGGAGAGTGCACTCGCGTCCTCGCCGAGTTTGGTTTCTTTTCCATAGTATGAATACTCGAAGCATGAGACTGATGCCAGTGATGTCTTTTCTCTTCATTTAATGAATGAGAAGAAAAGTTCTCTCCTGTTCTGAATGGGTATTTCTCTATATGGCTGCGTCTGACTCGATCACACTTTTCTTTCTGTTTGTGGAAAGATCCAGCACCATAAGAAGTTCTCCTGCTTTCTTGATGAGCAAATTGCACTTTCTGGGGAATTTGTAATCTCTCTTTCTGATAAGACCGTTGATCAATCGTCTCTGATATAGTTTCAGGAGCTTCAACTGGTGACATCTCTGCTGCAGGTTCCTCCAGCAGTTCAGGAAGGGCGTGTTGCATAATAGCATTATCCATGATATCACTATTGACTGTACTATGCAGATCTTTGCACTTCATATTGGCTGCATCATCTCTGCTGCTGTCCAGCAGTAACCTCTGATCCATGGTAGCAGTTTCTAGCAAGTGTCTTTCCCCATCTGCCACACGGGAATTGCTTTCATTGTTTGCCGTATACATAGATGCGCAGTTCTTGCAATAACTGTCTGTTAAGACCGAATCTGCAATACCTGGATGGAACGCCTGAGGCGGTGGCAAGTGTGTTTGACCGCCAAATGCATGTCCGTGTCCCATTGGATCCCAACAGGTAAATTGTGGATAATGTTCATTTGGATAAGCGTGGTGATGAACGACGTGTAAAATAGTAGGTATCAGGAATGGCGAAGTAAATGTCGAGGATGTGAATGGCGCTGATGATGGGAGCTGTAGCAGAAATGAAGGATTAGGATCGTTATCATGTATCCCATACACCCTTTCCGGTGCTTGAAAAAAGTCTAGTTGATCGCCAGTCGGTGGTATACACGCTAGTTGAAAGATTTCAGAAGAGTCTGAATTTGGCGGTTCTGAACTTGGTATCTCTTCAATAGAGAGGGAAGAAGCATTTCCAGCAGCAGATTTCTTCAAGCGTATAAATTCAGCTCGTCCGCGTTTGGGACGTACAAGGATGTATGTCTTTCCTTGCTGCATAACTTTCTGACAAGCTGGTGAGATATAAATAAGATTTATAAATACTCAAACTGGCCCAAGTGATGATCTAAGAGAATATTGTCCATTCAATGCAGATTCTGGAAGCGAGTCTATCAAAAATTAGCAACATACCTTGGCGGGAGTGACGGAGAGCAGTGCTAGCTGGAATATGATCTCTCTCATAAAGACTTTACGTTGGCCTCGTGAATGGGCTGGTGAATTTTCTGGATATTGAGACTACGCCTATGATCGTTGTTGAATAGCTATTTGAATTTGTAAAATGTGCTCTAGGAAATATTGGCTTTATTATTAAGTTGGAAGGGAAAACATTGATGTCCTATTTTGTGTCGATAATTATTTACTTTTATGTTGTTCTGATGCGAAAACCGATCTATAGAGGTTGGGATCCATATATAAAGTCGTCCCAATACTACCCCGTAATAAGACCAAATTTACTCTTCCCTTCTGTTACATCAAATTTCCATGTTGCTTCATCAGGAAATTCCTCTCTTTTTGAGATGACCACAGGATATCCTTCTCCCGGTGGGACAACGGATGCAGCTATGGCTTTCGTGTTCAGCTTCGGACTCCACCATTTTCCTCCGACAGGAGTAATGTCGTAGCGGAGAATGACCATCGCTGAGAGTGCAAGGATTTCCCCACTGGCAAAGTGGCGACCTGGGCAAACATTCGGTGATGTGCCAAATGCCGTAAAGGAAGTTGGACGCTGAGTCAACTTTCCAGCTTCAAAGCGAGTGGGATCAAATTCTTGTGCAGTTGGACCCCAGAATGCCTCCTCTCTGTTGATAAAGGACCCAGGCATCTGGATAAAGCATCCAGCCTTGAGCAAGTACTGGTTGTCAAGTAGGACATCTTTGCAAACCACACGCAGCGGAGAAGCACTGGATCTGAGCCGGAGGATCTCTTGGAAAGCTGAGACAAATTTAGGACAATTGTCTCGTATTCTGCCCAAGTCAACGGTGTGGGTTTTGGTGACAAGGTCGATTCTTAGACAATTTTGGCGGAGTTCGTCACGAAGTCGAGAAAGGAGATCCGGGCGCGAGTAAAGTTCGAAAAGTGCCCAAAAGGTTGTGGGAACAGTATTCGAAAGAACACCGATACATCCTGCTGTTTCAAGGCGCGCAATATCCTCAGTTGCAGCGCCTGCATCATTTTGCGCTTTCCACCGCGCAAAAGCCAGCTCTGAAGAGTTATTTTGACCTCCAGCATCATAATAATCGATGAATGCCTTGACGACGTTCTCACGGGCCTTGTGAATCGAGCCGGCCATGAATGGCGGCCGTATGCTCAAAAGAAAGACATTGAGATTTGATTCATATTCCCTACAGATTATCAGCTTTATTGCGAAATTGAGGATAACTTGTATTTAAAATCACGTACCAAAACGCATTGGAGATTCCTGGTAATTTAAAAGGGTTCAAGGGCCCCCATACCGCGTCGGTGCTGGCTTGAGTAATGGCATCTCTGCACCACAAGTGGAGATCTACAGGATGATTCCCACCACCAGCGAGTTCATCAACAAATGAACATAGCCTGCCTATCATATTTTTATTCATTGCATCCAGGCCGGCTCCTAATAGGGCAGGGTGCATTGCACGAAGGACCTTGAGATTAACTCCTTGACCTCCTTTATCTTCGGGCTCTAGCAACTTCAGCCCAGCTTTCTTGATCCCGCCCAGTTGTTTTGCAGCAGCCGTCAAAAATGGGTCAAAGGAAAGGACCTTGGAGTTTCGCTGCACCGCAGGAACTAAGCGGGCAGATGTGACAATATACACTTTGGTGACAAGTAAGTCCAATGTGTAGATAGGAAAGGAGTAGCCAGTTCTAGACAAATAAGTTTAGTTTATACTGTATTAATAGCAGTTGACATGAAGCAGAAACTGAATCCACCTACACGGCATTTTTGTAATATGAGGCCCCGTGACGGAGCAGTCCCAGCGCATGGCCGACAAATGGTATTTTTGCAGGGACGTGGAAAGGTTCCCGAGGATCAATCCTCCATCTAAAAAACAGAAAAATAGAAAAGATTATCAACACCGAAAGAGTCGCAAAGTAGATATTTGTGCTGCCGACATTATAAATGAACTGACCGATCTCAGAGACCGGCATGACACCACCGAACAACGAAAGTCAACTTAGAAGCGAGATCTCTCTAATCGTCAAGACAGAAAACCTCTCCGGGAAGATACAATGTGTAAAACTTAGGTATAGCAATTACCCAGTTAAGAAAAAGAAGCTGCTTCTTAAATATCTGATTGCTGGTTGATTAAGAGACTTATATTTTATCAGAAGATAGTAGACTTTAGCTCTTCAGGGTTCCCGTCCTTTTTGGTGGAGTGAGTTGCGTATACATGGCTCGAGCACGCACCTCTGGCGAACTCCGATAGAACTTAACAACAACGCCTTCCCCGTCTTGGCTCAGAATGCCTCAGGCATCACCACATTATTCCGGGTTGCTATCAACAGAGCGCGCTGCAGGGCACCGTATAAATACCGAGGTAATTTAAATTTGGACTGAGCGAACACACAAAAAGCGATGACTTAATAGCTGCCTAATCAGAACGTGAAAGACTTCGTGTGCACGAACGTTGATTTTAGAAACGGACGGAGGGACTTTTGGATCTAACAAAAGTGGCAAAAGAGATTCGGAAAGTGAGGAGCCCAAATTCGAGGAACAAAGAAAATTGATTCATCTATATAACAAGGCAACATTATAAAACAGAATGCCAACATCTACCAGCAACTCTGAATATCAGTAGAAGGGTATGCTGGAACATTTTATGATCCACACTGCACCATCTAAACTTTTATTCCACCCTAAGGACAGGGGCACTTCTTCTCTTGGAAGCCTTCTTCTTCTTGTTGCCCTTGTCAAAGGCCGTTGCACTGGCATGGTCTCTTCCAACATTGTCCAGGTCCTTTACCTTGTAAATGCGAATGATCCAGTTCTCACTCGTAAACGCTTCTTCGAGGGTGTTAAGTTGCGGTCCTTCCGCTGGCAACCGCGACCCACGGACACGATCAACAGCCTGCCCAGCGGGGAACAGGGAATTATAATTGTAGTACGACATTTTGTACCTAGATTGTTCGTGAGCCAGGTGAAATCAAAAGAATCGGGGATAAAGCGAAGCCTTACATCAAGCTATTCCTCATCGTGGGGGTGGCTTCATCGTCAACGCGATATTCACCTCGCGCAGTAAAAAAGTCTCGTTCCTTGACCTCATCTGGCCAGATTCCCTCAGCAATGCGGACCATCCACAGAAACTTGTTGATGTCATCTCCAGAATATCCTAGTAGGCCGCCAAAAACCACCAGCACATAGTCGACGTCATGTTGTCTTAAAATCGGATAGCTGACTTCCTCTCTGGAGCTCATTGCTTTGCCGACAGTGGCAATATGAGTGTTATTCCAGGTGTTATTGTCAACCAAGGTTGGACGGTCGGCCATGCCACCAATTTGATAGCCATAATCCCACCAAGACATAATCTTCGCGTTGTCAGGAGTGTTTTGGCGTAGCCAATAGTACGCTTCACGGTAGTCATCAATGATATGCTGAGATCCGTCTGGAAGTCGACTTGCCAGGACAACGGATGGCGACGAGTATGCATTCGAGGTAACCCAGGTACAGTGGAGGACGAAAAGAAGGAGGAAGGTCGTGATGGTGGCCACAATGGACGATTTGGTGACGCTTGAGTAAATACCGACAAGAGGATTCCGTATTGAACGCAGAGAGGTCGCGACAGCTGCGACTGGGTCCTTGACGTCGTCCTTGTCCGAATTCGCTGCCGCCGTTTCTGCGGAGGGAGATTCTACAACAATGAACGTATCAAGAATCGACGAAAGCGCCATTGCCGCAGCAACACAAACGACCGGGGTGAGGGTAAGCATCAAGCGAACCATTACTCCAGCGAAGTAACTGGCCAAAACCGCATAGATGACAATAAACACATGCTCATCTTTGAGGTTGCGGAAGCACATGTAGACTCCCGCCGGGAAGAGCCAGATGAGCATATTCAGGTCAAAGAAAAACGCGGGCCAGGCAGTCGGCTGATGTTCAGAAACCGAAGCAATAATTGGAATATGAATCTTGGCATAGCCGGTATCCCAAAGGGAGTAGAATCGACCAGTCCACGGTGCGATGACACCACTGACTGTTAAAAGAACCAACGCCCCCAACGAGACCGCAAAGATAACGAGCACTAGTGTGCGCAGGAGCGTTTGGAATTGGCGACTCGGAAGCTGTTGACGAACAAAATCAACGAATGCCACGACCTGAAGGAGACCAAAAACGCCTAAAGCACATGGTGAGCGTGAAAAGTCCTATAAATCCAAATGTAGGATGGATAAAACGTACCCAAAGCAGACATATGCTCGCTAGTACGGACAGGAGAGAAGCCAACAAACGGAATTTGCATGCTGGCCAGAGTGCCCAATGCGTACCACGTCGTATAGCTAACATATAGACGTGGGCTGTAACGGCCCATGGCTATGAGCACAAAGGCATGTAGTGGAAGTAGATTTGTGATGAAGACGTATCCTCCCCATGCAGAGACCATGTAGCCATAGAAAAGTGCCGTCAAGGCAGCCCACATGGCAGATCCATTCTTCAGCGACTTGATCCAAAGGTAGAAGGTGAACACAAGAAGGAAGATGGCAATGGCCTCATTATCATAGCTTCCCGCGACGGATCTGGATATGTAACCCGGTGCAATTCCCATGAAAACAGCAGCAAGAAGGCCTGCAGATGGTGAAGTGGACATTTCCGATGTAAGAAGGTAGGCAGCGAGGGAGGTCAGGCCAGAGAATGCGGGGGCAAGGAGGACGCAAATATTCCGAATGTCAACGGGGATTGACAAAAGCCGGAGAATGTGGTAGATTACGCCGCTTGTTACCATGAGACCGGGATAGAGTGTTCCACCAGTAACCCGTCCAAGTGGATGCCATGTTCCTAAATCCTCTCGTCAGTTTCAAGGAGGCTTTCGACCGGGAATGACCCGCAACAAGGTGGCTAAAAGGCGAATGCGCTGAGCACTTACGGTCATCAAACCAGTCCCAGAAGCTGTAAAAGCCATGTTTAACTAGGTATTTTGTAGCTCGAAAGTTGAACCAAGGATCGACTGAGAGAATCATTCAGCAACAGCACCTAACCAAATCACTCCTATCATAGGAAGCCAGCGACGGTATGACGTGCGGGACGGATACTGACATTCGTGAATTATACTTTCAAAACCTATATGACAGTTAGCATGACAATGTTTTAGAGTAGGAGTGAATTAAAAGGCAATTAGAGGGCCAGGTTCATTGAATTGGCGGAGCTGGATCTCGGTGCTGGAGCTGGGGTGGGAGCTGACGAGTACGTACGGATTACGCTGAACAATCGACTGGCGACGGCGGCAGCAGCAATTGTGCAAAGAATAATCAATCGTAGAAGACCCCGGGTATTTCTACCCGTACTTCCTTGAAGAAAGATCCCCAAGGGATTGTTAGACATGTTGACCGTCGGACTGTTGAAGGACAGATTGTTGCCAGACCTCCACGTAAACCGCGTAGGGATCGGGAAGCTCCAAGGTGGTCTCTACTCTAATGCCACACCCGCTTACCCGCTTCCGCATTTCCCCAGGTACACCTCGCACCCTCGATCGGGGAGTTTGAATTGGTCTGCCGATACAACAACTTAAGGTGGGCAGAGTCAAAAAAGATTGTTACCCTGGGACTCCTTTCCTTAATGATTGAATCGATTGCCGTTACTTGGACGCAAAGTTGCCAGGCCTATCGAAAACTACTCACATCTATTTGTGTCTCATGTTTCAATGGGTGTGAAATATTGAAGATCTCGTTGTTGAGCTTGTAGATCTATATAGCCCTAGGTGGGCAACCTTTTCTCTGTGGGCTGATCAAAAGAGAGGCAGTGAGAGATATACACGTCGACAAAGTCATATTACCTAGGAACGAAAGAATTTGAAACATTGTTGCATAAATGGCTTGCCATATGATTCAACCTGGGGTATAAGCTTGACTCTTTAAAAACTCCAGTCGCCAAGTTTTCCTATTTCGCCTAAACACACTTGAAGCAAATGAAAATCTAAAAAGAAATAGCTCGTTGGCTACTGGCCATCGAGGACTGTTCCATTATCCAGCTTTCCGAGCAGCCGCTTAAAGTCAGTCCACTCTTCCGGTCGAGCATTCTCAGCACCACCAAGTTCATTTCCGACTTCGAAAACAGTCACAGCACCATCCACGCCGCCTGTAGCGATACGCTTGCCATCCACACTCTCCCAAGCACATTTATTAAGACTCTTGGGAGAGATTCCGAAAGAGTTGCTGTCCCGAGGCTGCGCTGTAGCGACTGGCACTTCGCAGTCTACCAGTAAATTCCAAATTGCAAGACTGCCTGATCCATCGACAGAGGCAAAAACTCCTGGTTTGACGGGGGACCACTTAGCATCATAGATGATGTCTTCCCGTCCTATTTCAAGTAAAGGAGTGACTGTATCTGGCGTCCCCGACACGGCGCCTGCCGATGCTGCGGCGGGGGCCCGAATTTTCCAAAGCTTGGCCGTCCAGTCCAAGCTGGAGGAGAGAACCATATCGCCAAGGTCAATTGGGCCGCGGAAAGGATGAAAATCGACCGACATGACTGGAGCAGCGTGGCCACGATAGCATATACGCTGATCGATGCCTGCCTTTGCGCCTGCTCTATCATAACGATGACAGGCGTAGATGGTGCCTTCCTCCGACCCCACGAGGAAGTAAGTAGGATCAGCATGAGGAAAAGCCATGCAGGTCGGAGAGAGGTCCTCGAGTCTAGTAGGAGGTGGAGCTACAAGCTCGAGAATTTCTTGTGGTTGTGACAACATATCAATCGCCCAGCTGCAAATAACTCCGTCAGTAGAACAGCTGATGACGTTATTGGCGTTTTGTGTCCCGACAATATCAACGGAATAGACGGGATGAGTGTGCCCCGAGCTAGTGAGAGGAGTCTTTTGCACCGGATGAGATTTCGCTCGTGTGTCCCAAAGTAAAATCTGTCCACTATACGAACCACCAATGATAAGATTAGGATGAAACGGGGAAAATTTTGCGGTGAGTATATCCGACTGAGCTTGGAAAATATATTCCGCGCGATCGTGAAGGTGTGAGTTCCAAACTTGGACAAGGCCGGCAGGATCGTGCGGAGCGGAGGGAGACTTTGTATATGAGGCAACAAGTAATTCAGGAAACTAGATACACTTAGCCTAGATGCAGCGCAAAAAAAAAACAATCTAATATGCTCACCTTTGGGGAGAAGTTTAGGTCTGTGACCATGCGCTTTTTGCTCCATCTATCATCCCAAAATCGATAGAGTTCACGTAATTTCCCCCCACGTTTTCCGTGTGTACCTTCATACGCATCGCCATCGTCAATGTCATACAAACCCCCAAGAGTATAGTCGGCTAGCACGTCATATTCGTCCACTGCTTTCTCCGCAATTTTAGTAGATCGCTCGATAAAATCCACGTATTCATCCGTCGAAGTTAAAGCGGCTAATTCCTCTCCACTCAATGTTGCTGCCGGATAGCTTTCAAGAGGCTCTTTTTGATCCATCCCAGCCCCGCTTTTGGTAGCTTCATCATTCAGCGCTCTCAGCTCCTCCTCGATTTCTTTCCGAAGACTTTGCCTGAGTTCCTCGTCCTTCTCCCTTTCCCTTCGGCTAACGCGTTTAGAAGAGCGCGAGGGATGTGCTGGCGTATTTGATTCATCCTCTTCTTCGCTTGTGAAGTCTTCCTGATCCTTGTACTGAGGTTTCCACGGTTCGATTGTTTGAACAGCTTTACTGTATGTCGTAATCTCTTGAACAGGCGCTGGAGTAAAGTCGAATATAGTGCATAAGGGGGCTGTAGATAGATTCTGAGCTGCGTGGTTAGGTGTTCCGACATTCTCGACGCTGACTTGACTGGCGCTTAAAACGGAATTTGGTCGGCTTGCTTTTGTGGTGGAGGCTGGGGTGGCATCTCCATCTTTCTGTGCCACTGAGCCGGGTCTGCTCTCACCCACAAGACTTGTAATGAGGTCTTCAAGTTCTCTCCGGTGGTCGGCCCGACTAGGTGAAGGAGGGACAAGCTACATCCCGTAAGTGTGCGAACACGAGCTACTGAATTGGGATATCACCTCTGATGTTTCGGCCACATTTTGCCTGTTCGCTGTGAATTCTTTCTGTCGAAGTTCACGCTGACGCTTCAGCTCGGCGAGCTTTGCCTTCTTGGCTAAAATCTCTTCTCGTCGTTGCTGGAGCATGGCGTTTATCAAGTAAAGGATCCTAGAATAGCCACCAGACGCTGCCTAACCAGGCTAATAGACTTCCATAAGAGAAGGTCCTACTAAAGCTTGACGGTATTCTCACACCAAATTCAAGCTTTTGCGTAAAAGCGAGGTACCCCTTAGAAATTGAAAATTCTCTTGATTTGTTGGCGACTTGCCTTGGTGTTGACGTTGTCCCAATTCAGGAACCCGTGGTCGCGGGATAAACACTTGCTTACGTAATATCTAATTCGGGGCGATGGTGCGTCCGAAATGGGGGATGGACAACTTCTTCCTATCGTACTACACCACGCATTAGCTTCGGTTTCCGGTCCGCGACGAGCTGCTGATACCAGTGATTCTGTCCGAAATTCTTGTAATTGGCTTCGTTAAGCGTCACTGAGGCCAATTGATCGGGTATAATTTTGTCTTGAGCTTGTCCAAGAACAATCGCGGCACGACCGGAACCTGAGAAAATGTCGTCTTCAACCGGCGTTAACGTAAGTTCCCCAAGTCCTTCCGATCCCAAGAAACATATTCTCTGCATATTTGCAGTCATTGCTTTCTAGATCTGAATGGTGTTGAAATTTTAGGTTTTGCGCTACTCGGCCCTTGTTCTGGGTGTGTTTTACGGCCTCACGCACCAGGCTTCCCTTACCGCCCAACAGAAAATCGCGCAGATTGATAGAGATTACGAGAAGAAGGAGAGCTTGATTGCTCAGGCCAAGGCTGCATATGTTCAGAAGACGTTGCCTGCGGAGAAGAAGACTGCCAGCGGTGACAGTACGTCCCTCAATGATGATATTTTGCCGTTATAATCGGCTTAGTTGCGGCTTTGGCGACCTTGTCGCGGACATCCATTTGTATGAGTCGGCAACTAACATTTCTTCTGCAGTCGTAACGGACCCGAACGACTCCAAATTCGATCTAGAAGCATACCTGACGATGAAGATGGCGGAAGAAGCGAAATAAAGCGGCATTGCTGATTTGGCTCGAGCGAACGGTTTTGGGGCTCTTTGCTGGGAAATAAACGTGGACTCGCGATGCGTGGCGGGGTGTTCACGTGAAGGGTCTACCTCAAAGGTGTATTGGCCATTGTATTTGGATGTTGGCTTCTTCAAAAGCTATAGATCTTCTCGAGGATACACACATTGTACTACTGTATCATATAACATCCGTCTTTTGTTTCCATAAGCGTTTCCTCTCAGAATTACGCTGACGTGAATGCATGTTTCTGATACGAAATCTAATCAATTTATAGGTACGCTTTAATATGACATACTAACACATGACAGAGAATAAGAAACTAAATATTTGTTGTTTTGACATTCTGCTCTTCTGTCCGGGGCTGTCAAGTTGTCGAGAATTTTGTAGTTTCAGGATAGGGACGACTGAAGCTTCTGCGATCCTCAACTGTCTATTTTGCAAAATGAAGATCATAGCCCAGCCATTTACGGGCGTTGATCTGAGCTGTATCCAGTCCAGGCGTACCATAAGTGAGAGGAGCGAAAAACCACCAACCCCAAATTACGGCAGTCATAATCACTCCTGTCGCAATCCAAGCAGCCATGAGGCTTTGTTGACCTAAACGCTGCCGAACGGCGGAGTGGTGCCTTTCCGTCCCAGGGGAAGACTTTTTCTTTGCCTTTGCATCGCTGCTTAGGGACTGTGGAAAGTCGTTTTGTCCCGAGGATTCGATATTGAAAACAAATTCAACCAGGGCTCCAGTAACCAGAGTCGAGGCCAGGTGTGCAGGGAGGTAATGATGGAGGAAGAGCTGACGACCCATGATATAAAAGGGTATGTAGTGGGAAGCCCAGGCGATGAAGAAGAAGCCCGTTGAGTTATAGAGGTGGGATCGAGTCCCTGGACCCCACACTGAAATTAGAAATCTGTCAAACAGCCATATAAACGACGACGCAACATGGGCAACTTACGTTCATCTAATGCATCGATCCCTCTCCTTTGAGAGAGCTGATCCGCACCAACTATACCAACGAAGACAGCCAGCAAGCTGCTTGCAATCCACCAGCCAATTGGATTTCCGAGGAAATAGATTTGTTCCTTAGTGTCATTCTGGGTCCAGAAACTAACTCCCCTCAACAGGAATGGCCACTGCGTTGGGTTGCTCGCGTAGGGGTGATGGCTTGTCAAAGCATTATTGTGGAAAAACATTGCGCGTTGAAGCTCCAAATACTTCTTCCAAAACGGCATCGTCTTTACTTTACGCGGGGTTTTTACCGAGCGCTCACTATCGGAGGGGAGAGATGGAATATCCTCAGCGTACCAGATATTACTGGTTTGCTGAAGGTTTTTGTTACCATTGATCTCCGCCTGTTGGAAGGCCCACTCTGGCAAAGGAGTAGTATGTGTCCACATAGCAACCTTTGACGGAAAGTGCACGAGTTTGAATTGTCCCGACATCGTTTTAAACTCTTGTCCCTCGAATCCATTTTCGATTCTCAGCTCGAACAATGTATCATTGTGACGGTCGCCGTTGGCGTCCTCTAGAGAGACTGTCGTAAATTCCTGGTTGGTTGGATAATAGGGAGAAGCGACATCGTGACTGAGCAGAATCGAGTCTGTGCCCATGTGGCGCAGTTGGACAAGATCTCCGTGGTGGACATGGTGGCCGAGATCGCCATCGGAAAATTGCTCCGAAGGCAAAATCTGCCAATAGTTGTTCGTATCGTTATGGGGGTAGCCAGTCACCTGTTGTCCTTGACTGGAGATGCGGCCATCGTCATAGCGAAGGGGATATCTGTCCGGGTGGCTGTGGAGGTAGGTTTTCGTTTCCTTGTGCCTGATGGTTATTGTGTCGTAGTAGTCAATGCCGACTGACTGTAGAGTCATGATGTTATCGCTCAGAGTCTCCTGGAACTCGGGAGTCATGAAGTCGTCGCCAGGTCCTGATTTGGTGAGAATTGCAAAATGAACCTGAAACCAGAAGAGGTAGAAAAAGTATGGGACTACTGTGAGAGCAAAGAGACGAGCAAGGAAATGCTTTCCAAATTGCGGTAAGCTCAAGGCACCTTGCCTACGGTTGATATCAAGGAGGCCCCACAGGTCAGCGACGACGGCCGCACCAATAGTGACAAAGGTAAAAAGTCCGACATATTTTGTGGAAATAACACAACTCAGAGAGATGCCAGTGAGAAGGAGCCATTTCCACCATTTTCGGGTGAATGGAGTATAACGCAATTTGTAAAACCGAATGTAACATAGGATACTCAATGCCATGGAGAAGATCAACGTCGCATCGAGCAATATGAGTCTGGTCTGTCCAATCTGACCATTGTCGAAAAGTACTAAGCCGGCCGCGAGGACGGATGCGGGCAAGGAGTAGCCGGATTCCCACATAATTTGGAACACTGTCGTAACGGTCAAAGTACTCAGCAAGGCAGGTAAAGCTCTGAATGCGACGTAGGGCACCTTATTGGTGATGTACGAATCGCCGATGTTATCGAAGAGGAAGTGGCCGTCATATCCCACTAACCAACCGACAAAGGCGAAGAGAAGCTTTCCAAAGGGAGGGTGAACGTCAAAGAAGTATGTTCGTTGGAGATAGTATGAAGCAAACTACCATTGAGCTCATGTAAGCATTGCATTCACGATCGCCGGGACGAATCTCGAAAGAGCTTACCTTGCCGAAATGGACTTCGTCAAAGACGACTTCGTTCGGATGACCAAGGTTCCAAAATCTCGTTGCGAATGCCAAAGCGCTGATGAGAACCAAAGCAGCCTTGTAACCCCATCCAGATCGCTCCGGTTCTTTTGCAGACTGTATTGTTTTGTTTCCATGGTCCGCTGTCCCATTTCTTGGTGTTGAAGGGGTCGGGGTTGAGCCACGTTTTGACGATTGCCCACCACGATGCCTCACGGCCGATGGAGACGGGGAGGACATTGTGTACCTTTTCGTAATCGGCACAAAGCTAAGCTACTGCTTATTGCTAAGCAATTGGAAATTTCAGAATTAGCTTCATGTAGGTTCGTTGTAAAAGTGCAAAGGATTGAGGTTGAGGATGCAAAACAATGAAACACTCACGTCTTCACCCTTTTATGATCGTAAGTTCTTTTATACAAGATCGTGGAGGCCTCGAGAATCCCAGGGCCTCCGACGGTGAAATTGCACTGGGTGAACCCAAGCTTGCAGATGGCCAGATTGCAAGAAAGCTCCTGATGAGTTTCTGCCAAGGGATGACCCCAAAAGTGGCGGAATTACAACCCTCGCTTTCAAACGTGGCCCAAGCTCCCCTAGCCGCATGGCTCTCGGCAACTTGGGACGCAAATAGAAACATAAAGTTCGCCTGGGACTGCCATCACGAATTAATGATTGCCCTTTTCGTTGAAAGATTTTAATTGTTAGGTACTTTAATGAAAAAGATATCTTGTAAATGAGGAAGTATTGGCTCTGATCATATGACCTCAAACTGCGGTATATCGATTGCTTTGCAGAGTGGCAATAAAAAATTGCCATTTTAAAATGCGAAAACCCAAGATATTCAAATAAAATTGATACGACGTCTACAGAAAAAGCCTTGGTACTTTAGCCTCATCTACTGTATTTGCCTATACTTTAGTATTTCTGACCCTTTCTATGCTGACGTGACTATGAAAACCCGATCGTCATGATTTTATGATTTGTATCAAAGGACCAATCAGGGGAACCAAAAAAAAAGCAGACCATGAATAGATCATTGATGATCAAAAATGATGTAGTATAGCGTTTGACAGAAAACGTATGGGTACTGCGCCAGATTGAACCTTGACAATTAAAATTGAAGAAGAAGTGGAAAATCATCTAAAGGAGCGCTAACGCTTGCGGAATCATTTTCTTCTTGACCAGTATCGAACCAAATGCCCTCTATGTTATCGAGATTTGGCATGAATTGACTCAGAGGCGGACTAAGACTGAGAGAACGTGACTCTGCATACGTGAACATTTTCTCTTGCAGTAGCTCCAATCTCGGATTGCCACCTCCTCGAAATGACTTCAAGAACTGTCCTAAGTTTGAAAGAACCTCTCCGGGCCCGATTCGCATCAAATGAGCATGAAGAACGCTAGTAGGTCCACATATGAGAACATCCGCCAGCGATATTGCAACCTCTGTCAATTTCATTTCCTATAAGGAGAAGAGCAAATAGTTAAAAGGTAAAGATTTAAAAAATTTCGGTCATCGAGATACTCACCATTCCGAGACCATGCGCTTCCAATATTTCTCGCGGAAAATTGTTGAGATATGACACGACATTTCTCGCAACGCACTCCGGAAAGGCAAGATGCATTGCGTCATTGCTTTTCAATGCAGAGTTCAATGGAAAATTAAACATGACCGATTTCCACAGAACAATTCGCATCCACTGTTGGGTAACGAGGAAGTCTGCTTTGACAATCCCGTCGGCTGACTGGATTTGTGGGATTGCCTGCAATGCCGTGTCGTATTGGACGAAGAAATCGGATGTCTTGGTGTAGGGAAGAGTGTCCATGGCATGGCCAAAAGTGTGAAATAGTCGACATAGCGAAACAAAAGATACCAGCCTGGCTGCCTTGGGGCCCGGTCCTAACTGTGGAGGGGGAGGGCTCTTCTGTAAAAGTCGTGAAAGCCCAAAGCGAGTCGTGTGACCCCTGTTGAGACGTTCGAGATGAAAGGTTAGCAATTTGGAATTGGGGACGAGTCGTCGAGCAACAACGACTCACCTCTCTGTGATGAAGAGCAACCAGAGAATTCGACGTTGGAGCTGTGTATCAGATATCGCGGCCTCTTTCGAGGGCTGCTCATACTCTTCCAGACCCAGGAACTGAGCGAAGGTGATTGCCTCTCGAAGGAGGAGTGTTGCTTTACAGACTTGACCATGATTGGCGGAGAAAATATGCAAGAAGAAGGAGGTTAGAAGGACAGGAATAGAAGGCTGCTCTTGGTCCATGTATTTTGCCCTCGTCCGCTCCGACTCAACTGCTAGGCTCAGACCGTCATATCTCTCATGGCCGTCATGTGGTGGCTTGATATTGAGCTGCACAATCGTCACCGCACATAGGGCAACCGCTAGGGCATAGGTCTCCCAATCGTTGAAGTCATTAAGGCGTCTGGCTATCTCGTCTGTATCGATGACAGGCCACAGCGGGTACAATTTTTCATTATAAGCAGCCAAGAGGCTCAATAAGATAGACTGGGGGATCCGTGCATCTGGGAAGGTCGTTGAAGAACGTTGATTATAGGTAGGCTTTGAAACATGATCTTTCCGTCTCAAATTTTGTGGAGAAGGACGTCTCTTCAGAGCCCAAGGACCCTTAGGGCCAGGTTTGGCGGCTGGCCTTGCAACTCTGCAGGGAATGGACAATTCTTTGCATCGTTGGCAGGGAACTTCCCGGTTGCAGCGAATCTTCCTCGATGCACAGGCATCACAGGCCCGACCATGATTTCTGTGCATTTTGGCTTGGCTTTGTCTTTGCACCCTTTGCAACAGTCATGATTATTTGCTCTTGCAGAAGTTGAGAAGCTGTCGAAACAGACAAAGATGCAGCGGAGCGGATAGACTGAGGAATAGTCAGCATGTGGCTCTATATGCGCTTGCAATGATACAGGGAGAGACTGGCAAATAATAAGCTTCAGAGGGAGTTGACGCCATTTGACGCTAGTATTCACAATCATGCGAATCTGGCTGTCTACCGGGTAGCGAAACGCATTCCGTGGGCGATTCCCAGGTACACGGTTGACAGCCATACCTCCCCTACCTACCTTACCTACCGTAGTTTAATCTCCACTAAGCGGGGACCCTTATCAATAACGCAATCGCCAACCAAAGAGTTGTTTTGCTTTGGCTGGTCTTCGTATAGCACTTGCTACACGAGTATGCTCCGATATCAATGATATGTTTCTAATTTACTTCAGTGGGCCTCGCTTGATGCTACTTTTGCGTTGTAGTACTGCACTAAACTTCTAGTTGATCATCCCGACTACCACTCTGCAACAGTAATAATCTCCCCGCAAAAATTCTTCCGTGCTCCAGTTGATAAGGCAATTTTTGCAGCACCCCTAATCGTTGAAATAAGACCAGAAATGGATTTGGATTACATGCACTCCGCTTTCTTCACTTTCCGTAACACTTTTCATTCCATCTGACTCACGGCTTTGACTCGATGGCCGCCCCTAAAAATGTTCTTCTGGTCGTCGCCGATGACCTGGGCAAATCTCTGGGCTGTTATGGAGAGACGGCTATCCGTACGCCTCACATTGACGCGCTCGCCAAGGATGGCACGGTCTTCGATAATGCCTTTGCCAGCACGGCTTCCTGCAGTGGAAGCCGCTCGGTGATTTACACAGGCCTCCATACCCATGAGAATGGCCAGTACGGGCTCAACCACTATACGCACCACTTTATGACATTCGATCACATCCCAACGGCGCCCAAGCTTCTCCGTGACCATGGCTATCTTACCGGCATCGTCGGAAAGATCCATGTTGGCCCCTTGTCGGTGTATCCTTGGGAAGTAGTCAGGGAGAGCCCAACTCGGGACGTCACTTGGGTTGCAGAACAAGTGGATTCCTTTCTTCAACAGGCCAAACAGGAACAAAACCCATTCTTTTTAGCCGTGGGCTATATGGATCCTCATCGCGACTCTACACGTGGTGGCTTTGGCAATGGCGATGACCAAGTCGCGGCCGAGGACCCGGAATATCAACCTGAGAACGTCAAGGTTCCGGAATTCCTGAGCGACATCCCCGAAGTGCGCCAGGAACTAGCTGAATATTATCGCTCCATTGGCAGAGTAGACCGAGGACTCGGACTACTGATAGATTCCCTTGAAAAACATGAGTTTGATGACAATACATTAGTCATTTTTATGAGCGATAATGGCCCGCCTTTTCTGAATTCCAAGACGACTCTTTACGACGCCGGCATTCGCCTGCCCTTGATCATTCGTCAACCAAATGGCCCCAAGAACGTATTCAATCCGAACCTCATTTCTTTCGTTGACATTCTGCCGACAATTCTCGACTGGACTGGGTATCTTGAAAATACAAACGTTCCCTCCCGACGAAAGGGACGCTCGTTGCTCCCTATCCTCTCCGCGACTTCGGTTGCAGATAAAAGCTGGACAAAGGTCTTTGGGTCGCACACTTTCCACGAAATTACCAACTATTATCCAACCCGCTTCCTCCGCACTTCTCGCTACAAGTATCATCGGAATGTGGCTTGGAAATTGGATTTTCCGTTTTCGACCGATCTATATGCGTCGTTGTCATGGGAGGGCATTCGAAACCACGGCGAGCAAGTTAAAATTGGGAGCCGTCCGCTCAAGTCATACATTCAACGGCCGCCGGAAGAGCTCTACGACATGCAAGAAGATCCTCGCGAAGTCACTAATCTGGCCTCAGACCCGGAGTATAAGGACTTGTTGCGAGACCTAAGACGGCAATTGGAACAATGGCAACGAGACACTCAAGATCCTTGGTTGGTCCGAGATGGGGTTTCATTGCACGAAATGCAGGGTCATATTGACGCGGGACTGAAGATTCCCGACCGGTTTGATTTTGATGTCCACGCCCCCGGCTCTCGAACCTAAATGAGTTTTAATAATGATCAAAAATAATACCCGATGAGATTGGGCTCATTGCAATTGGCAAGCGATGGCTCTATCTTTTTGTACAATGTCTTGTATGCCTTCCTGTACATACAATCCCACGAAAAACCAGTGGTTTCCAAAAATTTTATAAAATGGAATTTATTCACAGGCCGTTCTCAAACATGTGGATCTGTGTCTAAACGCATGTTGAATTTTCTCTTGTGCCTTTAGACCAACTAATTTGAGCCCATTTTGTATAGCTATGTAAAATGTATAGAAAACATACACCACAAAAAAGAAGAAGAAAAAAAGAAGGGAAAAGTTGGCCCTACTTCTTTCCAGAGCCTTGAGAGACCCTTTTATGAAACGCGACCACGACAATACAGATCCAGGCGGCAAGATTCCAGAAAGGGAAGAAAAGAAGGACCCACTGAATGGCCAGAATGACCTAATCCCTGTTCGGCGCATAGATGATCAAGGTTCGCCGAAGCCATTTACATGGCTAGAAAAATCTCTCCGTTTCATAGACCTAAGGATTTGCAATTATAAAAATGGGAAGTTTCAATATGAAAAAGACGCATGAGTTACTCATTGGAAGGATGACAGTGCCATTAGGCTCATGCACGTGGCGCTTGTCAAGAATGGCGAGGTCTGGATTTTGCATGGTTTGCCGATCAGTGCGTCGCCAGCGTCAGCGGGGAGATTCTTATCTCCAAAATCTCTCCGCTACACGGCTCGACGCCCATCGTCTCCATTGTTAGCCCCCCTTCGCTTGTCAATATATTCAATTAAGTGTATTGTGCAATTCCTGGGGAAGATCACGAAAATGCTTCAGAGAATTGTATATATATTGAATTTAAAGTATGCAAACGTCTTTCAGGATGGCAAGGATCAGCGTTCTCAAAGGCAGCAGCAGCAATGGCTCCAAGCTTTCTTCCGAAGAATAGGTTTTCCCAGCACTTGACACCGAGATTAGGGGCCGCGATTGCCTTGATCGCCCTGTCCACTTTGAATTATGGCTTCGACAACCAAGGAATTGCGACGAGCCAGGCAATGGCAGCGTACAAAAAGCAATTTGGAGTGTATAATCCAAAGACCAAAACATGGGCTATTCCGACATATTGGACCTCGCTTTTGAATAGTTTGAACTTTATCGGTTTTGCAGTCGGTACGTTTTGAAATTTACAAGAAAAATTTGAGAAAGACACGGTCTGATGATTTGGCCAAATTTTAGGACTCTATCTGGGTAGCTTGATTAGTGCTCGATATGGGCGCAGAATGTCAATGTTTTGCATGTCAATCTGGGCAATGATGTCGGCGACGGTTCTCATTACTTCATCTACGATCGAGCAGGTGCTCGCCGGTCGTATTTTAAACTATGCGTATGTTGGCATGGAACTGTCAACATGCCCGCTCTTTCAGGCCGAAATTGTCCCTGCGCCTATTCGTGGAATGGCCGTTGGCACCTATCAAGCAAGTCTGCTGCTTGGCGGAATTATTATTAACAGCGTCTGTCGCGGCACGAGCGAGATTCAATCTAACGCTGCATGGAGAATTCCTCAGGGCCTCTTTTACATTGTCCCTACCATTGTCGCTTCGGGCGTGTGGTTCATCCCCGAGTCGCCAAGATGGTTGTTGGTAAAGGGCCGTCCTGAAGCCGCATTGGAGTCGCTTCGATTGCTGCGTGGCGCCAGGCCCGATTATGACCCCGAGGAAGACCTTGAGAATCTGAAGATCTCGTTGAGTGAGGAGCAGAATCAGGGCTCCTACAGGGATTTGTTTCGGGGAAGCAACCGGAAACGGACTTTTATTGCGATGGGAATGAACTTCTTTATGCAGGCAACGGGCTCTCCATTTACAGCGGCATATGGAACTTTATTCGTGCAATCCCTCAACTCGCTGAACCCATTCGATTTTTCCATTATGAGCTCCTGCATCAACACAGTTTCAAGTTTGGTCGCCATCTTCATCACGGATAAGGTCGGACGGCGACCCATTCTAATGATTGGGTCGTTTCTGCAGATTGTTTGGCTCTTCACCATGGGTGGCGTGGGAACGATTGCTTCTCCAACCGCTGCACAGAAGCAGGTTATTGTTGCTGCCACTGCATTGTCCTCGGCTAGTCTATGCTTCAGTTGGGACCCGCTCAATTACATTGTGACGACGGAACTTCCTGCTCTGCAGTTGCGCGACAAGACTCAGCGTGTAGCGTCTATCGTGTCAATTGTCACCAAGTAAGTGCTTCATCCTTTGCGCTCGTGATGCAAAAATTCCAGGGAAAGGAAAAAAAAAGGAAAGAACTAACATATTGAGCAGCTTTGCCTGGTCATTCAGCGTTCCGTACCTGCTCAACGCTCCCTATGCAAATTTGCATTCGAAAGTCGGATTCATCTTTGGAGCTCTAGCGTGCCTTTCGCTAGTGTTTGCTTATTTCTGCGTCCCAGAGATGCGTGGCAGATCCCTGGAAGAAATCAACCAGTTGTTCCAGGACGGAGTTTCCATTCGAGACTTTGGAAAAGCGCCAAGGGTAAAAGCCGAGGAAGATGAAGTCCAGGAGCTGCCAGTCGTCGATAAATCTGGTAACTAACATATTATGGAGTCATTTTTATGGGATAGGATTTATTTGATATATGGCGAATTCGTTTAATAGATGGGATATGGGTTAAAATCATGCGGAGGGTGCTTGCATGGAGGTCGGCGACTGAAAGAATTAGATGCTTCGATTAGAATGTGGCTTTTTTAATTTTCCTTTAATTGCACACGAGATAAGCCCGCTCTAGAGAAAAAGTTGAATTGCAATTGACATACCTTAAGGCAAAGCAGTCATGTCCCATTGCTACAACTCGAGGCCTGTAGGCATTAGTCAGCAGGAAGCAGCTTTGTGCTCGAAGAAATGATTTGTATTTCTTCTTACCGGATGGTCATCTTTCCGAACGACTGATTGCCTAATAAATGCCACTATAATAGCTGCGTACAAGGGCATCCTTGTACAAAGAAGGAGATAATTCCCCTCTCTCCATTCCGGCGAGAATCCGTCTGGATGAGAAAAGGACGCTAAAACGGAATGCATGCCGGTAACCAATCTAATCAGATGATCTTCCCCACCTGGGTAGGGTCATTAGAGAAGTTGGGGCTACGGTAGTAGTTAGTGTGATGGATGGAACCAATAAACAGCGGTGTCACTCCAGCACCAATCTCCTTCAAATATTAGCACCTCCTCACGATCAAACTGAATGCTTTACTATTGGGGAGTAAGCTCCGAATGTGGGATCAGTCAATATGTACCTCAACCAATTCCGATGCCATCCGAGAAAACTTTTCTCTCTGCTGTCAATCCGCCCCACCTGGTGGGCTGAATACGAGGCGCAAGAAAGTTATCAGATTTTCTCAGACAGTGGGTCATCTCAAGACCGCCAACAAATGAAACTTCGATGGCTACTCTGATGGAGCTTCGCTTAGCAATAAATGACACTATATGTCAGTTAGCAAGGCGGGAAGACACGCCGTCTGCTCGGTCCTACCGAAGTAGCACATGGTCATGACATTCGCTCGTCCTGACTAGGCCGACTTTGGGGGTTTATCAATCAGTGCATCAGCCGGGCATGACCGTGAAGTGTGATTTATTAGGGCAGAGATCCCCAGTGCGTGCTTTGTTCATGTCTCTCCAATCTACTTTTCCTCTTTTTTGGGTTCAACGAGAATGGGTCTTCGGACACCCTTTCACCGTAAGACAACGGACGATGCAGTCACTACGGTCGATGTAGACAAGAACGATGATATCAAACAAGACCCTGCCACGGACGGTGCCGCTGCTGAACGCAATGGCGCCGGCAGCGAGGAACGACAAATGGAGATTTCTGAGGAAGAACTTCAGCGTGGTGTTCAGGATATCGAGGCCATGACTCAGAACTGGTCCAAGTGGTCGTTGCTTGCAGTCTTTTTGAAGTATGCTTTTCTTTCCCGGTTGCCGACCAAGCGTATGGGCGTACACCCATCTAACATGACTGCTCGACAGCATCTGGATGCTGTACTTTACAAATGCATTTCAAAGTTCGATCCTCTACAGCTTGATCCCTTATATCGCGAGTCAATGGCAATCGCACTCTCTGTTGAACACCATTTATATTGTCGCTGATGCTATCACGGCTGCTTGCTACGTCCCTCTTGGCAAAATCATGGATCTGTGGGGGCGAGCAGAAGGCTTCCTTTTCATGACGGTCTGCGCTACTGTGGGCTTGATCATGATGGCGGCATGCAATAACCTTGCCACTTTCTGTGCTGCATATGTGAGACTGCCACGGAAAGGTAGCCCCAAAGATTTTCACTTTCGCAGCTAATCACTCTTTGCCCAGGTGTTTTACTCGCTTGGATTTGGCGGTATGACATATTGTGTGGATGTGATCACGGCCGATGCATCCATGCTGAAAAGTAGAGGCTTGGCGTACGCTTTCACTTCCTCACCGTACATCATCACAGCCTTTGCTGGACCGAAAGCAGCTGATGACGCTCTGGGTTCAAACGGTATCGGCATGCGATGGCCTTTCGGCATCTTCTCAATCATATTTCCCATCGTGGCTGCCCCTCTATATTGCGTTTTGAAGTACAACGTTCGCCAGGCTGTGAAGGCTGGCCATGTGGTCAAGGAAAGGAGTGGCCGGAATGTATTCCAGAGCATCTGGTTTTATATTATCGAGTTTGATGGTAAGCAAAAATAGTCTCCAAGATCTACTGGGTGCAAAACACTTACTTTGAAAAGCTGCCGGTGTCATCTTCTTCTCTGCCGGTCTCGTTTTGTTTTTCCTTCCATTTGATATTGCTGGTAGCGCTCCTAGCAGCTGGGACACACCCTACATAATTGTTATGCTTGTGGTTGGGTTCGTCTTGCTCATCGTATTTATTCTTTGGGAGACCTTCGTGGCCCCCAAGCCTTTACTTCAATTCGGCTTCCTATACAACCGGACTGTTATCGGCGCATGCTTGTTGGATGCAACATATCAGCTTTGCTATTACTGCTGGAACAATTACTTTCCTTCTTTCTTACAGGTGGTAAATGACCTGACCGTGGCCGAGGCCGGATATGTTGGCAACACCTTTGACGTGGTGTCTGGCGTCTTGCTGCTGATTGTCGGTGCCTTGATTCGAAAGACTGGCCGTTTCAAGTGGCTTTTGTGGGTTGCCATTCCACTCTACATCTTTGCGCAGGGATTGATGATCTACTTCCGTCGCCCTAACCAATCTGTCGGGTACCTTGTCATGTGCCAGGTCTTCATCTCCATCGGTGGAAGTGTTTTTATTATCGTTGAACAGCTCTCTATCTTGGCCGCCGTCAATCACCAGCACGTGGCTTCTGTGCTTGCTCTGCTCAATGTCGTCGGCACCGTTGGCGATGCCATGGGTGCTACTATCTCCAGTGCAATTTGGCAAAACACTTACCCACATGCTCTGAAGATGTATCTCCCCGAGTCAGCCATGTCAAACTTTGAAGACATCTACGAACAGCTTGATACTCAGATGAGTTATCTAAAAGGGAGTCCCACCAGGCTTGCAATCCAGCGTGCCTATGCCTATGCCCAGACAAGAATGCTTGCTGTTGGAACCGGTATCATGGTTCTCGCTTTCATTTGGACCATGATGATTAGGAACATTGACCTAAAGAAGGTTCCCCAAGTCAAGGGCATGGTCTTCTAAATTGTGAGAAGGGTTGATTTCATTGCCACTTTATGTTGACTCTATTCCTTGTCTCAGTCGTCTGCTGGGGGCCGTGGGCGCCGGAAGTCTACTCAATTCAGATATATTTAACCCATGACTTGATCTATAGTATCTTATCTAGTTTCATCCTGACTTGAGCAACTACCTAGTATACAGAATAGCCGCTATATCAAGGACTTAGAAAATGAATACATTCACATTGAGTTTTGTTTTGTTCCCACTAAACAGGCAGTGGTTTCGAGATCAAATTCTCCGCCTTTTATTACTATCATATGGTTTTTATTCTCGATTACCACCCTCCACTATGTAGCTACATTGCTACTACGGATGGTGGCTTCCAGCGGGAACACTGAGTTCTCAACTGTCACACCTGCATAAACCCGATCAAATCGCTCCTTCAGGTGTAATGCTTTTGTCCATTCATACTCGGGATCACGCAGCCAAAGTCGGAGAAGGTGGCGTCTACAGACTGGCATTAGCTCTCTCCCCCGGCTAGAAATCGATGTCAGTACACTTACTGTTTCTTACTGGAGTCAGTAAATGCCCCTCTGGCATGCAGAATGCTCAAGTTATTGGCGAACTGGATGTCGCCTTTGTGAAAGTCTAGCGAAATAGCTTCCCTCTCAGCCGTAAAATGAACGGCATCTAGGGCCTCTGCTTGGGCTTCGGTAAGTGGTGGAATGTTGGCCGACCGCTTGCAGTCCATGTAACCAGTCAAGTTCCTTCGGGAGTATTGGATGATAAGTCGCTCAGGGTCTGCGTCTGTAGCAGGCTGGTAGTATAGCAGGGGCCGCAGCTTGTATTGGTCACCGGCCGGAGCAAAACTGGACAAGTGTTATATCGTTAGTCCTTTCATAGCTATTTCGATGTAGTAGAATTTGGTCTTGGGTACGCGGTAAGCTTACTCGTCAAAAGGCCAAGGCTCGGAGAGCGTCTTGATCAAATCAGGGCGCGTAGCAGCAAGTACGTTATAAACATGGCAGGTACTTGCAAGATAGCTCTCACCACCCGATTCACTTTCGCTCAAACAGAAGAGAGCAATAACATCGCCAGCATCAGTGTGGAACACCTGCTTATCGGCAGTCACCACAGGACCAGGGATGTCCTTAGAGTTGCTTGACTGACTCAGATCCTTAACATGAGCAACAAGGACATCGGCTGGTCTGCCTTGCCATTTGTTGTCTTGGCGACCACGAATAGGAGCAACATGTGACGAGAGGCCGGCGTAAATGATAACATTCTCTTCGCGGGTGTAGCTGTCTACAGGAAGACCGCGGATCACTTTGAAACCACGGCCATTATGGACCTCGTTGGAGATTTCACGCAATACCGCATGCAACTTGGGCAAGGGAAACGTGTCTGGGGAAAGCTCACCCATCGGCTTGTTCAACACTATTGAGAAGTTAAAAACTATCCGTAAACGTGGCCTTTTTTTGTTGGGAGGGCGGATGTAGATTCAAGCATACACTTAAAGTGTCGAAGAGCATTGTTGATCTCATCGAGGTCCTCGGCCGTCAGTTGGTAATTCCAGTCGTACTTGTTGACTAAGGAATTGGCATCCCAAACAAGATCGCCAGATAAACTAGAGGGAAAGCCCTTGGGAAGCTGCTTATCGAGCTTCTCGTTTTCTTGTCTGCGCTTGCCGCGTGCCAGATATTTGTCATAATTGGGCATGTACCCAATGTCGGCATGTCCATTAGGATATGAAAAAGTCATATTGACATTGCATAAAGGAGTGATAATCTCCTAATTTGACAGAGAAAAGAACAGATCAGAGACATATATATAGACATGATATGCTGCTTCCAGCTTTTGTATTCAGACTCTATTTCGAAGATGACTATTAACATAAGTACAACGATGTTGCAATCTAACATTCAGATTGCGAAATCGTTTCACGCAAACCATTAGAAAACTTTTTCTTCTTTCCATACCAATGGATAATGAACGGCGGGGTAATAAAAAACAAGGGAAACTTTTGGAACGTGTCGACGGCGTCGGAGTCGGCGTCGGAGTGGCAGTCGGAGTGGCAGTCGGAATAAATATCGGAGTGTCAGGCCCCGCTAAGCCCAAAGTAGGGTCAATCGACTCAACTCCGATCGGAATTGCTTATACAGTACGAAAAAAAGGTAAAATCTTCAAACTACGGCATTTCCGATCTATGTGAATGTACATAATGCCGACTCTGAACTCGAACCGCCTGACGTCAAGGTCCGGCAAGCTTCCCGCATGTGACCCATGTCGGGCAATGAAGCTGCGATGCGACCATGGGAGACCGGCTTGTTCGAGATGTAGGGAAAGAGGCAGAACTGCTGACTGTGCATATCGGGCGAGACCATTCAGAAGACCCTTTGGTCGGACTTCAGACGAGCAGAAGCAAGTGAACCCCAGTCTCGAATGGCACTCTGTGCGTGGCTAGTGTTGTGTGGCATCATATTAACAATATCAACACCGTTTTAGGCCCAGAGAAGATGAAGCAAGCTCTGTGGTGCCAAGTCCGGGACTTTCCAGAGATCCGGTAGTCCCATCCGTTCAATATCCCAACCCGGGCTATTTAGGATCGTCTAGCCATACGACACTCTTCAATCAGCTACAGCTTCCAATAGATACAGAATCTGGTGTTTCGAGTCGAGAGACCGAGTATACCTCAACCGCACAGACGGATTATGTAGTTAATGATACCTGCATCTCAAGGGGCGCAGAGCTTATCCTCGAACTGCATCGTGTATCTTTGATCCAGCCGTTCGCCCAGCTCTTCAAGAAATGGGAAAGCACAGGAACAAATCTTGCTCTAGCCGGTCCCTTCACCGGGCCTTGTGCATCCACAGCTGTACACACACTGTCACAATGTGATGGAACACTTACAACTGCCACAGCCATTTCCAGGAACCTCTTTTATCGTTCCCGTCGTCCTATATCCTTCAGTTCAGATACAACATTTGATGAATACTGTATTAACTTCTCTGGACGAAACGCTCGATGGGAAACTTTTGGACTCTTCTTCACTGCCGTTTGTCGAGCCTCTGTAGACCTGGCTTATGCAGAACCTCTCTATGGCTCGGAGCAACAACGCCGTAAAATCCAAAAATTGACACTCTCATACTCAGACCAATGCTTAGACCTTTGTCTACCGCTGGATTGTATGAATGATTTGCAACTTTTTCTCCAATATGAGAATTTTATCTCTCATTCGCAGGTTGATGGTGATCAGAGTAAGTGATTTTCGTCTTAGAAGCTATGCAATTCGAAATACCAAGAATTTATTCCAGGCTACCTCTCTTGGCGGAAACTGGGAGACGTAGCAGCCTCCCTATTCGCTCTTGGCTACCACCAACAACAAACAGAGTCATTTCGCGCTACCCCTCACTTCCTTCGTGATCTTCGCCAAAGAGCTTTTTGTCGGACATACTCAGCAGATAAAAATGTGTCAATATTTCTCGGAAGACCACCTCGAATCATACGCAAGTTTTGTCGCTTTTATCTTCCAGGGAAACATCCACAGGACACCCAGGAAGCGTCTCGCAAGCCAGCAGTCTGGGACTTTGCTGAAAAGCCGGATTTCATCACGGACTCCAGGTGGGCCGCTCTTTGTGCAATATTAAAGGAGGATATATTGGATTTGTTTACCGAGGAAAACTATGACGAAAGGGTCCGACAGGCACGGTACGTGGTATTGATTCCTATGCTTCTGGTTTAGCTTACGACTGACGCTATTATCAAGGCTTATAGATGATGATGCCCATGCTCAATGGAATGCTGTCCCTAATATCTATCGTCTTGAGTGTAGTCTCAAGGCTTGTGACCGTCGACCAGTGGAGCGTGACTTGATGGTCAATATGAAGCTCAATTATCTTCATGTACAATTTCTTTTACGGCTGGCATTACTCCGCCCTATTACCACGGATCCGGATCAAGAACTAATTCGTATTTCTACGGACATGCTTGGTCTTGTTGTAGAGACAATTATGCTCAAGGACCAGATCATCAATTCTGGCACATCGTTAGTCTGGAAGGTAAGTCAGGGACCTACACATTGGAATGAATTAACTCATCCATATTTTAAAATTCAAGGTTGCATACTATGGCTTATCAGCCGCTGGGCTGATATCCCTAACCCTTATAAACCGATCCTTTGCTACAGAGACCCTTTACAGTAGTATATCCAAAGTGTTCCAAGACCTGAGCATCCTGGTAGGAGAGATTGAATGTGGAACACTAGTTTATGTTGACTCACCCAATTATGCCCTACTGGCTCGTGCCTCTGAAACAATTAAGAGTCTCCTGGACCGCATAATGTCCCCTTTATGCAACATGACAACAGCTTTGGGCAATCAACCAGATATGCAAGTAGAGTCCGACCAGATGACTACTTCGGAAGATGGCACCTGGGGGCTGTGGGACAGCAACAGTCTCCAAGATTTTGAAATCAACTTCTGGCACAATCTTGCTGTCCATCCTTTTCTTAGTCATTAGACGGAAAAAGTCTATAGAAGAACAGTTTATTAGATCAAGCATTAGTCAATTAGCATGACTCATGTCATTAAGTACCAATGTTTTTCCAACTTAGCACCGACCTACACTACGGAGCTCATGTAGTCACCTGCAAGAGAACCCTACTGAAGGTAGATTTACACATACGTTCTTTTGTTTTATTATAAGCCATGGGATGAGCCGATAGATTCGTCTGGCCCTCACCTTCTGGACAGTATAAGTACATTAAATAGCATGCCGGTTTCTACATCAGCACCGTTAGCTCATGCTTTACACAATCAAACAAATCTATATAGTCAAAACATTGAGATAATAATCAATGACATTCATTAAATCAGTCATCGCTCAATGGACCCACTAAATTCGTTGATAAGCACAGGGATGCTCTAGAAATAAAATTAAAAAAGGGAGAAGAGAGAGCCTATACGCGACTTCCGACCAACTGCTTCGATACTTCCGTCGCAGACCGCTCGCCGCTGCGCACCGCGCCCTCCATGAAACCTTTCCACTCGACAGAAGTCTCTGTGCCGGAGAAGTGAACGTTCCAGAAGGGCTCGCGGAGTGCATCCCCCGCTGCAGACAGAACTCCCGGAGGTAGAGAGGGGCAGGGGCAGCCAAAGCCAGAGTACTGCTCTGCGGTCCAGTCGTGCCAGACTGTGGTCAGGTACTCGCTGAGAACGCGGGTCTTGTCGCTGTACATCAGCCCGATCTGCTCGAGCAGTGAATCCGTTCTAATTTTATCGTCCTGCTGAGACCACGTTCGACCCGTATCACCGCACAGGAAGCAGGTCAGAATCCAGGCATCGTCTTCCGGGGAGCTGCAGTCCCTAATGATAGAGGCAGGACCTGTGAAAGATTGAGCAAGTCCGCAGAAGCCCTTCTCTGCCCAAAAGGGATTTTTGAAAACAAGCATGGCTTTCGTGAAGTATCCATAGGTGTACGAGTCGACTAGCAACTGCTTGCGTGCTGGAAGCGTAGGGGTGAACTGAATGCCGCGAAGAACGGGACTGGGAACCGTGGAAATGACCTTGGACGCTTGGAAGATTCGATTACCGGTTTGGACGTACACACGGTTTGGGTATGATTGGTTCACTGCTGTCACAGGGGAGGAAAGAAGGATGTTTTTTGAGGGGAGAGACGCAGCTAGGCCTTTGCAGATGGACTGGGTTCCCTGGCGAATGCGCAGATACTGGCCCCCGCCAACGCGGTCGGAGCGCATCTGGAGGAGTCCGCCGCCGGCTTTGCAGTGGTGGAGGAAGTAGAGGGCTGATATGTCCTGGGGCTCTTGGCCCAGCATGGCACGGGACCAGATTGACGCAGACGCAATGGCGGTTTCGCTTGCATTGCGGCTGCAGAGGTAGGCGAGGAAGGTCATAGCATCGTGGATAGGGTTTTGAGGATTAGCAGAGTCGAGCTGCTGACAGTCTGCTTCGACAAGATCCCGAATTTCGCCGAGGTGCTTTTGTGTTTCGGTGTCAAACTGGGCGGTGGTTAGTTCAAGAGGATCGGATGACAGGAAGGCAGAAGACCGATAGCTTACGGGAAGCCCGCCGTACGCAAAGACGTGGCTGCTGCCGGCCTTATCCTGCGCGAGGCAGTTGCCACTAGTGTTCTGCGTGATGAACTCGACTTCAAAACGCCTGGCCAGCTTGGAGACTTTGCTCTGGTTGGTGTTGTTTAGCCAGGAGGCTCCGATATCGACAATGCCTTTCCCGTGGGACAAAGAGGCGCTCCACGTGCGGCCTCCGACGCGGTCACGGGCCTCAAGGACAAGGCATGAGAGTCCGGCTTGAATGAGTTGATCGGCTGCCGTGAGACCGGACAGACCAGCGCCGAGGACGATGACATCCCACGCCTTCTGGTCGACAGTGGGCAGTGGCTGCGGGATGGAATGGGAGATGGCAACTTCAGCGTCGAGGAGGAATTGCCATCCGGGCTCCGCCAATTGAGTCACCGGGACAAGGTTGATAATGGGATTATGCCCGCGCAGGAAACGGTGGAGGTGGCGGGTGTGTTGGAGCTCTCGGCGATTATAGTTGACAATGTAAAGGGTCAGGCGGGCGATACCCACGATGGAGCCACCGGCAGCTAATAGAGCCCGGTGAAGGTCCAAAAGCGAGAGAAGGACCTGAGAGTCAAAGTCTGCAGGGACCTCATTCGAAACGGGAGAGCGTGGTTGCCCAGAAACGTGTATCAGACCCATCGGGGCAGTCCCCAACGGCGCTGATGCAATTGCATTCACTGGGGGAGCCATTACCAGTGATTAACTGCTTGGTCGAGACATGAAAGCTAAAACAAAGATTACAATTGCTTGGCCGGCATGATGATGGCTTAGGGTCAGTCCTCCTACCTAGCAGTCACATTGTGTTTTATTTTATTTTATATACTATATTTGCAAATTTTCTCCCCTCCATTTTTAAACCTTTTTTCTTCCAAAACATATATAATTAGATAACGTACCTTGTATAACTGACATAAAATGGGACTTCGGAGTTGGAGATATCGGAGTCGGGATGTGGGGCGAGAACCAGAGAGGAAGAAGCGGGTTGCTCACTTGCCCGACAGCAGTCTGGCTTCAGCGGTGATATTTTGACCCACAACCCGTCCCCTATACACCTCCTGTTTGGCCAATTGCTCCTTTCTCTCAAATGATGTGATATCTGGCTTGGAGCTCCTCATTTATAGATTATCAAATTACATACCTGAGCATAGAACAGCTATCTATTTACAATTTGACAATAAGAAGACTCAAAGATGACCGAAGACTACCTTACTCGAACATCAGTCTCAAAAGGCCGCTGCATTCTCTCCACTTCACGACATGCCACTAGATTCTGCTGAGAAACAGCTGCCTTTGGGTGGGACGTCCAGGGCCTCTTTTGACCTTCCTGTTAATGCAGAAACCGAAAATGTCAGCGCCGACCGACTGGCGCGCAAGCTATCCCCTCGCCAGGTCCAGATGATTGCAATCGGTGGCACGATAGGAACGGGATTATATCTCGGAACCGGTAGGGCATTAGCCACTGGCGGTCCAGCGTCAATGCTACTGGCCTATACAATCTGTGGTGGGATTGTCTTTGTCACCATGTTGAGCCTGGGAGAAATGGTGGCATTCGTTCCTGTAACAGGCTCATTCTGTACATTTGCGGGGTAAGCTTCACCTCGCGGTAGCAAGATCCAACCTTTCTCTAACTATCTCAGACGTTTTGTGGACGAAGCTCTAGGATTTGCATTGACATGGAACTACTGGGCTAATGATGCAGTCTCCACTGCTTCAGATGTTATAGCACTGCAGATTTTGCTAGAGTACTGGACCGAGCATTTCCCCGGCTGGGCTCTCAGTCTTATCTGCCTCGCGTTTGTTCTTTGCTTGAATCTCTGCTCTGTGAGAATCTACGGAGAGGCAAGTACATTGAATGCAAGGCCGCGCAAGTGACATCTAACAAGATTTTAGACTGAGTACTGGCTGTGTTTGCTCAAGGTTGTGACCATTATAGTAAGTTTGCTGCTATCATCCCACTTATGTGTGCGGCATTTCTCATAAATCTCAGGTCTTCATTATTGTTGGCATTGTTGTGAACTGTGGTGCCAATACCCAACATACATATTTTGGTGACAAATATTTCTATGTGGATGATGCACCCTTTGTTGGTGGGATTGGGGGCTTTGCCTCTGTTTTTGTCACAGCGTCTTTTGCATAGTAAGATGCAAACCCACTACAACATTCAACTGCTGTTCCTAACTGTTGGGCAGCGGCGGAACAGAAAACGTTGCAGTCACTGCCGGCGAGACGAAGAATCCAGCGCGGACTTATCCCCGTGTCATCCGCAACGTCTTCTGGAGGATTCTCCTTTTCTACGTGGTGTCAATCATCATCATCGGTCTCGACGTACCATATAACCATTCCAATCTTTCCAGCGAAAAATCATCTACCAGCCCCTTTACGATTGTCTTTTCCGAAGCCGGTAGCGCCGTGGCAGGGAGTTTTATCAACGCCGTGATCATGACAAGCGCAATCTCGGCAGCCAATCACGCCCTCTTCGGGGGATCAAGGCTTCTCTACACTTTAGCTATAGAAGGATATGCCCCACGTCAACTTGGACTCATCAACCGCTTCCAAATTCCGTGGGTAGCGGTTCTTGCCACGGCGACTATCAGCGCACTCTGCTTCGGGGCTAGCAAAATCGGTACCGGTCAGCTCTGGTCCTGGTTGCAGAACCTAGTCGGAGTCTCCAACCAGCTCTCTTGGATGTGTATCTGTATTGCCTCACTCCGATTTCGTGCCGCCATTCGTCGTCAAAACCTGGAGCATCTGCTCCCTTTCAAAAACTTTACATACCCGGTAGGCCCGGCACTAGCAGTCGGGTTGAATATTTTCCTTGTTCTCATTCAGGGCTGGTCCTGCTTTAGCCCGAAGTTTGATGTGGTCAGTTTCGTGTCATACTATATCGAGATTCCGATTATGCTAGCCATGTTCTTGGGCTGGAAACTCTACAAAAATACTAAAATCGTTCCCCTCGATGAGATGGATCTGATCACGGACAGATATCAGCTTGAGACTCAAGGAGAGATTCTTCCGGACTTGCATGGTCTCGACACCACTCGGACGAGTAGCTGGTTTGATAATATACCAGGAATGAGAATGTTAAAAAGCATCGAAAATTGGATAATTTGAAGGTTCTGGCATGTACATAATAAATTGAAGGCTAGAAATGTGTGTTTGACTTGCAAGCGACCTACGACCAGCTGTGCATGACATGTAAATTGGACCCAGGGCTCTACAAATGTAACGCTTGCCAAAGCAGACCCTCTTTGTTAAGGGATGGTGAAAAGGTCTCACGAGCACGGCCCATCAACCGTCAATTTTAACGATTACGAGGAAAGAAAACGGAATTGGTAGACAAGAAGATCGAGTGGCAGCGACCAGAAAGTCATCTGGCTAGATGCTGACCGAAAATTAGTAGTATACCAGCTACATCTGCAATGTAGAGCATACCGAGGGAACATGTAACAATCTGCATTTTGCATTTTCAACAAATTCTAATAGAATAGCCTCGAAAATGTGGTCGTGAAGACTAGTGCTGCTAGTGTCGGGATACGATCAATGTCCAATCGGCGTGAAGCTTGACTCCGAAGCCCCACCATAGCACAACACCGGACCAATAATATAACGAGTAAGTACTGCCGAGAGCTGCCGACTCGCAATGGTTCATCTATCAAAATGCCAACGGGATAGGCAAAAACGAACCTATTCCAACGAATACACTATAGAGGCATGTTCTGAATGTATTTCTTTACTAACATAGCAGAGTATTCATATACAATACACCAGTCATTATCTAGCCGGCTGTTACAGGGTAGAAAAAGGAGAATAAGCCTGAGAAATGTCAGGCTAAATCAAAGTTCTACTCTAGAGAGAAATACTAATATTTCCAAGTAAGGTTACTACGTCGAGGCAGACCTAGCTATATCTTGATTTGTGTTCTATAATGTTATGTACGGTTTATCTACTTCTCACCTGCCTGAAGGTACTGCTACTCTAGTATAAACGATGATAAATATTATTAATCATACAAAAAGCAGGGCAAGAAGAATGACAAATGATCTAAACTCCGATAGGGCCAGAGGTGCAGAGCTTAGGACAATCCGGCAATGATAAGGAATGATAAGGTATCATAGCAAGCCTTAGTGCCTGTATATACTAGAGATAACCCTGGATATAAAAGGTAGTGATGCATTCATATCATTTCCGGTGAGACCGTATATCTTATTTCCGAACATATACCATTACCAAAGTCATTTGGTAGTACTTAATTACATTTAAATTCCTCATAAAAATGTTACTCATTTCAGATTCTCTTGTCCCGGCCTCCCCGACAGATGAATACTACGACCTGGGAGCATACAGCCGCTCAATCAGCGCCGCGAATGAGGCAGCGAAAGTCTGGTTCAATCGTGGCCTCATCTGGAGTTATTCATTCAATCACGCCGAAGCTTACCGATGTTTCGAGCAAGCGATCGTACATGATCCAATCTGTGCCATGGCCTACTGGGGGTTAGCCTACGCCGCAGGACCAAACTACAATAAGGCATGGCGGATGTTTGATCCGGTCGATCTCGAGCGCAGCATGAAGATCTGCCACGATGCTGCGCGCTACGCTCTAAGCCTCTGCCACACCAGCCCGACGACGCCTGTCGAGCGTGCCCTGATCGAGGCAATGCAGGCGCGGTTCCCTGTCGATCATCCTGTTGAAGATTTCTCACTCTTGGACCAAGCGTACGCTCAGGCCATGAAAAGGGTCTACGACCAGTTCGGTTCCGACGATCTAGATGTGGTGACACTATATGTGGACGCCCGGATGCACACAAGCCAGCGCAAGATGTTCCACCTCAAGACCGGCCTTCCTATCGAATCATCACCAGTCGAAGAAGTGAAACAGCTGTTCAAAATTGGACTACAACACCCAGGCGGAGAGGAACACCCAGGCCTGATCCATTTTTCCGTTCACTTTTGGGAGATGTCCGCCACACCCGCCGTTGCACTCCCGGCTGCCGATCTTCTTAGGCATCTTGTTCCAGATGCAGGTCACATCCATCATATGCCGACCCATCTGGATGTCCTGGTTGGTGATTATCGCCGCTCTGTAGATTCCAACACGGCTGCTGTGCTCGCCGATGAAAAGTATCTCGCCCGCGAAGGCGCCAAAAATATGTACAGTTTCTACCGCTTGCACAATTACCATTCGCTGGTCTATGCTGCCATGTTATCCGGCCAGTCGAAGGTCGCCTTGCGCGCTATCGATCGCATGGAACTCTCGATTACAGATGACGTCCTTCAAGTCCAATCACCTCCACTTGCCGACTGGCTGGAATTCTTCAAGTCAGTCCGTATCCACGTCTATATCCGGTTCGGGCTCTGGGAGGAACTGAAAGCTCTTCCCATTCCCCATGATCAAGACCTCTATTGCGTCACCACAGCAATGACACACTACGGAAAAGGCATCGCCTGGGCCGCGACCGAGAACATAACAAAAGCTGAGAAAGAGCGAGAATTGTATCAGGCAGCCGCGAAACGAGTGCCACCCACGCGCAAAGATTATCCAAATCTCGTTATCGACATCCTCAAGGTCTCGACCGCCATGTTGGATGGTGAAATCGAATACCGGAAAAAGAACTTCACAAGTGCATTCGAACGGCTGCGCGAGGCAATTCACCACGATGATTCGCTCATGTATACAGAACCCTGGGGGTGGATGTTACCCACCCGCCATGCATATGCAGCGCTGTCACTTGAGCAAGGACTTGTGGAACAGGCTCTGACGGCTTATGCAGAGGACTTGGGTCTGGATGGTTCACTCACGCGGGCACATCAGCATCCAAACAATGTGTGGGCGCTGCATGGATACCATGAGTGCTTGATGCGCTTGGGACGCGAGCCGGAGGCAAGGATTATCAAACAGCAGTTGGATATAGCAATGGCAGTGGCAGATATTGATATTAAGTCCTCTTGCTTTTGTCGATTGAGGGTAGTACAGGATCAGAATGGAGACATGTCAGCGTGTTGTAGTTGAAATAAAATAGTATAACAAATGTTAGAAATTTGATACGGAGGCTACGAGGACTACCAAGTGATTAATTAGGCAGTTTCAAAACGACTATATACCGCGTATACAATTACTTTAAGAGTAAAACATCGCGGGAAAGGAAAATGAATAAGAACAACGTAATCTAAAAGAATGCTCGAACAATCCCAATCCCATGATCCTTCCACGTCCGCGGCCTCTCCGGTGGTGCAACCTCATCAACTTCATCCAGATCAATTTCCCTCAACCCATAATTGAGATCCATTTCATGACTGCGCACAAAAAGCTTCCAGTCTCTCGACCACAGTTTCCAGAGAATGTACAGCGCCAGGATAAGCGGAGCCGCAAGAAAACTTACAAAAAAGTCATACGCAGTACCCAGCTGTCCATTCGGCCAGAGGGAGGTATAAAACGTAGCAATAATGCACAATATAGACAAGATCAGCCCGACCCAGCTGCCGTAGATGCCAAACGCCGCTTGAAAGGGGAGTTTGCTTCGACTATGACCTTGGACTCTCCAGCCTTTGCGAAAGCGGATATTGGATGCGCATATACTGCCCCAGGTGAAGAACGAGGACAAGCCCCCGAGAGCGAGGAGCCAGTCAAAAACAGTTTCAGACGACGAGGCTTCGGTGACGTAGGCGATGAATCCGAAAAGGATCTGAATGGCAATACAAAACAAGGGACGACCGTGCTTGTCGACGTAGCTTAGAAAGCTGGGCGCCATGCCATGCAGTGCGAGGGCTTGTAGTGTACGCGAGGAGCCATATGTGCATGAATTGGCAACACTAACGACCGAGACTGTGATGATGGCGTTGAAGACTGATGGCAGACCACGGATGCCGGCCATGCGAATAGCCAGGACAAAAGGGGAGTCCTTGGTATCGCTGTCGCCGGCTTTTAGAAGGTTAGGTGAATCCGCGGGTACAACGATGCCCAGGATGAGCAGGGAGACAATGTAGAAAAAAGTTATTCGCCAAAAGACCTGCTTGGTGGCTTTGGGAAGGGATTTTCGAGGGTCAGCCGCTTCTGCGGCGGCAAGACCAATGAGTTCTGTCCCGCCAAAGGAAAATGCAGCTGTCACAAAGACGGAGCAGAATCCGGAAAAGCCGTTGCGAAAAGCGCCAGGTTCTTTCCAGTATCTGAAACCAATGTAGCCGCGGTTGTCGGTGGGGACACCGCCGCAGTCGATGATGATGCCGAGGATCATGAAGCCGATAATGCCGAGGATTTTTATTATTGCGAGAATAAATTCGACTTCGCCGTATCCGCGTACACCAAAGATTTGAATGGCGCAGACAACGACAAGGAAGACTGTGACCCAGACGCCGTTATTGATCTTGTCATTCCAAAAGTCAATGGTTAATCCGGCGGCCGTGAGTTCAAAGGGCAGCGTGGTGAGCCAGCCAATTGCGTATTCCCAGCCCATTGCAAAGCCCCTATACGTAGTGTTAGCAATGGTGATGCTAAAGAAGGCGGAGAGATATTGGCTCAGCCTAAGCAGGGAAGTAATTCACCAGGAAGAGTCGAGAAAGCGGGTAGAGTATGTAAAGAAGGCTCCATTGACGGGATATAGAACAGCCAATTCACCAAGAGCCTGCACGGTACATAAAAGCATGATGCCAATTATAATGAAACAGATGAGCTATGGCATTGTTAGTCTTCATGGTTCAACATTTCCTCAGAGTTTGCAATTAAAATTACCAGACTTGCAGGCCCACCGCTTTCCAGGGCACTGCCAGTGCCCACAAAGAGGCCAGCGCCAATGGCACCACCTAAACTGTGTCAGCCCGATCCGGAGTCCGAATGAAGACAATCACAGAACAATTTGACTGTGCATAACTTACCTATGGCAATCATCTGCATATGGCGCCCCTTTAGGTCACGATTCAACGCATTTTGTGCTGGCGGAGGTCCGACATATCCGACTTCCACATCCTCTTTGTTCTTTGCCGCAGAAAGAGTTTCTTGAGGCCTAGGACCTTTGCCCACCTCCATTTCAAATAGAGATTTATTGCTAGAGCAAGAAGTGCTATACAGCACCAGTAAAAAAACCAAAGGTCGAGTGAAGAAAAGATTTTACCCCGGGGCGTATATTTGACTGACCTCAAGTATACCTGTGCCATAGTATCGCTTATACATATTAGAGATTGAGCTGTAGAAAGTGCCATATCTCCACATCAATGAGTGCGAGAAGCACATTATGAGTCTAGCCAAGGGTCAAAACATGGGTTTCGAGATGTAGATCCCTTGGCCGCGAGAGCGAGCCCATCCGAATTTGGAAACTTTATCAAATGGTCGTATGTTTTGCAAGTGGCTAGATGATGTGGAGATAAGGTGCTTGATAGCAATTGCGTTGACGTGCTCCACAAGAGTGGAATATTTGAATTGCACAATATCACTGGTACTAGATTACTAGCACAGGATCAGTTAGATTAGAAACCAAACCGCGGCCATTCCCGCACGTCTGGAAAGCTTGACCGACAGTGGGCCAATGACAGATGGAGAACATGACAATATTACCCGCTTATTCTAGAAAATCTCCGCCAATCTAAGCGCAACCGCATCCACACCCCTCGCCTCTCTGCTGGCAACAATTGCCCCTTTTCGCCAGGGGGGATCCAATAGATAAGGGCTCGCCGACATAATTCGTTGCAATTACCGTATCGAAATGAACCATTCCCGCAGCCCGGGGCCAGGACTGGTCCCATGCACCATGCATCTCGGTTTGAATCAGGGTTGGCCGTGCTGGCCGATTTGGCCGTCTGGTCGATAGCTGGCCATGTGGATCATTTGCCTATCGTGCTACAGTATCTCTTCAGTCGTTGTCTGGTACAGTACTCCTATGTTGTATCTACCACTCTAAGTGTATGTTATAAGGTCCGAAGTGCTGCAACTGAGAGACGCTGTAATATATGGTACATTCCAGGTCTTCTCAGATTGTGTCATTTAGACCCTCACCTGCGTGATCTGTAAAAGAATCGATTATGACAGGGATTGCGACAAATGGGGCGACGCCCCAGACGATGAAGATACTTATGATTCATGGTGCCTCTTCCTTGTATTTGGATCAATAACACCGTACTCTGCAACACGTCTGCTGATCATCCCTGCTACGGAAACAGGCTACACTGAGACTGCAGAGTCTTTCCGAGCCGACATGTATCGTGTAGAAAAGGCCCTCAATGAAGCCTTTCCCGCTGCACCGACACCCGGCTACCATCCATCCTACCCGGGCGGTGTCGAACTCATCTACCCAACCGGCACATGGAGGCTCAAGCCGACAGATTGGGCTCGCTACATACCAGGAGCCGACCCTGGATATGGATGGTTTTACAAAGTTGCCGACGACGATGAATTTCCAGGATTACTTGATGGCTTGACCCTTCTTGGTAATGTGATGAGGACTCAGGGTCCCTTTGCCGGCGTTATCGGGTTCTCGCAAGGCGGCTTTTTGGCTGGCCTGATTGCAAGTTTGCTGGAGGCGGGGAGAAAGGAAATATTTGATAAGGTTGAAACGGGGAGTGGAGGAATTCCGTACCCTGCAGCCTTTGTAGGGGTGCAGCCAATTAAGTTCTCGGTCAGCTGCTGCGGGTTTGCCGGGCTGAGCTTGCGATACAAAGCCTTTTATTCACCCAAGATATCGGTGCCTCTACTGCATATCAATGGTAGTACAGATGACATTGTGTATGACAAGAGGAGCCGCACTCTGATTGATGCAACGACCGGAACAGAGGAGGGAAAGGTCCTTATTCACCCCGGTGGCCACATTGTGCCAATGACAAAATTGTACACGGATGCCCTAATTATGTGGATCCGTGATAAGCTTTAAGATACCAATGGTAAAGTATTGAAATAACTAGAGAAATTAAAGAAAGAATAACCTTAACCTGTCAAATCCTAGATTCAATGTAGTATTATACTTAAAAGATAGCAAAATTATAGCATTAGAAAAATATTTAATTATATAAATATATTAGTTTAATTTAAGTTTTATTTAAATTTTTTTAAAAAAAATTAAATATTTATAATTAAAATAAATTGTCAAGATATTTTGACATAGACTACTACATTTCAAGAACAATATTTAAGGCTTATTATATAATTAACTACTAAACTTGTTTATTAAGAGTAAGATATAGATTGTAAAATAAGTTAAATTAAGGTTAATTATAGAGGGTTTTTCTACTTTTTCCAAAGAGTTAGACTTAGGAATTTATATAGTAAGAATTTATCAAACCATAGTTTAATTTGTTACTACAGTAAGAAATTACTATAGTTGGATGAATATCAAACCATGGTTTAATTTGTTACTACAGTGAGAAATTACTATAGTGTTATGGTGACACCTATGGATAGGTGTCAGGTTGTATCTTCCTAGATAGTTCCCTGTCAGTACATCAAGGGTTCTCACCTAGTAATATAGCATCCCACAATATTATTCAGTGATAGGAGTGATATAAGATGATATGATAATTCAGGTCTGGTAGATAAAGTAAACAATAAGATTGTTGTCATACTAATATCTGAATACTAATAACTAACTATTGTTAAGCAGTAATGCTAGACAATAGACTTCAAGAACTATACAGAACAATTCTAGCTACATAGGAAAACCATCCTCCTTATATAACAGTCTATTCCAGTGGTCCTGTTTGTTGATTAGTGCTGATCAGCTATGATTAGTACTAATTACCCCTAATTACTACTGATCACTTTATTCAGCCACTGATCTCTACTTCCTTATCTTATCATCACATGACCCCTTGCCCCATGATATCATCAGCATACTGTGCCTCTGTACTTCATAAGTAGGCCCTGCACCATCTGTTACTGACCCTTGTAACCATCATTACATTAGGTCCTCCCTTTTCATCCTTTCAACTTGAAAGGCTGATTCCATGACCACTAGGTTTTTCCTTATAAGGGTAAGGCTCCCCTCCTTCTGCATTTTCTGTTTCTTCAACCTGTTTGCCTCCATCATGCCAAAAGCTGAATCTTTTTCTAAGTATTGTCACATCCTTGCTTCTAAGACAAGTCATTTGGGTCACAAGATGCCAACTCCCTGTTCTGCCTATCATCATAACAACTGTTGTTGTTTAATTTCCTTAGACTCTAGTCACTGTTCTGAGTGTATTTCTTGCAATTCTTCATGCAATCTTGTTGTTTTTGTCCATGAATGGGATTGTTTGTAGGAAGAGTACCACAAGCTTGAGTCCCAACTTGAGCTTGTCAAAGAACAGACTTCTGAGCTTGCTACTCATCAGTTACACCTTTGTAAGCAACTAGGCAAATTGTCTTCTTGCAAGAAGGAACTATTCAATCACAAGTTGGCTTCTATAGAAGAGGTTGAACAACTGGAGCAATCCTCCAATCCCCAGGCTTCTTCTGAGCTTTTTATTAATCCTTCCTCAATCAATTGGTCCCTCTTAAATCTTCCAATTTCTTCTCCTTCAGGTGTTGTCAGTGGTATTTAACAATCTTCTCAGGGCAATTCAAATTGGTCCATGGTTTCCATGAATTTGATTCTTCCCTGTAGTCAAGCCATTTAACATAGTATTTCCATTGCTGACCTTCTTTCTTTACATCTAGAATTTCTTCAACATTATATTCTTTGTCTTCAGATGAAATGTCTAGTTCTTTTGCAAGTGGTATATCTTCTAGTGCTGGTTTTAATAGTGAGACATGGAATGTTAGATGTATTCTTGTTCCCTTAGGTAGTCATAATCAATATGTTACTTTGTTGACTTGTTTCTCAATTTCAAAAGGTCCTGCCTTGACATGATCCAACTTCTTGTTTGGTCTCTTGGATTTCAAGTTTCTACAGAGTAGGTAAACTTTACCCCCCTCCTTAAAGATTGGTCCATTCAATCTCCCTTGATTGGCATATTCTTACATTTTCTGGTTTCTGAACTTGATCTCTTGTCATAGTGACTCATGGAGTTCCTTGATTCCTTGACTATATTGTAGTCCTTGTGGTAACATACCATCATTCTTGATTTCTGTTCTTTGAACCACTGGATCATATCTGTAATTTGCCTGAAATGGTGACATTTTGATAGTATCTTGTTTTGTACTATTATATGTGTACTGAGCAACTGGTAACAATGGTACCTAATTGTCTTGTTAGTAGCTGATGTAGTGTTGTAGATACTGTTCAATGATCTAGTTGATTTGTTCAGTTTGTCTGTCTGTTTGTAGGTGAGCTGTAGTTGACATCTTGTGCTCTACTTCCAAGCTTGTTATCATTGTTCTCCAGAACCTTGATGTAAATAGCTTATCTCTGTCAGTAATGAATTCCTTTAGTAACTGATGGTTTGCTATTACTGTTTGTAATACTAGATATGCCATTTGTTCTGCTATAGCCTCCTTTGTTATTGGGATGAAATATGTATATTTCATGAGTTGTTCCACAATTACAAGTAATGTGTTGTACTTTTGTCCTGTAACTAGGTTTGTTGATTCCAGTAAATCTGTAATAAAGTTTATTGTGACTAATTCCCATGGCCAATGTAGTACTTTTGGATTCTTCAAATTCCTATATGGCTTATGTCTGCTTTTCTTGTCCTGGTTGCAAACATGGCATCCTTTGATTATTTCTTTAACTAACTTCCATATGCCTAGTATGTAGTAGTTTGCTGTAATTTGTGCAACTGTCTTTGTAATTCCTGGATGTCCACTCATTGGTTCTTTGTGTATTTCTTTAACCAATTCTTTTTGTAGTTTCTGTAGTACATAGATTTGTCCTTCATGGTATAAGAGTCTGTCCTTAAGTGGTTCTCTTGCTTCATGATTTGTAGTTTTGTCATCTTGGGTTGCTTCCTATATTCATTGTTCCCAAGTATCATGACTTTTAATTTGTAGTGCTGCAATCATTTTTGCTCCATACACTAGGGTTCTGTTGCTGTCAAGCTTAAGTATTATGTCTTGTACTAGCTCCATGCCTTCCTTGTACTTTTCTTGTTAACTAAGTGTGTCTACAACTCTGTTTTCTTTCTCCTTTTTATAGTGTATTTGGAAGTTGTACTGAGCTAACATTTCTGCCCACCATACTTGTCTTCTGTTCAACTTCTTCATTGTTGTGAACATTGTAAGATTCTTATGATCTAAGTATATCATGGTTGTGTCTTTTGCTCCAAGCAAGTAGACTCTCCAATATTCCATTGCTAATACTACTCTGAGTAGTTCCTTGTCATAGATATTGTAGTTCAATTCTAGTGCCAATAGTTTCTGTGAGTAGAAGGCTACTGGATGTCTCTTGCCATCCTCTCCTATCTGTATCATTTGTACTCCAATGGCAAAGTCTGATGAGTCTGTCTTAACTTTGACTTCCTTTCCTGGTTTGTACATCCCAAGTCGAAAATTCCGGTTCAGGTTTGCCAAAAGGCCAGTCGTTCAACAACAACCTTCGGAGGTGGAATTGGCTGAAAATTGCACCAAGTCT